GAAAATGATGTATCATATGAGAGTCTACTAAAAATAGTTTCCGAACCTCAAAAAGTAATTAAGGGTAAAAGAGTATATTACAAATTCCCTTCCCCTCTAGAAATATTTGAAAAATAACATCTCAGTTGACGTTTAATTTGATCTCAGTAATAGCTTACTTGTTTTTTTTTTATTTTTATTATTTAGTTAAGTTTTTAAATATACTTCAACTTGTCTAGCCAAAAACAAAAAGTATTGTGATAATAGTGCATAATTTCGTTGTAAAAGTACAACTATGTTGCTGTTTCTACGACTCTGTTACTTTTATGTCCCTAAATATTTAAGAGTAAAGTTAATAATTTTATGAAGAGCTGATATTTGACTCGACGTTTTATATATCTCCTATACACTATTCTAATTAATGCACAATACCATGCCTATATTTTTATAATTTAAGTAATTTATAGAAAAAAATATATTTATAAAACATAGAAAGTAACAGAGTTTACTTAACTTTAATTATTATAAATACTTAAGAATACATATTGTGATTTTGCATGTGGAACATGAGAATAAAGACTTAATTAGTGTTGACTCCAAAGAAGGTTTACAAAAACAATTGTTTGTTTTTTTAATATTAATAAATATATGATGGTAACAGAGTTGCTATTTTTTTTTACCTTTCACTATGTTATTATCTGATAATCTGAAAAAAGCGGCAAGAGATCGCGGCCAAGAACGAAAATGCATTTGGCAAGATTATTTACATAATATGCGCACCTATACATTTAAATTTAAAAACTCTTTTTTGAATTTGGAATCATAATTTGCTGTCACGTTTTTCTGCAACCGATTTTAAATTGACCCATAACATACATTCTACAAAATTCCAGTTGATTGTGAATCTCAAACAGCAACAAGACAATATCACCATCTATCATGCATAGCAGTTTTCTATTTGGTTGTAGTGTATAAGAATTCAAAATAATTACTTAATAAGCCTTAATAATCCAATTCGGAATACTGCATAATATGTGCTGTTTTTAAAAATACTGGGACCCTACCATACGGACAGTATTCACCACCGTGTTGTTCAGATCGTCCACATATAAGTTGTTTAGAAGGCCTCTCTTTGCTCTTTCAAGCTTAATATATTACTTACTATATTTAATGTGCCTCGTACCAACCGGTGATCACTTTCCGTTTTGACGCTGTTGATCACAGACATTTTCGAATATTTACTTTTTCTGATAAGTACAGGAAATCAATTCCGAATCATTAGCACCAAACTGAGTTTAGCATGAAAAAGTATATAACCAAACTTGATGTGTGTTTAGCTAAAAATGGGAAATTAAACTGATGGCCTCCTCAAGGCCAGAGTAAATTAATATTTTTCCTTGTTAATCATAGGTAACCAACGGGCATCTCTCTATGACCTTACCGCTCGGATAAAATTAATCTATGATGAAAAGTGATAAATTGTACCGAGCTGAATATAAGTAATTTATTTTTTCTATTTTTGATGGCACAATTCCAATCTAACAAAACAAAGAAGGACACGCAAGCTTGGACGTATCGCTTCGCTATTGTTGAAAGCAATTATAATTTTTGAAATACTCATGTCTGAATTTTTTGTATGTCCTGACATGCAAGAGTGACATTGTGACACATAACGGTTTACGAATATGTTAGTACCTACTTCAATGTTAAACTTATGTTCATGCGTAGTTGAATGAACGCCAGTTCATAATTGTTTCTAGGTATGTTGTAATTTCATGCTAGACTGCAGACAAAAGATCAACACATAATGCGTCATCTGTTAACTTTCCCAGTTAGCAGTTGTCACAACGAAGCATGTTGATTGTTGATTTATCAGTGACAAGCTTTTGGAAACAATCATAGACGATTAGGCATACAACCTGTTATTATTATTTCCCATTAGTGTCTTTAAGAAACTTCCATGCCGGAAGTGATATTTTAGAGTACGCGTTTAAATACCAATGTTGTCGCAATTGTTACATGGAAGGAAACTTGTTTCAATATTAGGGGTAACCAATCAATCATTCGTCGTCTTACGTCGCGACCGCAACGATCCACGTCAACCAATATGTTTGTATTTTTAACCAACTTCAAAAATAGAGTGAGCGTCTGTTTGTATTCACGTATATGTTCCAAAACGATGGCCCATATTTCTTATATTTTTCAATCACACAATAGAACACTATTTCAACGGACATAAAATCCTTTTTTTTTTACATTATATTTGACGTTTCGGATCCTTTACAGCCTCTGCGGGCACTGGATTAAAAGGATCCGAAACGTCAATATAAATGTAGAAGTGTGCTTCATTGCGTTCCCACGAAAATTTCAAGATTCGATCGAACATTTCATATTTTTCAGAATAGTTTTTAACAGTTAATCTTTTCTTAACGCTATCCTGACAATCTCGTGCATTATATCTCATTATTATATTGAGTTGTACCATAATTGAGGAGCTGGCGAACAAAACGGTATAATTACGCATCTGATCAAACTACTTTTTTTTACTGCCTGGAGGTTTCGGTTAAAACCGCCTGGATTGATTGAAAATTATTTGAGATTTAAATTCAACGGGCCCGAAACCTCTGTTTTAGGCAAAACACTGTTAAAATTACTTAATTCATAAAGTAAAAACCATGGCAAAAGCTCATTGGAGGTATGTCATTATGAGATTTAATATACAGCTCCTGTAATATTTAATTTTATGTAATTATACCGTTTTGTTTGCCAGCTCCTCAATTTATTTATTTTATGAAGTTTTAGAACTCAGGAACAATCAGGTTGTCCCTGATACACAAAATAAACGCTGTAACCAACATCACAGAAGTCTTACTTTATTTTCATTAAAACATTATAATTAATTTGGAGAAGATGAGGATAACTAACGTGAGAATGTAAGCTGTTAGATTAACTTAGCCACAAATAAAGTAAATATTTTGCCTCCAAAACATTCCGAGAAAACGTGCAACTGATCGTTAAAAGTTGGAGGAAAAAGAAATTAAACAATAAATACCATCGAATTCTTGAGAGGTATGACATGAATTACGAATGCGAATTCAAAGAAACAATATGTGTTATTCCTCGAAAATAAGAAACTTGCTCCGCCGCCGGCTGCTGTTGTTAAATGCGTTGTCTCGATGAATACGTGTTCAAGTATTTTAGTAAACAGACCGAATATGTAGGTGGCTTTATGGCTCGCTTCATTGGTATATTCAAATGTATTTGTCCTAACAAACCATTGATTTGTAACTGCAAGCACTGTCTTACAGAGTCTGTAATTCCATTTTTTTATCTCAATGCTATCTTATTTATAACTGTAATTATACGCAAGTTTTAATGTTAATAGCTTATTAATTACCATAGATTAGCTTTGCTCATTTTATTTTGATTTAGATTACCTTAAAGATAAACTTTACTATTGCCTTCCTGAAATAAATCATACTATAGATAGAGATATTTCTGTATAGTATTATTAGAATTAAAACATTAACATAAGTTTTCGAGCGAGCTCAGCAAAATCGTTTCAGGAAATTCATTTAGTACGTATATGCTTTTCAAAGTTAGTGACATTTTTAGTTACTTTTAAGAAAAGCATATACTAAAGTCGCCCCGTTTGTATTTACTAAACACTAACCTTTACGTTCTGGGTTAATAGGTTTCTGGAATGCGTAGAATGACTCGCGGCTTCAAAATTATTTTGGTATATACATATTTTCATTCATTTTGTGTAAATAACTAGAGATTTGCGTCGTTAAGAACTATAAACGGTAATGTTATCATAACTAGGATATGTCTTACGTTATTGTAGAGAATTAGTATAAACTACATTAACTATTTAAAGTTAGCGACTTCTTTCGCTTTCAGGCCATCAAAGGAGTCATAAGTTTAATTATATGAAAGACAGAAGTGACAGTTCTTTTTATCATAATAATCTTAAGATTCATTAATTAGATTGTGTTCTGGCTATAAAAACAGAAATAACTGTGTGTAGTACTTTCTCGGCGAGTGTAGTGGAAAGCTGCCGCAGAGCAGCCGCATGTCTCGTGCCGTATTCGCAGATAGCACGTGTGGCGAATGCACAATTATTGCATTTAACTTACTAATAAAGTTCCCTTTCTATATATGAAGGACTAATAAAATTTTGGACATTGCCTTAGAGAGGCGAAAATTATGAGATAACAAGATAGTATATTTTATTTTGGGATTTTGAACATTTCCAGTATTATTAATGGAAATTGAAAGCACCGCACAGTCCCAGTGCTAATTTTAATTTATTTTATGCGTTGCGTCGTTAGTAATTATTGTATTAATGTAGAGATAAATGAACTGCCTCAGTAATTCATTATTGGTATCGTGACGAAAAATTTCCCTGTTCCAACGCCATCGCCTAGTTAGCATTCATGAGCCGGTGTGAATAAATCAAGCAGTCTCAGTTGGCTCGAAAATGGAGCTCTTGCCGGTTATAAATGAGTGATTGCTTGGATGTAGACACCTATCCTACGTGCGATACAATAGCGCACAAAGTCAGCTAACGACTAGTGAACGAACAGACTATTTGGCAAACCCATTCCTGATATATGAGTCTAATGAGGTGTTTTCCTCAATTACATCAAAAAACGTGCTTGGGTACGTTAACAGGTGTACAGCACAGCTACTATCTATTTTGTGGTACAGCTCTGGCTTGTTCTCCACATTTCGTGGAAAATTAAAGAGTCAGGTCGGCGCCACTGCGACGTGATGGCGCCGTCATTACGTGAAAACTCTGCTCCTGGAACGGAATACTTCCTTACCTTACTAGTAATACAATAAAATGTATGTTATATTGCTGAAGTCGCCTTTACTTTCGCTCTGTTGTAATTGCTTTAAATGTATACGGCTAACACTTTACCTAGAGTTGGATGTTAAATATGGTCGTGACACATTTCCACCAGTCCATGTATTTGTCGTTAGTTTTGTTGAGCAGTCATCTGTTTTGTTTGCAGTCACAATGGTGGTGGGCGAAGTGAAACGTGCTACCAACATCATGGACGGCATCGAGAACACCGGCGATGTGCGCCTCCATGACCACCGGCTGCGGCTCAAACAGAGGTGAGCACGGATTGGAACATAAAACACTATCCCAACGCAATACGTTCCCGTCATGCTGGAGTGGCCCTACAAGGCGCAACGGCGGAGCGGAGACTCTCCATACGTGGAGATGCCCGCCGAAAGAAACGCTAGAACCACTCGCTCTTTTCGACTTGAAGTCATCTGCGACCAACAGCATACATACACCCTTCAAAAGATAAACTCTTAAATTAACAATCTTGAAAAAAGAAGCATTCAATGCAGTATTTGATAACTATAATAATTCCCTCGCATCAGAGAGTAAACAAACTAACAACAAAGAGGTAGGGATTAGCGCATTCTAACCGCGACTGCGGTCGTCTAAATCTCTAAATGACCGGTCATAGGACGGACGAACAATATTAATTATACATTATTGTTTAAACTAGTAAAAGTACTTACTCCGCGATCATGTGTAAACAGTGCCGAAATATCGGAGACTCCCAAAAAACAAGGTTCATGGTAGAAACCCTGCTAAACCGCTAATACCTACAAAATAATTATTGTCTCGAGATCTTCCGTTCACACTACTTACAGACCAGAAGGCGCGTTAGTCTATTATAGTCCCAGCTGTAACAAAAATAGTGACATTTCAAATATTACACATCTAAAATATGTTTTTCATATACATGTTCTGTATTTATTAACCATAATAAGAACAGTAAATGAAAAGAAGACGTTAGCACCCATCAATCCACTCTGGTGAAATCGATATTATTTCCATTAAGATGTTGGAGACATATTTAAATATTCAAGTATTTCATACTCTTTTTAAAATGCAAGTTCCAGCTGTGACCGTGACTTGAATTGGCGAAGCACATCAGCCTTGATTTGCGTTAAAAGCTCTAAATGTATTTCTGTTTAGGCATGAAGCTGCAAAAATTTAGAGGCTTTGTCGTCTAACTTTGAATCTTTAATAATTAAAGCAGAGCCGAGCCTTGGTAAATAATAACTTGTTAAAATACAGACTTTTACTTCCGTAATTAATTATGACTGCTCCATGACCAATATCCTCAAACCAAATATTAACGACATTATCATGTGTGGTTGTTAGTTTAATGTAGGAGGATTACCAGAAAAGTAGTGACGTCAAAATTTTGTGACCGTGTTTTTTATTTACAATTTTACACCCACAATACGTGCGATAAAGTCATACACTTCACTAATGAAGTAATTAAATCACTCAAGTTTTTAATTAATCACCTCGATGGATCGGCCCTAACATACCGAAATAAAACAATGATGATTTTTAATATTCATAAATATTTCCTTTTCTTTTGTTTTGAATTGTTAAAATTAATATTTTTGTTAATTTTATATATACTCGTAAAGATTTCAACAGAAATGTATACTTGAATAATTCCAATGATTATAATATTTTGTAGAACGTATTCTACCCTTAGATTAAAACAAAAAGGGAGTTACGGTACGGTACAATGAAAACTTTTTTTTTTTTTTAAATCATGGTTTGTCATGAATGAATTTGTCGGAGCATATTTTATTTGATGCTAGTATGAGCGTACCGTATCTTCCCTTTTTGTTTTAATCTAGGTTCTCCCTTATTAATAAACGAGGAATAAGCTACGTCGAACTAGTTACGTCGTGTTTTGTTCATATCACTCAAGTGCCATTTGTCATTCAATGAACCGAAACAAAACATAGAGTAACTAATCGAAGCTTAGTCTTCATTTATTAATAAGAGCGTATATGTATAATGTCCGGTGTATAAACAAAACACGCGTTGTTTACGGTAAGTAGGCTGCCAATTTCCTTCCTGCTGCTGTCTATAATTTATGTTTACGATACGAGCAGTTCAAGTGTAAAAATTAATTATTTTTAAAATTTAAAGCGTATGAAAATGAAAAAAAAAAAAACATTTTTGCTCAGTCCTGTTTAAATATGGCAAGCATGTTATTTCATTTCATTACACGCTTGAGATAATGTACTACAACAGAATCAGTTAGTCCGTTTCCCACTAAACCGAACCATGGTGGGCGAGTAAGTGAACAACCGACACAATCTATTTACATTTAGCTTTTAGGTACGTACGTCAGATATTCTGAATTTTGTCGTCAGCCGCGCTATCTTTTCAAATGACTCATTTTATTCTTAAAGTAGAAGCAGCTCGGCTGTTTTAATGTTGTTGTTGGTAACGTCACGATGAGCACGAGGCGGGTGACCGCGTTTAGGGTACCGAGTGCCGTATCATTCACCTACTACATTCGGCACTTCGATCGACGCGCTGCGGGGTGGGCGTAAAGGTTGCCAGTTACGTCACCAACCTCCAGATGCAATACGCGCAAACTTTACGGATGCTCTTTAAATAAAGCTCGTCATATCTTGAGTCATAGAGATTCCCAACAGCTTCGATTTTGACAGAAATTGCTCGAATATGAGATGCACTATCGATTGCGCTTTAACGCCCCCTGACTTTACAAAGCCATTTCCAGCTAAACTGTCGAAGGTATTGGTGATAGTACGCGACTTAAATGACAATATATTAAACTCGATGTAGTTATCACCTAAGAAGAAAGTGTCAGGATTAGAGAAAAGGCCAGGACAAGCATACGCCAGTTATCGGAAGTATCTCGTGCGTGAATAGGCTTTGGTGTTCTTTTGTAAGGTGCTGTGCCGTGTGCTGTTTGTTACCATTTTTATTTTAAAACATCAACCATAAGTAATTACACTTGGGTAATTTGATCTAAAACTGATCCACCCCATCTACAAACAGGGAAAATCCTTGTGTGCCTTGCAGTTGGGCATTATTCAATATAAAGAGTCTTTGATTAGCAACGCTTTTGGCAAACGTTCAAGTTATTAATTACACAGCGCATACTTTCTTAAGAACATCGAATCTTGTTAAAGTTATTTTATCCACCGTCTCGCTAATCGTTTACAGGAAACGTTTATTTAATTACTTACTTACTTAAAAGTTAATTATTGGTTACTCGAAGCGTATCTTTTGGAAATCGATTTAGCTCTGACCTACATAAAATTCGATTTAACTATAGAGGGTAATATTTCTTAGATTTGTATTCAAGGTAAGAAACGTGGAGCACACAGTGAATGCCTCGTGCGAGAGTGAACCGAGGTCGTTTCATTCAATCGTTTCAATAAACGATACGTTACGATTCACCTCGGATCTCTGCTGGGTCGCTATGTCGTCGTGTTACCACATGCAGAACGATGCGCGTGGGCAGTAATCGGTGCCCCCTTTGCTTGCTTGTTGCAAATGACACATAACTTTTATACGTATTGTAATAATCATTAGCCTTAATATCCCCATTGAAGTGGCACAGGCAAGGCACAGGTCGTCCCGATGGATAGATTTTTTTATATGCAAATGACTACCCCACCTGATGTTAAGTGGTGATAGATGATAAGATAGCTGGTACAGCAGTTATGAACTGCTACACCGAACATCCTCACCTTGCCAGCCTGCAAACATGCTTCTTCACGCCTCTCTTAAAGGACCCCAGATTGTAGGAAGGAGGGAACACGTGCGCGGGCAGAGAATTCCACGTACGACTAGTACGACAAAGAAATGAGTTACCAAATTTCTTTGTTTTGTAGTAAGGAAATTGGGCAATGACGCGAGCCCAGTGCGGATTGATTGGTGCTAACAACAGCAAATGAAGCCGTTACATACGACTTAACATGCATTCTGCACGAAGGAGCTCGTAATAATTATTTTAGTCACCTAATCTATGCAAATAATGTATCAGAACAATGTTCCGCTTCAGCCATTATGACCTTCCCGGTGGACCCCAACAACCCTTTAAAGCGTTGAGCCTTGAAACCTTACACCAACAAAAACACAGTTCCACCAAAAGGCGCTCTAATTTCTGGCCTCTTCGATTTGTAAAAGTTTATTTGTACATACAATGAGGCTGATTGATAAAGGAACATAAGAACCTTTTATATTTACAACACGTATTCGAAAGAGGATTTGTTTATATATTACTTGTCCGACGCATCGATTTGCATTAATAATCACATGACGCCGGCCGCTAATCCATCCGAGGCTAGAATGGCACGTCGTCGTGGCCATAACATTGCGGTCATTAGCTCAATAATCAGCTCCACAACAATGACTTGTTAACGCCACATTCATCTGTCTTATTTGAATAATTATTCCGTTACAACAAATGAGAATAAGCCATGCTCTCGTATCATGGAGACGTGAGAAATCTTATAATTCTTAAGTTCTGACAATGAAAATAATATGTACACTTTTACAATCTGCACATTACAGTTGGCAGCTGTAGACTTTACTTAAGAGATTTTTGTTTGACGAACTAACATCAGGGGTCGTCATAAAAGTCACTCACATCACAGTATTTGCATGGTGTGTGATGGATATCACACACCATATCCAAGACAAACTACCAAAATAAGGAATGGAATTGAATAATTGAAAACGATTTTTTCCTTTTTCCCACTATAGTTTAGATCTAAATTATTTGTGTTTATTAATAACATTTACCAATATTAGTAGATTTCTTTATAGTGGCTGTCATTCATGGTGATATCTATTTTCTAGTTTTGATAGACCTTGTTTTTTTGAATATCCCTCTTATAGCTTTATTTTTTTTGGATAAAAAGTATCCTGTCTCTATCTAGGTAATAAACTGTATGTATGAATTTCATCCAAATCCGTTCAGCCGTTCTTGCGTGATTGAGTAACAAACATTGAAACTCACATTTTTAATATTACTAGGAAGAAGGATTTATGAATTATATTGTCTGTAGCAGTGTATCTTGTAGATCAGAATTAAAAATATGTAATTTACCAATTAAGCCAATTTCATTCATGTTTTTGCTTGCAGGTTCGATATAGTCAGAAAATTAGGACAAGGTACATATGGCAAAGTGCAGCTCGGGATAAACAAAAAAACAGGACAAGAGGTTGCCATTAAAACAATAAAGAAATGCAAGATAGAATCAGAAGCGGATCTAGTTCGTATCAGGCGAGAGGTGCAGATCATGTCCTCAGTAAGGCACCCCAACATTGTACATATTTATGAAGGTTGGTTTATAAGGGTTATTTTTTACTGCCTTATATCAAAGATATATTATAAAGGATATCTCTTTCACCGACTTCCAAGTAGGAAGTTCTCAATTCGTCAGTATATTTGTTTTTATTGTTATTCGCGCATATCTCCGAGATGCGTTAACCGATTTTGTTGATTATTTTTTTTGTCTTTAGGTAATACTGAAAACGGAGTATACATTTATTTATTTTGACACTAAAACATAGTAGAGTAGGTCTGAAAACCAGGCCGACTCTTACTTCCACATCACGAATGCAGTCTGCAAGCGTTTGTCCTTAAATTTTACGTATCAGGCTCATCTTGACTAGAAAGTAAGCACTCTGATAATACACCAGATTCGAGGGTATTTCGGTCTATTCAACATATTAGGCGGACTATTTTTGTTTGTAAAAATATGGAAATAAATTAAAAGTACATGTAACTATAAATTTGACATATGGCAATTATGACATCCACATCCAGTATTAGAAATTATACTGTCAGAAGTCACGACAGTGTACTGATGAATACTATTTAATATAAACTAAACCTTTACCTTGTAAATTGTAAAAAATCTAGCTGCATTATTTATCATATAGGGAAATAAAGAATTATTTTTATGTAATCGAGGTTAGAATGCGAATTCAATAAAATTGATTGTATTCCTACCTCTACCCTGAAAAATCTTATTCCTTGAGATAATAGAATTGAAACTGGACACGAATACTTATCTAAATAAATTATAAAGTTTGTATTTTTTAGTTTTTCTTAAAGGGTATTTATTGGTGCGTGTGTTAGGGTTTTTCTAAAATACACCCCTAAGAGGATAGAAAACGGGATAACAGTTTGTATGAAAAATCTAATTTTTCTTTAGTTAATAGAATTAAAACTTGGTACGAATACTTCTCTAAATAAATAATTTGCCGAAGTTTTTATAAGTTACTCAATAGATACTGTGGTAACTATCCAGTAGGGTTGTTAAACACTTTGAACCCCGGGTTCAAAGTGTTGTAACGAAATAAAAGTCTGTGGTACGGCAGACTTTTACTGTGTTTGGGTGTGTTACACCTGTTATGTTATAAAAAAAATTAAAGCCACCCAAACTCTGCATCGGCACTAGGTTACAAGTCAAAGCTTTGCACCGGAATGTAGTAGAAGCCACAATTTTGACCGGACTTGCTCAGGGAGAAACAGTATTTGTACCACGTATTCCATTATTACCAAATGATCTCCCCTTTGAATTCAAAAGGCTCCAGTTTTCCCTGAAGGTCTGTTTCGAAATGATCAGAAATAAGTCGCAAAGGCAAACTCAAATTCGTCGGAGTAGATCTACGACAGGACTATGTCTCCCACGGTCAGTTTTATGTTGTCATGCTGCTGTGTAAGTTTGCGATATAGAATACCAGTTGCGTTATATTCAAAGTGTTTAAGAACTCTACTAAATGATTTACCTACTGCAGCGTTACTGTTTACCGCAGTATTTATCTTTCAAAGGACTTCAACATTTTTTATCGCTAATTGGTCGTTATCAGACTTTTTACTGTTACTGTACTGCATAGATAGATACTTTTACTTGGGGCCATTTAAAACGAAATACAACAGTTTTGCCGGTTCCCCAAATGTATATTTTTGTTCATCTGTTAATGAATCACAGAAATTATTACTTTATAATACTGACAAACCTTCTAAAGCTATCTCATCGTTAAGTAATCTTTTTACCCGCTATAGTACTTCCATCCTAGACAATTATATTAGGTTTTTCATAATACTTTTGTAAGTTTCTCTTTTCAGCTTTGAAACCAATATGAGCCACGTCAAAATTCATGTATATTTATACAATATAACTGGATTTTGAATTGCACTCATTGCATAGCGCAGGGAATGTCCCGCTTTTTTAATTTAAAATTACCCCCAATATTACACGTTATTTATGTTTTCAAATATAAGTTATAATTTTTAAATAGTAAGCAGATTGAAGACAAAGCAGATTTATAAAAGAAATTATGACTGAGCCTTAAAAAGGTTGTTCACCTTTTTTTAAGGCTCAGTCATCAAATTTCGTCGCCTACACTTGATACAAATCGAGCAAAGACCACCTATGCATCTGGACTTACGTGTGATCTTACGAAAATGAATTATTCTCATATTTAATTTTGTTACAGTATTTGAAAATAGTGAAAAAATGATACTCGTTATGGAGTATTGTTCGGGTGGAGAATTATACGATTACCTTAGTCAGAAAAAAGTTTTACAAGAAGACGAGGCTAGAAGGTTAGTATTTATCTTTTACTAATTACAATTTGTTCTATGCGGTGGCTAGATATGAGGGCCAAGCTAAACGCGATAATTGTTGCAAGCTTTTCCAAGCATGTAGTAAATGTGTTACAGATTCAAAGTGGACTGAGTAGTTTCAGAAAATACATATATATCATACAAGATGGGTTCATACAATGCAATGCGAACTTAATGGTAACTTTAAAACTGAGACTTCACTAGCCCTTTAAGCACTCGTGTCATCATTTACATAACTCCCTCTAGTAAGCGCGCGGTCAAAATGTAATGATGGCGAGTGACGCTCGGCGCCCCTTAAGACCTTTGCTTCAGTGTACAACGCAAATTCGGCACCATAGGTAACGCCGCCTCTGCTTTAAATTAGCGGAAGTCGTGGTGCAGTATATAAACTCAAAGGTGTGTTTGTCTTGCACGTGCAAGCTCGCACTCGCTAATAAATACACAACAACCATTAAGTCAGTGTAGAAGTTTGGGAAGTCATGTTAATCCATTGGTCCTGGCTGCATCTGCAGTCGTTAGATTATGGCCCATTTTCTCATTCACAGGGAAGGTCATATAGGGAGGAAGGACCTAATAGGGAAGCTGTTATTAGACTGATGATAATAATTGTTATAATAACATTCTTGTAGTAGTCTGCCTCAAAAAAGTGTTGCAATACTTATGCCACATGACCCGAAAACCCTCTCGATAACCTGGAGAAACTGATTGTTCCGAAGAAGCTCGAATTCAAAAGAGCAAGAGATCGCAGCCCTACTAGATGGACCGATTAAACATCAAAATGTCTTAACACCGCAATCATTAACGCTCTTGACCACAATTAAGTTATAGAAAAAACTGGAAGCAGCTCTGCATCTGCATCACGACGCTCAGCATTGAGCTACAACTGGAGTAGGAACAGTGTTACTCCACCCCTCAAGAAGTATTAGGCTGTTTTTATTTATTTTTAAGCATTTGACTGCTAGATGTTTAAATCTAAAGAAAAGTTTTATTGAAAGAAGAAATAGCAATTATAGTTATGTTTTTATTTATTTTTAAGCATTTGACTGCTAGATGTTTAAATCTAAAGAAAAGTTAAAACAGTCACATGCTTAAAAATAAATAAAAACATAACAGTATTAGGCTGTGTTTATCAATGATTCTGCTGTTATAATAAAATTTTTGTTTACAGGTTATTTCGTCAGATAGCGACCGCTGTTTATTATTGCCATATACATAAGATTTGCCATAGAGATCTGAAACTAGAAAATGTATTACTGGATCACACAGGTAGTGCTAAGGTTAGTTATTTTATTAAATTGGTAACAATTAGCATTACTAAAAAAAAAGGCCGCCTTTGCCCACATTATGTTATTGTTTTCTTATTTTTGTATTCTTTTGTGTGTGTGCAATAAAGAATTTATCTATCTATCTACTATTGCTATTGATGGTAAGGATTAAAAATATGAATGTTTATTGAAATAACTCATAGTGTGGGTTTAATATACAAACAAACTCATTCATTTTCAACTTAATTTAATAAAATTTAATAAAAATAATGAATTCGTTCTGTTTAAATAATTTGGGAGGAAGCAGTGATACAGAAGTACCTTCGTCTAACGCAGATGTGTTATTTAAAAAACATAGATGCTTCATGTTTCTAATGACTATGAAACGTGCATTTATTATACTACAAATTAAACAGAATCATTACAAAAAAAAACAATACTCAGCACTGTCAATAAATATTGTGTACATATTTCTACATGTGACTGGTACATAATCGACTATTTTAGTAACATCTATCGGTTGATATTGCATCTCGCTCCATCGAATAGGTTCAGTAGAGTCTGGGATAATACGCATACCAGGAAACTTGCCAAAAAACCCGCCGGTTAGAATACTAATAGTACTACGACCAACATCTTTTATAGTTATGTTTTTAATGTAAGTTTCACTAAAGGTTTTAAAATAAGTTTTGTGTTTAGTTTGTTTTATAAAAAGAATATTATCTTCGTAACAAATCAGCATGGTTGCTTAATTGCTTTAAATTATCATAATAATGTTCGAATCGTTGAGAAAAAACCTTAAATTATAATTTAATAGATAATAAGAGCTCTATTCATGGTGAAATGTTTCTACTTTGTGTCTTTGACTGTACTTTACATATTGTTCTTTGTTGACATTCGACACGTGTGTTGATTCAACAAAATGTATTACATTTCTAAGCAACATACGATTGACACACAACAATTTTTTACAATTTTCATTTGAGGACTACATATAATAAATATGAAATTAGGCCCATATTTTTTGTTGTTGCTAATTAGCTCTATTTTAAACTACACATTTAAAAAAAATACGGATACAGCGACCAAATTTAAATCTAGTATATCTACAAGTGATTGAGTTATATATGTGTTATATTGTGTGCCAAAACAGCATATCTCCAGCTCAGAATAATAATATCAAGCAACAATAACAATCATCAAAATCGATCGAATCTTTACACGTGTAATATTTTATTTCTCTTTATTAGAATGCCAACTTTCAAGTAAGATAGTGGCACCAATGACTGAGCGTCTATATCTCTCGTCTATACCATATTTAGTGGTCGGTTACCTACTATTATTTTCATTGATCACAGAAAAACATGTCTACCATTGGTTCTTGTCGTCATTGGTGCCTCTACCTTAGGAAGGGCAGTGGTATTAAATTTTAATCAATACGTTTTTGATGCTTTGCTAGCCGGAAATGAAATAAGTACATTACAAAACATGGAATAAAGTTATCAACCGAAAGTTCGTCTATCCAATTCAGTAATTTCTGATTGACACTGGCATACGATAAGTAAACAACATTTATACCGCGTCAGTACGACTGTCCTGGCACCATGAGTTGGTTTAACAGTTGTTGCCTCTTCTCTTTAGCAAACATACTTCATACATATATATTTTTAGATCAGATTTAAAAAAAAAAACTACGTCTTGTATTAAGGAGCTAAACAACAACTCGACTTTGTTTTAGGCTAAATATGATGTCAAAATATAGTCTTTGTTAATATCTACTGACACTGTTATCATTAATACGTTGCATTTTATTATTATTTTCAGATAGCTGATTTTGGTCTTTCAAATGTTTTCAAAGAGACGTCGTTATTATCAACGTTCTGCGGGTCACCTCTTTACGCATCGCCAGAAATCGTTAAAGGAACACCCTATATAGGGCCAGAGGTAATCTAGACTGTGTCATATGAATGATCTTGTCTGTTTAATTCGCTTCAGAAACAATTTAAGCGATGGGTCGTCATTATTATTGTTTTACACCTATGCCAAATGTGGATTTTTATTATAAAAACATCGAAAATATAGTAATTTTTATTATAGAACATTACTAGTACTAAGCCTAACAATTTTGATACTCAGCTTTTTTTCTTATCGAGTATGAAATATTAAGCTAAATTTATAGTTACTGCTCGACCACATCGCACAAGTATGTTCTGCGCGATCTTTAAAGCAAACTACGGTCTTGTACATTCGAACTTTGCCGCCACCTATACTAATTCCATAATACATTTTTGTGTATTTGATTTGTTCTCTACCCCAAACAGGTGGATTGCTGGTCCCTCGGCGTTCTCTTGTACACTCTAGTGTACGGTGCGATGCCGTTCGACGGCTCAAACTTCAAGCGGCTCGTGCGACAGATCAGCAACGGCGACTACTATGAACCGAAGTGTCCGTCATGTGAGTCACAAATGTAAAGCTTACTACAAGTATTCCTTTTTTTTTTAATCCTCCAAAAACGGACAAAGTAGTCAGGTTGCTCAATGAGTTTATATAGAAAATTTTGTCAGATTTTATAAATTAAGTAATGGTCAGTTTTAATGATCAACCCAATCCCCTACCCCGTGGAGCCCTGGAACCTTACTAACCGACAGAAACAACACCACCTTTTGGTAGTAGAGTAATTTATTACTGTGATTAGTGTTGCTCAAATGCAAGAACAAGACGAGACTTAGCCAGTCTTGGTCTTGGTCTTGCGCCAATACCCCTGGTCTTGGTGTTGGTCTTGGTCTTGGTCTTGCAGCAAGAGTCTTGCAAGTCTTGCAATTACCTATTAGACTATTGCTATTTATTAAAGTTTACTTTAGATCTTAACGTATTAGATTGGAACATTGTGAGCTTGAATTAACATAGCCATAGTAAAGACCAATCAGATTAATAATTGTCTGAAGATTTGATAAGAAATTCGAAAAATTTTATAAGTACGTAAGTACGCTTTTTATATTATTTTATTAGTTATGTAGATTTTTTTACACGTTTCAAGTATATTTAAAAGTGGCTAAAATATTTATCAAGCGGGTGATATTAGACCACTTTTTTGCTATTTTTTCTTGTAAAACTTAAGAAATTTAAGAAATATTTTGACTAAATGTACAATAATAGTACCTAAGTAATTAGTTTAAACCTATATAATCAATATTATAATATATACTTACTAGAATAAATTCTTATGACTTCTTCTACCTATCCTTCCCATTATCTAATCGTAATACTACTTGCGTGAGCAGTATAATGTATTCGCTACTATTCTAAGCACTCTGAAACTTATTTATTCTTTGGAACACCTGTACTCTAAAATTCGAAAATCGAAGTTCGTGTCGTACCGTCTCGCTCGCTCATATATTAAATAGTATTAGCGTGAGTGGAACGGCACGACACGAAATTAGAATTTTGCATGAATATACCTAGGCCCTGTGGCGGCAATCAAATAGTGTCAAATGTTGTGATTTCGGCGCGGCGGCAACGATTGTTGTATGTGATTTCAATAGAAGCCGCCGGCGCGTGTTTCATTACTATGTACTTCCGAAAAGCGGCAAATTTCTTTGTGAGTTCAGTACAAAACCTTTAATGCCGCATTATCAAAGTACCGATGGTTAAAACAAAATTATGCATGCACTCTGTTTGATTTTAATGGATATTTTTTTATTCGCTATGTATGTTTATGGTATTGGTCGTAATGCGCATAGGTCCAGTCCATATTCTTTGATACAGTTTTTCGCGTCTCATAGAATTCCTAAGCGTACCTATATATCGAACTGTTATACCTAACTACTTCGTGAAATAACGCTAAGTCCTGGGTGTAAGACGCAAGAGTCTTGCCGGATTAGTCTTGTTCTTGCTCAAGTCTCGCACGGTCAGTCTTGATCTTGGTCTTGCTAAAAATACGTGGTCTTGTTCTTGGTCTTGGTCTTGCAAAAATGCAAGAACAAGACCAAGACTGAATTTGGCCAACACTAACTGTGATTTTCTGTAACAGTTGTCATTTTAATTTAAATAATAAAAATATTTAGCCAACAGACCTCTAATAGGCGGTACTTACTGGAGTTTGATTATTGAAACTGGCCGTAAGTACTGTTATATATACTGCGTTATTCTGTATTCAGTTAAAATACGAGCACAACTTGATTTACTACGAACATTGTAAATCAATATTGTGCATTGTACGTTATTGAATATGAATGAATGAAACTATCAACATAACAATGAATGCAATGTTTACGATACGGACGGTCGAACAGCTAGTTCCCGTCCCGTATTAAACTATGTGCGTATTTATCATTGCCGTACAATTGGTTAACAGTACCACAAAATAGTACAGAAGTTAATCTACACATAAGGTGCACTCGATATCTCGGGCCGCTTGGGGCCATTGCGGGCGCGAGTTCCATCCGCTTGAATCACGTGCCAGTGAATTTTTTTGTTAAAATATGGAGTAACAAAAACATTATATTATAACTGTTCAGTGAACAGTTGTTTGAATTCAACATTAAACGAGGAATTGTCGTTTAATTTTTAATTTTGTATCTAATATAACAATAACATTAAAAGACTAAGTTATTATAAGCTAAAAGGTATTTACATTCCTCCTGTTTCATTCTCAACAATAAATGAAACAAGCCAAAGTTGACAATGCTAGCGCGACCGCCGAACGTAGGTATAAAAATTAAAGTTATTATATGTTAATAAAGATTACCTTCTGTACTATCTATTTTGTGGTAGTACCCTGAAAAACAACTGCCTAAACGGGACTTGTTTCATAGATTACTATCTTAGCTTAAAAATCGTTTGCATTCTAAGAATACTATGTTTTAATGACAAAAACTCATACTAATCTTTGCTGCTATGTATATAATCAGTGTAAAAGATTATATATTTAGATGTTAAGCAAAAACAGCAGAACAGATTCAGATGAAATTAAGCACACGGATAGTTAAGAAAATGGGTGAGTGCGCTCAATCTTAACAATATCGACGTTTTCAATTAGGCGGTCAAGCGTAAACCCATAGCGAATGTAAAAAAAGGAAAATTATCGGGTAAAGGTCTTAAAGTGGTGAAATGGCAACTTTTTCAACAGCAATTAAAATACTTATTGATGTTTTGTTTTGGCAACCTCCGCGTAGTGGTATGTTCGCCGGTTTTCAAGGTGACGCCTACTCAGAGGTCCCTGAATTGAATCCCGGCGTGGTGAATATTTAAGTGAAGAATATGATGAATTTGTACCTGTCATGGATGTTTATATGTGTTTCTAAATAAAAGTATACTTAAATATGTATTCTATACGTTACCCTAGTATCCACACAAGCTTTACAGTGCTTATTTAGGGGCAAGGCTAATTGGTGTGTTATAAATATTTATTTACTGATGTTTTGTTTCAGCCGCGTCGCCTCTTATCAGGGACATGCTCACCGTAGATCCGTTGAAAAGAGCAGACATCGCATACATATGCGACCATCCGTAAGTATCAGTTCAGTACTCCGATTAAGTAGATAATGAATGAATGAATATTCTTGATTGCACTCAGAAACAGTTTTTCAGAAATACAAAAACATAGAAATCTAAACACAAAAGGCGGCCTCATTGCTCAGGTAGCAATCTCTGTCAGGCAACCTTTGACTGAACTATACAAAAGAGGAAAAAGAACAGCGGGCTTCTGCATTGTAATATTAAGTTTTCTAAGTTAATATATGACCATAGTTAATATAAATTAAATATAAGTAAGATAAAAAATAGATAAACAAACACGAATATAAACATTCATTATTATTAGCGTCTGCCCGGAACTTCGCCCGCATAAACTTTAGTTTTTTGAGAATCCCACAGGAACCTGGCATTTTTCCGGGATAAAAAGTATCCTATGTCTCAATCCAGGTCATAAACTATATGCGTACCAAATTTTATCCATTTCCGTACAGTAGTTATCTTTTATTTTATTTTGGCAAGGTGCACTGGGGTGCACGCATGACTGAGCCTCAGGCGGCAGATTGTTAAAACGGTCTTGGTCAATGAAGAACCAAGGTGCAATTGGGATACCATCCTGGACTTCAAAATAATATTTACCTGCACGATTTTTGTATTTTGCCAGTCTATATGCTATGATATTATTAGGTGTTCGCGGGTCCAAGTAAGCAAGTCGTGGTGGTAAACTTGCAGATATGTTGAGGATCAATTCAATTCAATTTATTTGCATTATATAGGGTACAAATAATGGTGTTACATTTCATCTTAATTGTATCTTAACCTATTGAGTTATTAAAAGATAACATGCAATTTTTTCTATTCAATTACCTATATTAATTACCTATATGTCAATAATTCTTATTGTATACGCCATTTGTGCATGTAAAAATTGTAGTTCATATGTGTTAAAATAGATGGCGCTGTAGTTCTTTGCATCACGCTTGTAAATATGTTTGGGGCAAAACGTCACCTAACTAAAAAAGAAATCTATGGTCAAACAAAATCCACCTTAGTTTCATTTAATTCTTTTCCACCTACGCTCTCGGATTTAAGAGTCAATTTAATTATTCAATGTTGTCAATTTTTCATGTCAATAATTATGTGAATGCAAAATAAGAATGATTTTGTAAAGAATCAAAATTAAACGATCTATTTATATTTAAACCCATTAAGTATGTAATTAACCCGTGCATCAAATCCTACCATAATTCATGAACTCACCCATACTGTAAAACGTGTTTTCATTTAACCATTTACGAAGTTTTGACTTAACTTATTAAAGGTTTGGCTTTTAATTTCTTCTGGAATTTGATTATAAATTTTAATTGCCACCGCCGGTGCATTTGTTTGGATACCCTTTTTTTTCGGAACTGTCAATTTTTATTTTATTAGGATACCTCAGACTTCGATCTGTTACATCTTTTGCAACTGTATACAAATGGTGGTGCTGCTTTACAAAAGTTGCCACTTCCAGAATGTTCAAAGAAGTCAACGTTAAAATATTTAGGTCCTTAAAATATGTTCTACAAGAAATATCCGGGGCTATATTATAAATTGCCCGTATACACCTTTTTTTGGCATACAAATACTCCCCAGATTATAAGACCGTATCTTAATATCAATTCCACATAAGCATAGTAAGCTGTAATAGCTGTGGCTTTATTTGCAACTTTTGATAGTTTATGCAGAGCAAAGATAAATGAACTTATTTTATTGCTAATTTTATTTATGTGTTCCTTCCAATTTAAATATGATTCTATTATTAATCCTAGGAAAAGCTTATTATTTACATGTCGAATTATTTTATCATTAAATTTAATGTCAACTGTTTTATTTTTTAAATTATTATAATTCATTAAATTAGTTTTGTCCAAGTTAATTTGAAAATTATTTTCAGAAACCATTTGACTATAGTTATCAGTGTGTTTATAATTTCAGTTTGATGTTACTTTAATCCGGTAGTAATAGCCTGTTTGGCGCATGAATCAGCTGTTTCATTACCCGGTATCCACGCGAGAACAATAAGACGCGACTTAAGCTGACATCGGTATAGTGCTTGTCTGATATTTAATATAATTAGAAATTTATTTTTAGAATCATCAATCAGCAAAATTCTAATACTTCCCCGTCTATGTATAAGTTTCACTCCGAAATTACTCTATCTAAATTTTATATATATATGAGGAGCTCGATGGCGCCAGTGGTTAGCGCGTTCGGCTGCGATCGTTGAAGTTAAGTAACTTTCGCAGTGGTCGGTCATTGGATGGGTGACCAAAAAATTTACTATCTCGAGCTCCTCCGTGCTTCGGAAAGCACGTTAAGCCGTTGGTCCCGGCTGCATCTGCAGTCGTTACCACCCGCCAATCCGCACTGGGACATAGGGAAGGCCTGTGCCCCAGCAGTGGGGACTTTAATAGGCTGATAATGATGAATGTAATATGCTAGGTGGGTGAACACCGGTTGCGAGACGTCATGCCTAGAAGAAGCTGAAATATTAGCAGCGGAGACTCCCGTGCGGCTCGACCTGCTGCTATCGCTGGCGCCCGCCGCGCCCTCCAACTCCAACTCCGTCGTCGTGCCTGGCGAGGTGACTATAAGCCGATTTACCTATACAAGCAGTCCTCGTACTTACGGCATGTTAGGTTCTCGAAATACGTGACGTAAACTCAAGGGTTAAGATCCACATAAACTCAAAATGTCTCGTTTAGGTAGTATAGTTACATTAAAATCCACTTAAATATGTATGTAAAAACAAAAATTGCCAAGATGCAAAAAAAACTAATGTATTTTCCTATGCCGAAAATCGAAACAATTGACGTATGTTTGAGGAATAGTGTCAATATATTGTTCGACGTAACTTGAAACGACGTAAGTCGAGTACTGCCTACAACGTGTAACAGAAATAACACACACCCTGAAAATAGTTTGATTGGAATTGGTTTTCAAATCGATTTCGATAAAAATAAGTATATAAAAAAATACATAAAAAATGACCTTAATGTAATCATTATTAATCTAATCTTATTAACAAAAGAATATGGTACATAATGCAAGGTAATAAGGGCTATTTTTAAATGCAGCGGTACATGAAATAATTTTACTGACATTGAGATATGACTGGTTAAACAGTACAGTTTATTTCTGATACACGTTGTATATTACCATATAGTAGAAACCTACAATGGGACACGAACAATACCGCTTTCATTCAGACGCGTTCTACAAACTAGAAAAGTATAGTAGACTATGCTATTACTGTATTGCCATCTACGAGAACATTAACGGACCGTACGCAATAACACATTTCATTGACATTGTTTCTAATCGTACGGCTCGATTTTCTGTTATCACTGACGCTCTCCGACTCCCTCGTCGAGCCCAGCGAAGTGATATATCCGACTCATTTACCATTCTATCACCACCTATTATTGTACTTCCATTGACAAATGCATTTCCCTGCCATTGTTTCTAATGTAACTTATGACCTGCTGCTATCGCTGGCGTTTGTCGCTCCCTCCAACCACTCCAACTCTGTAATCGTACCCGGCGATGTGATAAATCCGACTTATTTACTATTCTAGTTTTGTATTTCCATTGACTATCGGACCGTTTACATGAATGCATTTTCCTGACGTTCCTTCTCAACGGACTACTGTCGCCTCAACCGCTTTGTCTCTTTCACACTTTTCTGCCAGTTGTTCGCAAGCACAGAGCAGTGTGCATTCTTCAATATTTGTTTGAAATTGAATTCGCCAAGGAAGGCGGCGTGTGGGAAGGGTTAGCGGCGATTTTATTAGACACGTCAGTGTGACGTTATGGACGGATGACAAATTTGGTGAAACGATGTGTCGATGTTTGGGGGCGAGTCACATGCTTATGTAGTATTACTGCATAATATTGGCACAAGCGGGTGCCCTGCTATGCGGCCTCTAGTGGGGTGCTCGGTGGCGACCACAGATGAAGAGAGAGTGGACTGAGCAATCCACAGCCAGCTGTAAGATAAATTGGACCGTGAGCTACTGTCCTCTCGATTTCTTGGACTCTTTCACACTTTTCTGCCAGACGGTCGCTTGATATCGCTTTCTCTCATGCAGGTATTGCTTAGTCGATTCTTAAAATATGAATCTATAAGTGCGACACGAACTTTACGGTGGTTGTGAAGTTAACAACGAGTGCAACTATGCGCAGGTTTCAATTCAGTGATATCCCGCGCGCATCATCTTACATTACTTTTACTGCGCCGCACTTGCGCTAACTTCACAGCCATAATTAAGTTTGTTTCGCACTCTACTGTATTCCTATTGACGAGGAACTAATCTAATGTATATATTGCCAGACTGAACTTGGGCCAGAAGAAAGCTGTACAGATCTTACTAACTCCACATCTATGGCGGTGGAACCCAGCAACTCAGCTGAGAAGAGAATCTTAGAACTAGTCGCAGGCGAGTTTTATGTATTCTATATTTGGTTGATATTTCTTATAATAAAATGAAAAGCGAGTTTTATTTTTATAATTATTCATAATGCACATTTGGTCGGGGGGAAATTATACGTAACTAGTTTTTGTTACAATCAAAATTTTGTTTCTGGGGATTTTAGTATATTCATCTTGTATGCAAAACTCATCAATACCTTTGCAACCGATACAGCGTAATTTAATAACAAATACTATATACATATCATTTTTGCAACATTTTTATTCGTTAATTTTTATTTTATTTCTTAAAATTATTAAAATTATCGTGATCAAGAAAATTCAACCTTTTGTTAATATAAATTATTTAATATATATTTAATATATTTATTAAATAATATTTAATAGTGTAATAATATACAGAAGGTGGAGAGGACGCGATAAAACCATCCCCAACGCGGACAATAGTATCAGCGTCGGACAACAAACGTAAGCTGGAGCTCGCTATGTCGGCAAGCGGCCTGCAGAGGAAAAAGGAACGTGTAGCTAGGTACGATAAAGCTTATAATACCATGGCAAATAACAACAGATTTTAGTTTAGTCAAATTGCACATGATTGGTTTTTTAATGAAACTTGTTTCTTTATATTTGTTTGGAACGTATAACAAGGCACTATACAGCTTATTATGCCTTGGTAGGTAACAAACAACGGTAGGTAACAAACAACAGATGTTAGTTATAGTCAAATTGCAAAAGATTCGTTTTTTTTATCGAAACTGGTTACTTTTTATTTGTTTGTACATCTGTGGAACGTATAAATTTATATTAGGAAATTATTCTTTTACAAATATTTATTTACATTTACCTGTTGATCACGGAAATAACAGTCATGATAATATAGAAAGAAACAGCAAAATGGTTTTTTTTTAATTATGATGATAAATTGAATTTAGTAGTTTAATATTATTTATCTATTTTTTTTTTACATATATATACATGCCTCTATGACGCAAAACTTTTGGTTTACAATCTTGTAAACTTTGTGACTTTAAAATATAATTTTAATAGTGTAATTCTTCACACACTTAACTATTAAATAAGAGCAAGTCATTCAGTCAAAATTACTATACCTTTTTAAAACATTAATGACCAGAATGAAAATGAAGAGTGAGATGGCGAAATTAAAGATAAAATGATTTATTCTTTTCAAAATATTTTACATACATTTTTCAGATCTTTCAAATAACTAAGATTTAAAAAAAAACTGATTTCTTGATATTTGTTTATTATATTTTCACGCACATCACTCATTAAATAAAACTAGTTTTTACGGGTCCTTGTACTAAATTTATTTGTGATTAATTGAGTTCATTAACCCGTAAAAACTAGTTTTATTCTTGATATTTGTTTATGCGTTGCGGGTTTTTAAATTGCTTATTTATGATTTTGGTGTGTCTTATATGGGTTGTCTGTTGTAGTTGTGCAAATATTCCACCCCAACAACCGTTGCCTGAAGAAATAGTGAATGACACAACGCCGGAGGAACCTCTCCCAGACGAAACGGTATTTAGATTTTTTTATTTCATTGATACTATATTTAGTCTTTTGAACATATACATATGTAAATCTGCATCGTCAAATTATACTAGTGGGTGCCCGCGACTTCTTCTGCGTAGAAAAATTGGTTTTCCTTACTAAATTCCAACCGCATAGCCTCCATAAAGTAAAATAAAAACTGTCCTATGTCTCTCCCCGGACTTAAATTACCTATTTACAAAATTTCATCTTAATAGATTCAGTAGATTAAGCGTGAAGAGGTAGATAGATATACTTTCGCATTTATAATATTAGTATGGATTTTACAATGTATTCAAGTAAACGTCTTTATTGTCATACTATAACTTACAAACAACATTCAAACTTGTGTTGTTTATAAATCTTCATTTTCTGCGCACTTTACCTATTGTTAATTCACGTTGCGTAGACTATATTAAACCTTATTTTGATAGTCACTTGTTTGATAGTATATTTTGGTAGTTGGGGCACTGGCCTTACCTATGGATAGAATAGGCTATGACACACCACGCGGGCCTAGTGCGGATCGTGGGTGCTAACGACTGCAGGTACCTTCTGAAGCACGGAAGAGCTCGAGATAAAAAGTTTTAGTCACCCATCCAATGACCGACCATTGGGAAAGTTGCTTAACTTTCACGATTGCAGGTCGAATGCGCTAACCACCTGCACCATCGAGCTCCCCTTTCCCCTTTTGGCAGTTAATATATTGTTTTCGGGCCTACTGTACTCATATCTATAATATAGAATTGTTTACAGCCAATACAGCCCACTCTTATGAGTTCAGCCACCATGACAATATCGCCCGCCCCAATAGAGCTTCATGAACAAATCCCCAACAAGGAACCCGCCAAAGAACCAACTACACCCGAAGACATTAAAGAGAAGCAGAAACCACGCGTCGCTCTCAAGAAGAAATCCTCCTTTACCATATCTAAAGAAAAAGGCTCGACAGAAAAACAGGACGATACTAAGGTCAGTTTCTACTAGACATGGGCCGACTAGCCGCCGACTAGTCGGGAAAGACGACTATTCGGCATCGTTTATAGTCGGCGACTATTCGGCAAAACAATCCGATTATAATCGGCACATAACCGATGAAATAAAACTCAAAACTTATGCTTGTTTTGAATATTTAAACAGTACCTAGAGTATGTATTTATATATGTGTATGTATATGTATAAATATTTCATTTTATTTAAGAGACTTATATCTACTACTTTTATAAGATTACATAGCGATGGCAATAAAGAAGATAAAAAGTGGATGGATTGTTTGATGATTGCTTGTTAGGGATAGAAGTACCAATAATAAGTCACCTATTCTCAATTAAGTTAAGGAAAACCTGTCATTGGCCATACTTTTAGAAATGTATCTGCTGTAAAATTTGTATCGGAAAAACGCTGTTGATTTTCTAAGAAAATAAATAAATAAACTATTTCCACGTGACCGAAAACGCCTAGGATTTGCGGAGCCTAAAATGACGTCGTTACCTGCTTGTAAACATCCTGTCGAAATGACATTACTTTGTACTGTTTGACGTTTTAATGAGAGCCGTGTGACATCACCTGCCCGTAAACACATCGTATTTTGCAAAGAAACGTTTACATATAATCAAATGGTTCGAAAGTCAAAACTGAACATTAAATATTTTTTTAAAAGAATACTTAGGATGTGATCTACAGTCGATACCGAAGCTAAAAATATAGTTTTTAGAATTTTTGTCTGTATGTCCGGGATAAACTCAAAAAGTACTGCATGGATTTACCTCAAATTTGGCACGAATATTACGGGGAACGAGCAGTGAACCTTTATTTCTAACTAAATCCATGCGTACGAAGTCGCGGGCGGCCGCTAGTTATAAATATCCACTTAACACTAATAAGTAACGTATGAACGTTTTCAAAAACTTGTGAAATAGCCTTTTCTATTTGTTAACCTAATTAACTTGGACATTAGGTGGAAGAAACGAAGCCGAGCGCCGTGGCTTCTGCCGCTGATAAGCTGACGTCACTCACATTGTCGCAATCCACTCCCGCCACCCAGAACCAGACTACCACGAAACCGAAGAAGCTTTCTCTGCCTGGTAGGTATTCTTGTATGTCATCATCAGCCTTTTAATGTCCCCACTGCTGGCGCCCAGGCCTTGGAATAGGGGAGATTGAACCATGACACCATTCGGGCCCAGTGACGATTGGTGGGTGCTAACGACTGCAGATGCAGCCGGGACCAACAGCTTAAGGTGCTTTTCGAAGCGCGGAGGAGCTCGAGATAATCAATTTTTGGTCAACCATCCAATGACCGTACACCACGAAAGTTGCTTCAATTCAACGATCGTAGCCAAACGCGCTAAACACCTGGGTCATTGAGCCACGTGGAGCTTATATGTATAGACTTGTTATTTTTTTGTTAGTTCATGTTCCCGAATTGTATGTCTATGAGCGACATTTAGAGAAAGATAACGCTATCGCATTAACGTTTGAAGTGCAAGGGACATAGCTAGCTGCCCCCTCACCACATCTTGTTATATAATGAGTTGTATTTTAATGCCAATTGTTACTTAAAAAGAGTTATTGTTTGAATAAAATACGCTTATTCTAATTTAAGCAACTGTACGATTCCACTTTAATTTTGGTATAGACAAACACTATTTGTTTATTATAGGGGGCAATGTCGGCAACTTCAAAGACCAGTTCGAGAGACGCGCATCTTTAACATCTGGGCAAGACGCTAAACGACCGATCGCTAAACCTGGTAAGTGCCTTACTATTTAAGAATTCCTTACATGCAAAATATATGGAATCCTTGGTCACGCAGATAGGAAATGTATCAAACAGTCAATGAAGCTCAAAGCGCCATTAAATTAAGAGCGGAAGTGAGCTAAGAGACATATGAGAAATAGGTATATGAAAAAAATTTGCTTTCACGTATTGGCAAATCCCGCGCGATAGGGACAACAGTAGTTAATGCTGAAAATTGCGTATAAAAATTGCAATATTCGAGGTTCGGCCCTCGACAATTTCATCTTCGAAAATAAGATATATGTAAAAAGAATACACTAAGAATAATATATAATTATACCGTATTATTATATTATGTTTTGCTCGTTTTGTAAATGCTTATTTAATCTCCACACTAGACGTCTTTAGTTGTGATAAAAAGCTTTTTAGAGGGCTTTTAGTCTCTTTGAAACACCCGTTATCGAAATAGGAAGACATAAAAGCACCATCATCATCAGCCTATTAATGTCCCCACTGCTGGGGCACAGGCCTTCCCTATGGATGGAATAAGGAGATTGGGCCATGACCCACCACGAGGGCCCAGTGCGGATTGTTGGGTGCTGACGACTGCAAATGCAGCCGGGACCAACGGCTTAACGTACCTTCTGAAGCACGGAGGCGCTCGAGATAGTTACTTAACTTCAACGATCGCAGCCGAACGCGCTGACCACTTGCTCCATCGAGCTCCTCAAATTTCGAAGAGTTGTTTTTCAAGCACTTTTTGATTGGGACACATTTTGAGCGCATTTGGTGCATCAAGGAGTATCGTTGATTTTCTTTCATAACTTTCAATTCTCTGTCGTTCCACCGAGCTTGCAACTATAGTAAAATTACATTTTTGCAAAAACAAGAGATAATTTCAAAAAGGAAATATTGCTATTGAGTTTCTTCAACAAAGAATCGCATCGTAATTAAGGTATTCCCGGTACAGGCTTGGAATCGCCTAAGGCTAGGATGGCGACATCAGCGTCCAAGATCGCCAAGCCCAAGGCGCACAGCGAGGACCGCGACCTCACACCCAAGCCTGACCAACCCGGCACCGTGCGGCTGCAACAGATCGGCATCGAGCCTGCCTCGGTAAGAATCAATTTATTTCTCACTACGGACGCCGTCGCTTCACTTCCGCGTAAATTAGTTTTTTGATATTTCTGATGACAATAATAGGCTATTTTATAATGAAAACTAAAGTGCCAATTTTGGCATGCGTATTTAACATGAATATATCCCATTCGATCCCGCGTTTAGACTATTCTGACAAAAAAAAATGATAATATTACTAAAAATCATGAAATCGAAAATTATTTGAATTGATAACTTCTTTAGTAATGGGTAAAAAATGTTAAACTCGCGTCAGGACACGTGACCTGATCGAAAATTCGTAAGACAGATGGAGAGTAGACGGCCGGCGCGGCGTAGGAGGGGAAGTATCCCCCCTCTCTTTCTACGGCACGGCGAAAATGTATGCCTACGCCTGCTGTTTCGTTTAGGCGGCGCAGGGCGCTTGCGCGAATGTTCGTGCGTGTTTATGTTACAACGCCACGCGCAGTCATGGATGGTGACAGCTGATGGCTCGACCGTCTGTGTAGTGGCACACTGCTGTGTATTCGTAAAATTCGTGAAAAAGTCGTCGAAATTATGGATGGAAGTTGATTTTTCTGAGTGATAAACTTTTTAATGTAATATAAATTGTCATGTTTGTGTACGATAGCGTAATAAATAAATATTGTATTCTACCACATAAATGATAGTACTTTTATACTGATAATTAAAGCAATTCGTGCAAAATTATTCCCTAACCATTCCAAAATATCAAAAATGCACAACGTTAATATTCAAGTTTTCACTTTTGCCGGCACTCCCGGAGGCAACCCGTCGTTTTTTTTTTACGTCACGCCACGCCTAGTATTATGAAGTCACTATACACTTATCATTAACGTATGAACGTTTTTACTAAATTATCAAATAGCCTATTCGTTTAGCAAATAGGTTTTATCCCAGAATTACAAAATCAGCCCTTGATAGTAAATAGGAATGCTAGCCCTTAACTCGATTATTCGGGTTTGCTCTACAGGAAAATAAATGCTTTAAAATTACATAACATAGCTTTTGCGAATACCCATGTGAAGTACCTGTCTGCATTATACTAGCACACATACACACGTATTTGCTATTTCTATATGTGACAACAGTTTATCCTTTTCATACTCTATAGGCACAGAGCACTCCCACTACGGTGCGCATTACTACTTTTTTGTTAGAAATCGAAATCACCGTACGGGGAGGGTAAGCTAAGCTGCGTTATGATTGGACACATCAATGTGACGTCACCGCACCGCAAGTCAAATTGGTGAAACGATGTGTCGCCGTTGGTCGTTGCTTAGGGGCGTGTCACACGCTTATATAGGATTTGCTGCATAAGCTTGGCACAAGCGGGTGTCCCTAAATACGGTTTCTAATGGGTTAACCCCATTATTATTTCTATAGAATAATAATTTACATAGCACGAATGCTAAAATAAAAAACTGTTTGGCTAGGCTTCTAATGAAAGCGCAATCAAACGCGTGTAAGTGAGACAATAGATCACAGTTTATTCTGCTTTATTTTTTCAAAGTCGTCTAAGATTTGGTAGTACTTTTTGGTTAACTTTTAAAACTTTGGACATTGAAAAACATTGTTGTACAACTTTCGAAACGATGCCGACGAAAGAAAAGTGCAATATTTGTCTCATTCATCACATACACATCATCGGGTTTATTGTGGAAAGTAGGACGGACCGAATGCATATTGTTGCTATTCTAGCGCTTCTTCTTTGTAAATTCAACTACTGTTAACATAACAAAAATCAAATAGCCATTATGAAGTACTAGTTTTGATGATTAATGGTTGTGTTTGCATCAGACACAGGAAGAGAATCGTGGCGGCGTCAAGAAGACTGAAAGCGAACCCACGCACGGCACCGCGCCTGTCGACCCCTCCGTGCTACTGCAAGATGCCAGAAGGTACAAAATAGTAACGAAAAGAAATTAAAAAATCAACTCTCTAATCTAATCTAAAACTGAACGCCGCTTTACTCTTACATGCACAATTAACATACAGATGCAACACACTCAAATTAGATATTTAGATTACAGCGGCGCGCGATCCGCATCATAGGCGATGAGGAGGTGACTAAACACCCCGAGCCTCTTAAATTACGCCGTGACGTGGCGTCACTAAGCATGTTCTATCGTCTGTATCACGGCAAGTGTTCTGAGAAGTTATTCTCTCTTATTCCACCTTCCCCTTTCCTTCAAAGGACCACGCGCGCTGGCTTACGTTGTCACCATCTAACTGTGACCACAATTCCAAAGAAATTTAGTGACTCTGTACTTTATCGCACTATCCGTAAATGAAATCCTCTGCCTGCTCACGTGTTCCCTGCCTCTTACAACCTGGGATCCTTTAAAAGAGGTCTGAAGAAGCAACATGCAGGCAGGCATGGCAGGCAGAGGTCTGAAGAAGCATGGCTGGTGTGGCAGGTAGAACTGCAGTTCAGCTATCTTCGCGTCTGGACTTCACCGTCACTTAACATCAGGTGGAGTCAGGCATTTGTCGGTGTTATCGATAAAAAAAAATTGACATTGGTCATTAAGTTGATTCAGTCGCTCACGCAGCACGCTCAGCACGCGCAATCACTCATAAATGTTCCATAGTTTGAAGGGGCGTTCAGTTTTAGATTAAACTTTTTCTATCTATAGACGACATGAACCATCGCGACTGATGTCACCATTGAGCTACCTGCTACCAAATACCTTAACAGGACTGTTGAATGTTGAAATTTTCGAAGTAGACTTTTTTTTTAATGAAAGAAATTAGTATGCGGGATGGAAGTGCGAATTATGTGAATGACATTTAAAAAAAACCTTAATGTCTGAGACAGCACCTAAAGGATTAATTAACATCCAAAACGATAAAGAAAACGATATTAAATTAAAAAAAATATTCTTATATATAATAAATAAATAAATTATTGTTTCTTAGAAGTCTTCAAAACTCTATGGCGAAATTGGCAGAAGAAAAAGCTGGAGAAGAATATCGTAGGCGCGCAGCGCGTGATATTATCACAACTGCCATACGCACAGGTCAGTCTTAATAATAATACTCCAAATGTACTGCAATCGTAATTTTTGTATATTACATTTATTGAAACGTGAAATAAATTGAAACTCATTATAATAATAATTTTGTCGTACTCTATCTATTGTTATCGCAAAAAAAAGAGATAGCACTAATTTAATCAAACTCAAAATTAATTGCTGTCTCTTAGTATAATTTTATTCCTTTAGAGCAGTGGTTCTTAACTGGTTGTCCCTGGAAACACCATAAGTGGACCACTTAATAGAAGCCAATAGTACATTAAGATACGCGTGACCTAAGTTGCCTCGCTCCGCTCGGGCGCTAACTTCACGCCGTGCAGTAATAGACAACTTAGGCCACAAGTATCGTATACTATTTTATAGCAAGTGTGACATAAACCCGCCCCGGACGCGGGCAAGAGGGGGGGTTTGGGGGATGCGATTAGTGTTTTGAAAGTAAAATTCATGTATTGCAATCACAAAGAATTGCAATACAGACTGCAAGTCAAACTCTGAAAAGAAAGAATTCCGGTTCAGATAACCTTTTTAAAGTATATTTCAAAAGGAAAAAATCAAATATCATTACAACAAAATAGAATTTCAATGTATCCATGAACGTTTATTCCTTGATTGGCATAACAATATATTAAACAAAGATACAATTCTCGCGGAATGAATTATAGCTAACCGTTTCTCCTTGTTTTGGCTGTCACTGAAAATCCCTAACCTATCACTAATTTGTTTGCTGTGAGTTTTTAAGCTCCAAATGACATTTAAATGTGTTTCCTTTTATTTTTTCTACATGAGTGAAGTTGGTCAATTCATTTACACACCGTGCAGAAATAGGCAACTTAGGTCACGGAAAAGCGTGCGTAAAGTGCGGGTTTAGGTCACACTGTGCTATAAATAATATAACATAAGTAAGAACATTGCTTGATTTACAAAAGTCGCTAAAAGGCTAAGAACCATTGCTTTAAAGTGACATACATTATGGACCCTACAATTAAATTATATCACCAATGGAATAACATTACTGAAATACATTAAAAGTATCTTACAAAACTACGCCTAGAGTTACCTAACATAAACGTATACGTACGCTAGGCAAACCGCCGGTGCCGTACGGTCGTTCTTCGTCAGCGGGCGTCGCGTCGCTAGTATCGCCGCCCCCGCCCGCCCCCGCCTCCGCGCCCGCCACCGCCAGCACTGCGGCCCCCGCCCGCGTGTTCCGCACTGAGGCGCAGCATCGCGTGGAGGACCACCGCCCCAGGTGATGATATAACGTGCCCGTATACTGTAGACAACCGCCCCGCCGCCGCCAGCACTGAGACGCAACATCGCGTGGAGGACCACCGCCCCAGGTGATGATATAACGTGCCCGTATATTGTAGACAACCGCCCCGCCACCGCCCGTACTGCGGCCCCCGCCCGCGTGTTCCGCACCGAGACGCAGCACCGCGTGGAGGGCCACCGCCCCAGGTGATGACATAACGTGCCCGTACACTATAGACAACCGCCGCGCCACCGCCAGCTCTGCGGCCCCCCGCCCGCATATTGTGTCTCAATCTTGTTTATAAACTATTATATAAAATTTCGTCCAAATCAGTTTAGTACTTTTTGCGTCATCGAATAACAAACATACAATAACATACTTTCACATTTATATTTTGCCGGAAATTTACTTAGCTATTCGTGTTTGCTATTTGTAAACTTGACAACAGTCTCTCCTTTTCACTCCCTATAGTGTAAGAAAAGGACAACTACTGTCAAAATGACAAATAAGAAATACGAAACCCAAGTGAAGTGCCGGTATTAGTATTATATCCTGAAACATATAATGACATATATCACTATCATAATAAGAACTTATTTGAATACCAAACACACTTGATGCTAAACTTGAGTCATTGTTATTAGGGGCATATCAGTGGAGCGAATCATCCCCATCCACGTGGCTGAAGAGTCGCCGTCGTCGCCGCCGCAAACTCCACAAACACCGCAGACGCCCACTCAGCCACAAACGAAGCCAGCGCCCAGGCTAGCTCAGACACCGTTAAGGTACGCTGCTTTAGAATAAAAGCATATTTGAATGGTTCTCAAAAAATACTTTTCAATATACAATGAGGATCGTTTCGAAGTCAGCAAATGAACTCAAAACTAACATAATAGTATTCTAATAAGTTTACCCATCAATATAGGTACTTTATAAATCAACGAAATTGGTCCATCCGTTGCGATTTAATAACTCATTTTATATAGCCAATATTTATCGACAGGCGCGATGTGCGGCCAGAGCGTATGACGTTATGGAATCCGCTCCGCTGGAAATTGCTCTATAAAATCTAAAATTTTTGTTACGATTTTAATCGTTTGATTTTAAATGAGGATCCCATTATCATCTTCACCTGACCTTTATATGTGCAAGTGTTGTGTTTTTTGTTTTTCTCTAGAAATATAAACTCGACTAAATAACAAAATATTTGAATCATTAAAGTATTTATATAATGCCAAGAAAATACTGTAGATTTTATTTTTGGATCTGATTTTGACATGATTCCAACACTTAATTTGACTGTAGCCTATTTTTATTAAACAATACAAACATTTCTTTAATGTGTTTATGTAAAGCCTTTGGTCCCGGCTGCATTTGCAGTCGTTAGCGCCAACTAGCAAACCAGCACTAAGCCCGTGTGGAGGCTCCTAGCCTGTACCGCCGTTTGTCATTAATAGTCTGTAAACTTATAATTTTTCATAGACGCCTGGTGTCGAACGAATCCACTGCTAGCGAGGCGTGCTCCTCTCCGGGAGATCCAATCAAGAAATCCGCGCGCGAATTCATAATCCCCATCGCGGTAGAAGGCAAAGGATACGTGACGCCGCGTCAACGCAGCCTAGAGCCCGACAGCGCCGCCGCCCGCCAGCAGCGCGCACCCCGTCCGAGACGAATCAGGTACTTTCATCCTTATACTCTACTAGTGGCCCGCCCTCGCTTCGCTTCAGTGTAGAACTGTAGTGTAGACTATAGTTTTGTTCTCAGGCTTGTATTATAAACAATGACTTTATTTATATAATTACTATAGGCACGCGCCGCCGGCCCCAAGTAACCGCTATGTCACTGCATCTTAAATCTGGAATATCTTCAAAAATACTAATTTAAATTACATGCTGCAAAGGGTCATATTGATCTCTATTTAATGCACAATGTATTTAAGGTGCTTCATTGGATAAGGATTGATGGTGTATTGCTTTAAATTGCTTCGTAAAAAAAGCCATTATTTCTCTTAAAAAGTAAAGTATAAAAAAATGGTTGCCTGTAAAGTCGGTTTTACGGGCGAAGATTTTACGTGACAACGTCTTTTTCTCGGTAGAATATTTATTGATATGAATATAATTAAATTGCACAATAGGAACAAGGAATTGAATGAAAATAAGAATTGCACAAATTTTAACTATAGAAATATATTTTGTTTACTAAAACATTGTACATGTAAACTTAAACTTAACACGAGAGACTCATCGTAACGTTACCGAGCGTTACACTTTTTCATAAGTGACTCCCAGCCGCAACCTAATTTAAGACGTTGTCACGTCAAAATGGGTTTTCATATACGATCGCGGACTTTTTTGTAGACCCTTTTTAAGGTATACGATACTGTAGTACATTATTTTGATCTATCTCGTAGGGTTCAGCCAGCGTTTGCAATGTAAGCGCAAAAAAATGTGTTTATTTACGACCTTACATTAAAAAGCTCTAAGATTATCAGTGTTTCTCCACTATATTATGCATGTATTATACGTATTAACCATCCTCTTGAATCACTCTATCTATGACCAACAAACCGCATCAAAATCCGTTGCGTAGTTTTAAAGAAGCATACATATGGACAGACAGCGGGAAGCGACTTTGCTTTATACTATGTAGTGATTCAACTTCTCCTGATACAAAAGGTAAACAAACCATAAAAAGGTTTTTCCATAGGTTGAATTTTATACGCATATAAAATCATAATTAAAAAAAGGGATATAAAAAAACCTAAAACTGTAGGAAGCTTTTCTCAAACCAACGCATTATAATACTACTAAGTTGAAGAGTTGTGGTAAAGCAAATATATTACATTGAAATGTGAAATTTCGTTATCACTCTGGTTACACCGGCCATCTTTATTCTCTATGTAAAGTTTGTGTATTTTTTTACCTTTTTCCTTAGATTAAGTTGTATAGAGTATAAACATACGCGTGAGATAGAGGCAACATTAGATTACACCACATGAAAGTTCATTATCCCCATCGCTCGAACCCGGCAGTGCCCCGCCCGAGATGCATCAGGTACTGACGACCTTATAGCGTGGGAATAGATGCTAGATTAGGTCCAGTCGTTTAAGAGAAGTTCAGTGACATACACACTCACAGAAGAATTATATATAAAGATAGGTATGTAGTCAAAGAATCAAATTATATTTAATCAAATTCATCTACGCCTTTACAACAATGTCAGTCTTTACAACAATGCAATGGGAGCGAACGTCACAGTGATTCCGAAAATCCGAACAGACAAGAACGATGTCGATATTTGTAAATGTAGTGAACGATGTAGATATGGGCGTTTTTGGTTTTGAACGCAAACGGATATTTATCGGATTTCAGATTTCAAAATCGATTTTAAAATCCGTTTTTAGATATCCGATTTCAGATGTGCCGAACTTAGCTAATTCACTAGTTTGTGTTATGATTTGGTTTTATTAGCTAACGACAATCACAAACAATTAATTGTAGGAAGCAAGGATACCCGTAGATTTTCGCGAATTTCCTTATCTAGGCTTAGGACTAGCAGAAAAGTTATGTTTACGGTTAAGAGTAAAACTTTTGCGGCGCATTTAAAAATCGGCTTTTATACAATGATTTCTTTTTACATATTTATTTAGTATTTTTTTTTGTTTTTCTGTTTGTTTTTATTATTTTTCAAACCGAATTACTTCAGGTTAGCGTCCAAAAATGTAAGTTGCTCGACTTTTGATGTTTTTAGACGACATATCTTTTCAGTGATAAATAATCCCGCCTCAGAGAAGAGCAATAGATTTCCGTAAACAGCAAATCGAAATCTGACTTCCGAGCACGAAATCTGACTACCGAAAACGAAAGCACGAATTTCGAATCCGATTTACATTTGGATACTTGTGGTATTAGATCGCTAGCGTTTTGGTTCGGTTAGATTTCTGAAATCGGATTTTCTTGTTGAGAAATCGTTCGGTATCGATTTGTGTTTGAAATCGGATTTTGGATTCGTTTTGATATATCGGACGCATGCCTAGAACGATGTATCGACGATATATCACTCATCAAAACATCGATGTTTATGACCGATACCTCGATGTTTTACAAACATCGATGTATCGTTTGCATCCCTACCTGTCCTGTGCATTAGCAAACATTCACATCAGCACTCTGAACACGTTATTGTACTGAACACGCAGAGAGCTGTACTGTTTCTGTGTATAGCGTAACCACATAAGGCTAGGCTGCTTGTATAAAAGTTGGTGCAATAAGTTCGAAAAAGAGTACGCTTAACTTCCGCGGAGCTACAAGCGAACTACAAGAACCTGCGTGCCACTATATTGGCCCTTACAGACAACGCCCTACGCCCTCTTTCAATGTCTGCATCGTCATTCAGGTCTGAGATAACGATATGACCTAGGTATTAAAATTTATCCACAAATTCGAGAGGTGTTCCATATAATTTTATAAAAGGGATGGTAAAAGAACTTTCTCTTCGACCCGAAAGACCATGCATTTACTAAACACACTTTAAACTTTACGGTATTTTTTTTAAATACTTAACTCACAGAAAAACTGTGCATGTAAGCACTTTGTCGCATCTAATTATGTGTTTTAAATTATTTTACAGCAGTCTTGTCAGCGGTGGCGAATCAGAAGAAGAAGACGATACGCACATGCATAGATTAAGGTATATTAATTTTATATTTACGTATTTATTATTATGTAATAATGTTACATTATCATTTATTCTACGTAATTATTTAGACACAATTAAACAACAAGCAATGAAAACATGATTTTTGATAATTAATAATAATTATTTCTTTCATTGTAATATTGATATAGAGTTTTTTACTATTTAACTGTCCTCAAATCCAGCTCGAAGGGCCTTATAAAATGGAATTTTTTTGATATCCTACAGAGTTAGATGTTTATATTGTTTTAACGTGGAAATGTTTTGGACAATTTTGCATGTACTAGATACAATACAATTTTTAAATTATTTTTAAGTATTCATAAGTATATACATACATACATATAAAAAATCCTTTAACGAAGTCGAAAGCCACGTATTTTCCACATCATGACGATAATTTTTTTTCTTCTGGACCATACCTGGGAAATTTATGGTTATGGAGATATTGAAGGTCAAAGTCACAATTTCTTTTCAAGACTTTTACATTAATATTTTCAAAATGTTATTTAGAAACTTTTTTATTGACGCACTTACACATACGCACTTACATACACACAGGCACATTCTTTGCGTAGCGCTACAGTAGCGTGCCGCGCTATACATTGCGTACTGGAAAAAAAATGTATTTTATTAACTGAAAAATACAAATGATTCCCACGTATAATATTTTACGTATATTACTTGCTTGGGTGTACAGAATGTGTGGTTTTAGTCTGTCATAGGGTTTTTACATCCTGTATATTATGCAAAAAAGGTGGCAAGAAAGTGTATAACCTGCCTGATGGTAAGCGACCACCATAGCCAATAAACGCTTGCGAGACCAAAACTATCACTCTTACCGTTGTCTACCCTTACCCTATCCCCTACCCCGTGGAGCCTGACTGACGTACATATAATCATATATTTTTCCTTTTACATTTATTTATTTGTATCGGTATTAGATCCTCAAGAGCGGCGCGTGCCGAGTCTGTCAGCTCAGGCGAGGAGGATGAAGAAGACGAAGGCTTCCATCTGTTGACTGCTGAAAACCTCTTCTCTACGCTTCTACATCGGGTATAGTATAAAAATTCAATTATTGAGATGAGAAACAAATATGAAAATGATTATATGTACCTATTTTATCTAATTCGTTTCCACTAGAATATAATAAGCCGTACTCAGAAACTTAATTTTATTGTTATCACTAAGAAAGTATTAGCATTAACTTTAGTCAAACTTCAAAATTAATCGCATCCGCATAAAAGTCGTAAAATTTTACGAGCTTGCATTCCTTACTGCCATAACTCTTTAACGCGTGCGTTTTAATTAAGACCTTATTCAGTATGCATTAATGTGACTTTCAATGTTTAAATAATGCCTTAAATTGTTTTTGACTACGCGATCATCTTACGGAGCTCCGTGGATCCTTGTCCAATGTACCATTTGGACAGGTTTCGGCCACGATTTTGTTTGTGTTGGTGTATCTAGGGTATTTAATATTGTTGTCTAAAAAGAAGATCGAGACAGCGTTAGGTTTAAACAATGACTTACTTTAGTCCGTGAAAGGCTGAAATTTTCTCTACGTGCCTCCGCTGTGGCGCTGTTCATACAAAACTTATTGACATTTGTCGCGTATCGAGATCGAATTCAACTGTACGAATTCGATATTGGTCCTTGCTAAGGGTAAAAGACCTTTTCTGCACGAAAATCCAAAAGAAATAACTGTTATCTCGGCATGGTCCACGTATTAATCCGGATCCGGACGTTGTCTTGCATAGGTTTCAAGTTGGTATTTAATAAGAGCCCGCACGTGACACACGAGTAAGTATGTGCGTGGCCCTGAGCGCGTGAGTTGTATGCCGAAGATCCTTTATTTCTAAGCAATAAGTGCACAATATATTGAAAGCAAAGCGATTGTGTACTATACAGGATGTCAAGTACTCCAAATAGGAAGTTTTGCGGAAGGAATACTTAATTTTTATTTTCAAAACAATTTGTACTGCATTAAAAGATTTTTTAAATATCGCCGGCCTGAATTGCCATTAGAATCTGCTAAATGTGAAAAATAAATTACCTACCGGTAATTTTACTGCACCGATCGAAAAATTCAATCATATACACTTATATTTCTCCTAAGTAACATAATATCTTTCATAAAAAGAAGGTAAGGTTTAATATAAAATTATGGTCGGAAAAATAAATTACTTTTTCTCTATGACGTGCTTACTGTACTATAAAGTATACTCAAATTTATTTTGATTATACGTATATCTCGTACGTGACCCCTGTTTGGTTTAATGTTGGGAAATATTAATCGAAACTGAGTTATGACTTATTATTTTGATGATAAGAGCGTGTAAAAAGTATTTTAAACAACCCGGAGTTGGGGTAGTTTTTGGTCTGTTGAGTGTGTACTTTTTGATAAATCAAAAAACCGTGTTTTGACAAGTATCTTGGATTATTTATTTTACTACAAACAAACAACATTAGATCTACCAGACCAGACACAAAGCGCCATCTAGTGTGATCAATGGAAACTAAACCACTACTACGCACAGTTTAGTAGACGTGATGATATTTCAGGTTCGCGCGCTTACCAACCGTTTGAACGGCGAAGAAGGCCCCGGGTTCCCTCAACACCCGCACTCTCTCTTCAACAACCTGCAGACACCGTTCTTCAACAGGTGACCTCTTTTAACCTCGCACAGTACATTGAGCTTCCTAATATAAACTTCAATTCATGGACTAAGCAACCACGTTACTGTTTCTAAGATTTTCGTTTTGCCATTAAAAATGAGTGAAAAGTCTTGTGATCAAGGAACTAGAAAAGTATTAATGAAGTCAAGAATATTTTTTTATCTACAGGTTCTATCACATAGATTCTGTGCGTGGAAATATAAAAGGAAACTTACCAATGCTTATACCTTATTTTAATTTTTCATGTGCTGAATAACAATTACCCCCAAACATAATATATGCCATCTTAGTCCATGATTTGTGATTTTTGCAAATTAGTGATTTATTTTGTCTGTTCTCTCTCTTTTCCATATAAACATGCTTACCATGGTAAGCTGAAACCGAATAATAATGTCGTAATAAAATATCATTCTGAACACGCATGTAATTTTCAATTTCTCCCATATTTGATCCGACTAAAATATTAATGTATTTTAATTTTATGCATGCAGCCCGCATTTACCAAGGAGACACTTATTGTAAGTATTAATTGAATTTGTTTTTATTACTGTTAACATTAAATGATCGTGTTAAACTTTATTTCAATAATAAAGATTGTCTGTTATATCATACATGCAGCACTCATAGATATGTGGAAAACCAAAGAAGTGTGTCAGAAACGTAAGTTCTGATTAGCGTAACGTTGATGAGCTCTATTTCTAGTTTGCTAAGTACTATTTTATTGATGTGTAACATCTTTCCTCTCGCTTTTCTGCAATTTGTGGTAGTGATTTCGTGAAATGGGACGAAAGTGTGTAACAGGAAGTCGCAAAAGCGCTATTTTTCATATGGCTTATTACTTTTGTAGTAGGTTTTATTTCTTTCTTTAATAATATAAGGTGAGGTTTCAAATCTTACACATCATACACGACTACTGTAAGGCTCGCTGGTTTTTTCAACTATTAACACTTCTTTAAAGACCTTTCATATCACACGACTTAACACTTCATACGTGAGTGAAATTGTTGAAATACACTTTACATTGCTCGCAATGTAACTTTAGTTAGAAGTAAATTACAAATTCGTTGGGTTCGAATCCCACTTGGCGATAAATATGTGTACTTTTGCCATGTTTTATTTATAATCAAATATTGGCGCTAATGCCGGCGGCATGCTTCTCTAAACCCAAAATTTAATTTCACAACAGTGCTTTACAAGAGAGTGATGTTTCATTTAGTTTTAAGTTTAGAGAATCATGCCAGAATCGACCCTCTTTTTTTATTTTGAATCTATAGATACCGTAATTGTACATAGTTTGTTTATAGATACAATAGTACAATTAAAAAATTAGAATAGGGATGGTGGCGGGGTAAAGGAAACCAAATCCTTTTGAGCCCGTCGTCGGTTGGATTATCAATAAATAAATAATAGACACTTATTTTTTCTTTTGCTTATCAACCAAGAAATGACAAAAATAAAGCGCGTCAAAGTTTGTGAGTAGGATTTGTGACACTAAGTAAAAATTGTGCCAAGAGATCATGCGACATTTTTTAATCAATATATCTCTCCAATGTTATGATGTAAATAAGGAAAAAAGTGTCCCAATATTTTTAGATAATAAATAATCTACCAATGAAGACAAAAAATAAACATCATCCTTATTTTAGTTATTTTTAGTATTCGAAGTTATGTTAGTATAATAATGTAATATTTATGTTATATATAATCAATATCAACCTTCAGACTTCATTATGTTTGTTTATGAAAATAAGAATTTACTTCACATTCTTATTACCAACACTTTAGATTTTAGTTGATATTAGTTCCATCATCCATTTGTTACTAGTTGAGCCGCTCAATCAAATGTAGAGTCGATAAAGTGTGATGAAACGGAAAGTTTGTTTTCCAAAAAAGTTTTCAATTTTTTTTATCTGGCATATAAGATCCTACTAGGCTCATAGGGACTTTATCGGCGAGTAGTAAAACAGGCCCTATATAATATAGAGGTATTACTCATATGTTTGACTATGCCAATCCCACAAAGGGTTCATATACATTGCGGACCTCCGTGGCAGAGTGGTTTCTACGCCGGGTTTCATGGTGTCGCCGACTCTCGGGTTCGAATCCCGGTGGGTGCAGCTGTTTGTGTGATGAATACGAGCATTTGTACTCCAATCATGATGTTTAATATGTATTTCTATATGAATATACTTATATATGAACATTATGTGTATTCTATCCGTTACCCTAGCATTCCATAACACAAGCCTTCCAGTGCTTACTTTGGCGCTAGGCTAATTGGTGTGTTGAAAATATTTTTTTTTCTTTATACATCGTAAAATAATCATCTTAGAACGTTTACATAGAAGATGACCGTGTAACATACATGTTGCAGCCGCGAAGGTTGGGGCGCGCGCGACCTGCACGCCAATTTCGACTCTATGTTCAACAAGCCGCGTTCCGTGCCGAGAGGTAAGTCGCTTGCAGCCGCCGCCCGGGAAACGTTGCCATTATCACGCACTATCACGCCTCGCACCCGCTATACAGAAATATAAGAAATATGTGAAGGGATATAGATACAGGAAAACGATCGCTGTTACTGTGGCTTTCAAGATCAATTTCGCGTGCATCGACGGATTTTATATGCCGTTTTTATTACAGAAGTTCTTCTATTTGTCCCATTTGATGTTTTTGCAGTCATATTTCTGACTATGTAAAATTTTATGTTACGTAAACTTGCAATTTCCTTATAGATTAGGAAATACCACTGAAAACTGTCATTTCCATCATTAAAATAAAAAAAAATGTCTGAGATCATCTATCTCAAATGATGTAGCTTCGTTTTCAAATTATAGAAGTAAATCGTGATTTTCATTAACCGCAGTCAGTACATATAAAGCTTTACCAAATTATTTTCTAGCATGAATGTCGATCTCATTGTAAATTTTTGAGCACAGTCACACCAGTAGTTAGCGCCCGGCTACAGAACTCACAATAAAGCTAGCTTTCACTAAAACGATCTAATAATATCACGCAACACGTACGCAGTCCGCGTCACATTCGAATCGATTACCAAGTGTCTGATATTTGCGACGTTTTCCAAACGTATTAAGTACACGTTCGTAACAATGTCGTATATAATTGACTATGCATCCTTATAGTCCATTATATAATCTGTGTGTTTGTTATGGATTTCTTTAACTGTTTTTTTTTTACCATTAATCAATAATTTTAACCCTTTTTTGCACTGTAGTGTTGTTTTAATGTATTCAAATTGCATTCTTTGTGCAGGTGTTTCTCCTACTCGCTAACACTAGCAGGAAAATGTTGCGTTGCTATCGAATATCATAAAGTTTTCATCTTGTAGTAAAGTGCATGTAATGCGAAAAGGCATTTCATTTGACGCATCGCCTCTGGCAATACACAGTTGATTTAGTACTGTAAATTTTGTTTTTTTTTTTTGTATCTATATTAAATTTTCAAATTATATATAATATATATAATTTCAGCAAAATTGAACTTCGAGCCAATAATTATATCGTTTACAGACCGACAGATAATCGATTAGTTTGGAACGTGATCATAGTATACATGTGTAGATAGTGGATGTGGTAGCACTGAATGTATCGTACGAGCACTCGTTACTCGTACGCAAGTGTCCTATGTAGAATCATGAAACATGCGCTATGACCTTGTGAGCTATGATGACACGCGCTCTCGAGCGAGACAACTTATCTGCAGCCAGACTAGGACAAGCGTGTCGCTCTCGCGGGGGAACGGGGGGGAATCGGGAGGGGAAACAGGGGAGAATATAGATGGCGAGCAGCAGCAGCGGTAGTGAGGTTGTGTTGGTGTGGTTGCAGTTGGGTTGCGCGTTACACTGCATGCTCCGACCAAATCTTCACTTCACAGCGGCACCAGCGCCAACCACAAACCCGCCACAAACGCCACACAGGAATAGGTACTAAACTCTATTTATTTCTTCATATTTTATGTGTTCATTTACTTTTTTTTATATTCATTTTGTGTTCCGCACCGACCGTCGCGCCCTCTTTACCAGAACAGAGATGCCTTTATACATATCGTGGTATACTACGCTAACGCGACTCGAGTCCCCTCGAGCATTCTGGTAAAAAGTAGACACAGTTATCGAAAGCAACATTTTAATGCATCCCCCTCTTGTGTTTTCGTTTTTCGCATAATCAATGCTTCGAGTTTGATCTAATTCGTTCACTCGCCGCGCGTAGCTCCTAGACACTAATCCGCTAACAAGTCCGCATCGGCTGAGCTCCGAGCCCGGCGCGCTCTCGCACCATCGAAACGCGTGTCTCTCGATTGCTTTCCAGGTGGGAGGCGGGGCGGCGAGCGGGCGCCGCCCGGGGCCGGGGCCGCGACCGGGGCCGGGGAGGGGCAAGGGGGAGAGACAGAGTCGCTGGACCTGTCGGACCTGGACCTGAGCTCGATCCGGCTGTCGGAGCGCGAGGTGCGCGCGCTGTCCGGCCTCACGCCCGCGCTGTCCCGCCGCCTGCAGCTGCAGCTGCTGGCCAGCCTGCCGCCCGCCGCCGCGCGCCGTCTGCGCCGCACCCTCTCCCTGCACGACCCGCCGCCCGCCTCCACACCCCGCACCCCCACATCCGACCCCACTCCCGCGCCCGACCCGCCCGCGTCCGCTCCGCGTCAGCACTCGGAACCGCCGCCGCCACCACCGCCGACGACCGACGCAGGAACCCCGCCGCCGCGCGAACCATCCCCGCCATCCCCACCGCGACCTGAAGTGGCGACCTCACCGCCGCCGCCGGCACCGTCACCGCACCGCCTGCGCTCCCCGGAGTGGACGCCGGGCGCGGCGAGCGAGGCGGAGTCGGTGCGGCAGTTCTGCACGCTGCCGCGCCTGCGCCGGCGGGCGTCGGCATCGCGGGACCCGGCGCCGGCGAGCGATACGGGCACGCCGGACCGGCCGCTGCTCAGCAAGTACCTGGCGCCGGAGCGGGCCGCCTCCCTCGACGACGCGTATTCGTCCGACGGCAGCATCCTGTCCGACCCGAGCTACGTGGCGGCGTACGGCGGTGCCCTCCGACGCCCCTCGCCACGGCTCGCCACCGACCATCCTCGCCGCCGCGTCTCCCGGTTTCTGAGGTCTGACTTTTTCGACTCGCCGCCCGACGAGAGCGTGTACGCGAAGCACAAGAAGGAGAAGGAGCTCGAGACGCAGAAGATCCTGCGCGAGATCAGAGAGAAGAAGAACAGGACCCTCGAGTCGCCGGGCGTGCGCAGCCCGACGTCGGACTACGGCGACGAAGCGGCGTACAGGAAATGCCTTTCGCCGGTTTCCCTTCTGCAGGCGAAGGAGAGGAGCCGCTCGAACACGCCGTTCTTCCCCATTCTCGACAATATCAAGGAGACCGCGGCGGACGCGATCCACGCGAGCACCTCGAAGCGAAAACCTTTAAGCGACACGGGGGAACCGAGGCTGACGTCGCGAATAGACGAAAGCTCCTCGTTTAGAGAATCTAAGCTGACGAGACCCAAAAGCTACCCCGTCAAAAATCTAGATTCCACGGAGGAACCCTCGTCCCTGATGTCGGGAGACAGCGCTGACCGCCAAAAAGAAGCTGGCGATAAAAACTTGCAAAAGGAATCCAAACTGATGAGGCCGAAAAGTTACCCTACAAGTAGCCCATCCCCAGAAAAAGTGTATATAAATCGCGGTAGTATTAAAAAAGAAATCACGCCCAATGCCAAATCAAAGGATGAGAGCTTGAAGAGTGATGTCGAAGTTAGCTTTAGCATAACGTTACCGGCGAAAAAGTCTGACACCCGCAAAGCCGTAGAATCCACTAATGACAGTGAGTTTCTTCAAAATGAGGATGAGTCTAACCTCGGTAGCGAGAAACCCACTAGCGATAGTCTTGTCCTAAGAAAATACAAGGTAGTAAATGAGGAAAACGATAAACTGGAACGTAAGAAAGAAAATGGCTCTGTTGTTACCAACGGGATCCCAAAAGAAAGTCCATACAAAGTCCTAACTAGTTCAGAAGATAAGAATAATAAAATATCGAATACTTCTAAAAAAGATGAAACGAAATCAAAAGTCTCTGATGCTGAGAGTACTGAAAAGAAAGGAACGATAAAAAAGAAAATTATTAAAAAAGTTTCCTCCAAATCGAAGACTGACTTGGGAAGCAACCAAGATTCGACGGGCGCCAAAAGTGGTACTGAAAAGAAAAAAGTTACGAAAAAGGTAAAAGATAAAGTTTCTGAAGATGGAACGAAATCTGCGACAGTCACAAAAAAGAAATCGATGTTGCAATCTATAGGTCATAAATTAGAAAAATTTACTTCAGCTAAATCTAGTTCGCCAGAAAAAGGATCAGAAAACGGTATTGCTGTCACAGAATGTAATGATGCGCCAAAATTAAAAAGGATGCAAAGAGAGCAATCAGTGCCAGTGAGTGCAGAGCCACCCACTGAATCGAATCTCATTAAAAGAGCGGTTACATTGACAGATGTTGCTACGTTAGATACCCCAAATCTTAGCAACACAAAAACGACCGTATCTAAAGTTCTGGGTCTCTTTAAAAAGTTTGAACCTAAGGAGAAATCTTCGAAACCCCTCGTAGAGAAGTCTTCTAGTGAAAACTTAGAAACAGGTACAGCTGATAGTAAAATTGAAACACCGGCAGATATGTCTTTGGATATACACGATAAAGAAAAACCTCGGAGGCCGACGTCATTGCTTTTGAATGGGATAGGTCGCAAAAACAAATATGGCAGATCCGCTAGTGATAACATCGTAGAAGCCTCAATCGAAAGCGACGAACGAACTGTACTTAAAAAAGATAATGAACCCAAGAACCTAAGAAATACTTTAAAACTAGACTTCTCCAAATTGCCAAGAGTGAAAAAAATAGTTCCTACGAATCCTGTGATAGAACCCCAATTGCTAAAACATTCTACAGAAGACAAGGAGACTGAAAGAAAAGATAATATAGAAAGAAAACTTAGCGCAACCCACGACAGCATCGTTGAAAATAACGATTTAGAAACTCGTAGTCGATCAAGAAGCAGATCGACCATATCAAATTCCGAATTTAAGTCTGATCTCAGTGTAGATGATAAGAGTGCAGACAAACATTCACTGTCACCTTCCGATACTACTATTAATCATCCTTTACGCGGTCGCGACTCGATATCTCCCGAGAAAGACGACATTGTCGACAGAATTAGAAGAAAGAGTTTTTATTCGAGGTTCAATGAAAAGAAAGCAAGACGAAAGAGTAGTTTAGTAGGACCGGGCGCTACAGATTACGACCCTTTGGCCCGAATACACTCCCCGCCTGTAGAAATGAAATACGACGCATCTCCTACGTCTCCTCCCCACGGTGCCTATGACTTGTCGCCAGGTTATTCGATCCCTTCAGATCTATCCCCCTCTACGGAAAGGTACCGTTCACTATTGACCGATTTACCAGTAAATACTAGGAGTAATTTAAGGTTTGACAACTACGGATTGAATGATAAAATTGACACGTATAGATCTCTAGACCGCAATGACTTCAGAAAGTGTCCTGGTAGTCGAAGCTACTTGGATTATGATCAGCCGTTGTCGTACGGAGCCCACAGATATTCAAGAACGAAGTCGCTCTTGGAAAACTCAGACGGTATAGAAGAATCGTCTCTTGGACATCTTAGAGATCCTCACAAATATAACAGAACTCTGTCCATGTATTCGCCGGGAAATTATGCTACGTACAGACCGAAAAGAACTAGAAATTCGGCGATAATATTGAAGGAAAGTGAAAAGGAACCTAGCCCCGAGAATATCCTAGAAAAAATACGAAATAGAAAAAAAATATCTATCAGCGTGACTAGAAAACCAGACTCTGACAAGGACCCACTACTCAGGTGTGTATAATATTTTTTGTTCTCTTTGAGTTACGTAAATAATTCACAATAACTTATCCCTTCGTGAAAGATAATACGAGTTTACTCTGTGCACGCTTCATGCTTTCGATTTAAATTTGACAGCACTAATGCTTTAAAAAGATCGAGTATACCAAGGATTTATAGAGGCGTCAAACTGTATAAATATATGTTTGTACATTGTGCCCCTTCAGTGTAGATAGAATACAGATTTACTCATTTCTAATCAGCATAATATTATTACGTTCACTTTATTCTTGCATAAATACTATCACATTGACAAAAGAAACGAGCACAAATTAACGAAATTTTGGAAATTATAAATACTTATTATTATTCTTTTTATATTAAACACAGCATAATCATTGAACACGTGACGTAGAGACACAAAGACCATAGCGCATATTTGTCGGCTGTATATGAGATTCTGGCGAATTGTTTTCAGATCCAATGTCTCATCTCAAGGCGAAGGCGACCGTGCAGAATGCTCTGAGAAAATTGACTGAGAGGAACTATTGATGGCGCTCGCGACTACCGACGGAACTGTGTTGTGATTTATAAAAGCATTTTTTATTTTCATCTCACTTATAGTAAAAACAAAAGAATGTTTACCGATTTCTAGTATACACTAATGAATCTCATCTTCCACTTTTTATTCAGTTATAAAATATGGATACGGTACACCCTTAAGGATGGGATCGTTATCTATGCGAACTTCTGTAATTTTCGTCACATAGAAACGACACTCCAAGATGAGAGGTTATAAAAAATCTTCAAGTCCATTAGTTGAAAAACAGTAACATTTTATATTTACTGTATTCAAAGTATTTTTTTTTTTGTTTTAAATTAAGATAACAGCAGATCCCTCTTTCAAGTGATTGTAAATTTTTCAAGTATTTATACTGGGCTTATGGCCCAGAAATTAAGTGGCGAAAATCTTACGAAGAATACGCATAGTCCCAGAACGTTAACTTCCTTGTGGTGTTATCAACTGAATTTTGCCAAAGCTAACCTTTTTCTGTTACATCGAGACGGATGACTGCCGTAAGACTGTCTCTAGTGGCAAATATCTTAGATTCGCACTCATTTTAATGAATCTCCATTGTAAATTTTAGTACCTAGATTATCTATCGGTCGCATATCCCGATAAAATAGTAACACTAAAATCGTTTGCCTTAATATCCTTGCACTTGGAACGGTTGTAATAATGTTGTTGTTCTATTTTGCCAATGCAAGTCAAATCACGAAATTATTTGCCCACATCTGTTTAGGTCGATATAGATAAATGCATTCAGCAATAAATCTCGCGTATCAAAAAAATAAAACTGTCGGCTCTTTGTTGTAATATTAGTAACTAGTAAAGAACTACATTTTAATGAGTTAAAATTTACATCAAGTATTTTTTAATTTAAAAGATATTAAAACGAATTAATTCCAAGTAGATAAAGTAAGAAATAATAACTTAAGGGCAAATAATAAGCATCACGTAATTATAATGTATTAGTATTAAGATGTAGCTTTTCAGCACAATGAATTTAAGAGAAACAACATTAGACCTGCCGACTTTAGGATTAAGAAAATTAAATATTCTAGAAAATTATTTAGATTACTTTATGGAAAACAGGAAATGCTATTAAGACAGACGATATTAGAACTCTACATCGTAGGGATTACGACTCAAGAGGCATTATTGCAATAAATTGTAAGCTACTGTGAAACTTTTATTTGGCAATACTTTATCCAGTATTTAATATTTGGGAGTATGAATAGTTATTTATAAATAGAGTAGATTTCACAGGTGCGTTCAAGTTTTATGATTATTATTTGAATAATTTTATTTATTTCTACACTGATAAATTTAACACGATTGAGTAGCAAACTATGACAGAATAATATTTTATGACAGGCTTTTGATATTATGTCAGGCCTACAGGATTAATTCTTGCAATATTTACTGTGTATTTTATTGACTATTTAAAAAACCATATTTTGCAAAGAAAAATGTTTTAAGTGTTAATTGTAAATTGATTCTTATGTGCCTTTATAAAACATAAGTGACTGGATTTGATATTTGTCCATATTATGGAAGATGGTGTATTGCCACGATTTTATGTGTGTGTTTGCACAAATGTTTAACTCAATATGGTTAATTTTTTATTTCATAGTTAATATTATATAATTTTACATTTTTATCAGACCCTAAGTCAATGTGTTTAAGTTTACCTTTTTATCATAATCATATAGTATTGAAAGCTAAGTCACTGTAACAGTAATCGAAATAGAAGGTGCTTAGATGATTTCGTTAGGAATAACTTGTATTTATAGATTGGACGTGTTATAGAATCACTTACACATGTATTATAATTTAATATAAGTTTTCGTTCAGTTACACAAAATGTATATGGGCGAAACTATGATCTGTTGAACAAGAAAACTGTATTTGTAAAGTATTAATGCAAAGTTTGTAATATGTCTTGTTGCCATTTTTTTTTTATAATACTTTAAACATGCCAAAATGACGGCTTGTTGAACATTGAGACGAGTTGTTTGTAAGCAATAATTTAAAATAATTGCGTTTGTCATTATCATTTTATCATCTCGGAAACTATTTATTAAGTGTGTGGTGATTTTTAATATTTCTCTTGTTAGTCATGGTTACTGCATGCTGACACAAAACTGTGATTGTTATGACGACGATAATGTTAAATTTGCTATCACACACGTTTTGTATTGAATGTGAATAAATTATAATAGTTGAAGAAATTACTTTTATTAAGGTGGCAATCTTCAAACTTTTAAATTCTTACAGCGATATGGTTAAAATTAATATTAATAAATTATTTTGTATGGCATATTTCTCTACCGCACCGTGTACAATACCTCACAAATACCAAGTGGAGGATGGAGCAATTTACCAGACTTTTAAACAGGGACCACACAATGATAGAAAACTTCTAGCGATTCAGTTTCGGTTTGCACAATATCTCCTCTCGACGTTTAGGGAAATACGCCTAATGAACCGACCTCTGGTAATAGGACCTCACGTGCCGACAGAGATTGATTCTTATGGCGGCACTTCATTTGGCTATTCGTGTTTGGTATTTGCAAACGACATCAGTATGTCCTTTTCATTCCTTAAAAAGCATGATAAGGACAGAGTATTGTCCAGTTTACAAATATAAATACAAATAGCTAAGTGAAGTGCAGACATTACATAAAGATTGGATATGTATAAGACCTTATTTCCAATTAAGCTTTGTAGCGACCTGCCGAATCGCAGCCGCGTCAATGGGAATTGGTATACTTTCTTATATCTGAAGAAATAGGAATCGCGCGCGGCCAAAAGCCCGCGACTAGCCGCTTAGTGGAAATAAGGTCTTATAAAGCGTTTGGCTACGGCTATATATAACTGCGGGTATACCCAATGTAATAATACCTCTATACCCTACTGTACATGGACTTAACCAATGGCGTATTTGTCGAAAAGAAGATTCGACGAATTCACCAATTTCGTAACACCCGCGTGAATAAGAGATTTTGACAGACAAGGGGGGACAATAAAAGACGGTGAATATAATGTATCAGTGTTTATTGTAGTCTATCAGTTAAGCGAGTAGCGGTTGCAGATCCTGGAAGTACTTGGCGTCGGCCTCCGCGAGTTGTTCCAGGATATCGTCCACAGTGGCGTCGGGAAAACGATCCACCCACGAGGCTACCATGCCTTCTGCACTAGCCGGGTACCGCTTGAGTTCTACGGTGTCATCTGGTAACAACAACTACAACAACTGAGCAATAAAAAAACCAACACACCAATTAGCCTAATTAGCCTAGCCCCAAAGTAAGCACTATAATGCTTGTGTTATGGGATACTAGGGTAACGCATGGAATACATATATTGTACATATATTGACGACCTCCGTGGCCGAGTAGTTTGTACGCCAGGTTTAATGGTGTCGCCGACTCGAGAGGTCCCGGGTTCGAGTCCCGGTGGGGGCAGATGTTTGTGTGATGAATACGAGCATTTACACTCCAGTCATGGATGTTTAATATCTATTTCTATATAAATATACTTATAAATATTTCCAACACTCACACCAATTAGCCTAGCCCAGAGTAAGCACTGTAAGGCTTATGTTATGGGATGATTGGGTAACGGATAGAATACATATACAGTACATATATAAGCATATTCTGTCTCGAGTCGGCGACACCATGAAACCCGGCGTATAAATCACTCGGCCACGGAGGTCGTCGATGCAATCTTGAGATGCTGTTTTATATGAAAACAGTATCTCAAGAATGTAGTCACAGAGTTGAGTGATATATTAATACGGGCCTAATGGATTACACTTGGTCGTTAGTCCAATACAAGTGCCAATGGAATTTGGGTAAACGACTAAGTGTACGTCTTCTTTCATTTGATAACTTCTGTTTCAAAGAACCTAGAAACTATCGAACAAGGTCAAAAATAAACAAAATTTTATTACCACTAAAGACGTAGAGTGTGGATATTTAATAAGCATTTACAAAAAAAAAACAAAACATAGAGGCGTAGTTATACTATGCCTTTACATTTATTTAATATTTGTGGTGGAAATCGTCGAGAGACAAACCTCGAATTTCGCAATTATTATACGCAATTTTAAGCGTTAACTACTGTTCCTCCCTCTCGGACGGTATTTGCTAATGCGTGACAGCCATAGTTTTTTCAAATGTTTCTCAGCTCGCGTCCGCTCTTTACCCAATATCCCTATTCCATCCATAGGGAAGGCCAGTGCCCCAGCAGTGGGGACATTAATAGGCTGATGACGATGATGATGTATTGGTATCAACCGGCTTATTCGCTAAATTTTTGACATTTACAGTACAAGGAGAAAATTGCATATTCATCAACGGTTTCAGAACAAATATCTTAGTGGCGTTATAATAAAGCTGTAGTGGATAACTAAATAGCTCGGTGATTATCACTTCCATCTGTCAAAGCGTAAGTGGTCCGGCCCAGATTTAGGGGCCTCCACTCCTTCGTTGCCCCAGGGTCGACACATCTCTAAATCCAGTCCTACTAACCATACTAAATGTATGAAACAGATAGCTTTCGGATGCGTCACAACGCAACACGGCAGATAAGTGTAATTCTGTCATAAAGCCATTAAAACAGAAGAATAAAAACCGGCCAAGTGCGAGACGGACTCGCGCACCGAGGGTTCCGTACAAACTCAATTTAATACCTCTACGCGTTCATGAGAAAAGAGGTAAAGAGGAAAAGTAACTTTAAAATTCTCACAAAATATTTTTTTATATGAAGTAACTAAAAATTTACGGTTTTTGCAATTTTTCCTACTATAAACCGTTACTTCGTTCCAAATTTCAAGATTCTAAGTACAACCTGTAGGTTTTGATTCCCATGCGAGTTTCGAAAATTTGCGGCATAAACGACTGTATCTTTTGATTGCTTTGGCTTAGAAGTTTGATTTTTTCACAGCTTCAAGGGACAGTAGACATGAGTATTAGATATGAATTTCAGTTTGATACCTCCATGCGTTCCTGACAAAAGCGGTCTTGACAGGCGGACGGACAACAAAGTGATTCCTATAAGGGTTCCGTTTTTTCCTTTTGAGGTACTGAACCCTAAAAACAAAAGTTCCCAACCTTTGACCGCAGTGTTAGGCTGCACGAATATATTGCGCGGCTGTTTGTGTAACAGCACTATGTCCCTCCATCTTGCCCAGGGTGATTCAAGGCTGGAGTACTTGTTGAATAACGCCTCGCCGCTAGAAACGTCGCCCGTCGCCTTTATAGTCTGCAGCTTCACCAGGAATTCGCCTGTATTTCAAAAATCATTATTAAAATCATTCGCTCGGATTAGGACTAAGCACGAGTTTTTGAAAGCTCCGTTACGTATCGTCATCGATCGTCAAATTTTGTATGAAAAAAGCTAGTTTGCTTTTACGTCCGATAGGTGAGCTGTACCCTTAGCACAAAACAATATCAAATTCGAATAGTTTCCGAATCTGCAATGTTAAATTTTGTATGGAAACTTAAACAGCAGTGCCATAGCGGACGTAACGAGGAACTAAAAATCAGTACACATTTGGCAATGACATCACGTACTCCCAAACTATTCGAATTCGATATTGGTTCGTGCTAGGGGTACTGCTTAGTTTTCATAAAAACTTGTGAAAAATTCGTGCTTGGGCTTCTGATGCCTGGACCGCGTGCAATTTTCTCTAGCAAGCAATTTCTTTAGATTTATAAATCTAACAGTTAAATGCTTAAAATAAATATAATAAAATCATTAATCAATTTATGCTTAATTTATACTGCCGCTGAATGGAATGGAAGCTATATTTTGTAATGAAATTCTGCATGTGCATAGAGTTTATAATTCCATGCACAATTTCATTGCAAAAAATCTTGCTCGGACCCTGTAACAATCAATAAGCCATCTCCTCCCAGTAAACAATATTATATGATACTAGCTATGCCCCGCGGTGATACCAGCGGTTTATTAGGGATATTCCCCGCAGTAAAATGTAGCCTATGTGTTAATCCAGGGTGTCAGCTAACTCCATACCAAATTTTATTTAAATCGCTCCAGCCGTTTAGACGTGAAGAAGTAACAAACATACACACTCACAAACTTTCGCCATTGTAATATTAGTGTGATTTACCGACGATACTCTTGCCATCTGTCATTAGACGCATCTTGTCTAGAGTCAGCAGCTGATCCATGCCTGGCTCAGACTCGGTAACAATCAATAGGCCATCTTCTCCCAGTAAACAATATTATACGATATTTACCGACGATTCTCTTGCCGTCTGTCTTGAGACGATTCCTGTCGAGTGTCAGTAGTAGATCTTTGCCGGGCTCAGATTCAGTAACAGTCAATAACCCGTCACCCTCCAGCTCCAATAAACGCATTAGAACGAAACGCGCCCGCGCGTGAGCCTGTAAGTAAACATTATTATATGTTACCTAGTTGTCCCAGCGAACTTCGTACCGCCATAAAAAAAATAGGGGTGGTAGAAGGGTGAAAATTTAGGGTTGTATGTATTTCAGTATGATGTATCATAAAAAAATGCCTAACAATAAATTTAAAGGCGGATCACATCTTAACATTTAGGGGGATGTAAATCGTCAAATAGTTACTCCGTAATCATAGATCGTCCACAGACTCCATGCGTGTAAAATTATTTAAACAAAGTTCGTTTGTCCCAATCTTTAAATATACGCAGTTTTCAAAAATTTGGAAATAACCTATTTTACCTGCAGCCAAGTCTTAGTGGTGGGTTGGTACATCTCCGTGGCCTTGGCGGCGCCGTTCCACAGCAGGCTCAGCCAGTTCACGTACGTCACGTCCTCCGCTTCCTGGCCTTCGTAGCCGAAAATCCTGAGAAAAACACGTATTTATAATGTAAATAAACGTTAAATATCGTATAATATTATTAACTTATTGTTAATTAATAATATTAATGTGATGAAAGGTTGGCGAAATTATGTCGTTTTGATTTTACTGGATGGATCATCGTGACACTTAGGACGACCTCCGTGGCTGAGTGGTTTGTACGCCGGGTTTCATGGTGTCGCCGACTCGAGAGGTCCTGGGTTCGAATCCCGGTGGGGGCATATGTTTGTGTGATGAATACGAGCATTTGTACTCCAGTCATGTATGTTTAATATCTATTTCTATATAAATATACTTATATATGTATTCTATCCGTTACCCTAGCATCCCATAACACAAGCCTTATAGTGCTTACTTTGGGGCTAGGCTAATTGGTCTGGGTGTTGGAAATATTTATTATTTATTATTATTTACTTGTCATTAAGTGAGGAACACGCCCTGCTTGAAATTGTTGAAGATCTTTTTCTTTTTTGGTGCTGCAGATATCTTTCGTTGGTCCCGGCTGCGTCTGCAGCCGTTAGCACCCATCAATCCGCACTGGGCCCGCGTGGTGGGTCATGGCCCAATCTCCCTATTCATATAGATGGCCTGTGCCCAAGCGGTGGGGACATTAATAGGCTGATGATGATAACGTAACTTTTATTACACAATGGTGTCGATTCTGACATGATTCTCTAAACCTAAACTTACTCGACAGGCTCGATAATCTGACAACAGTGTATCCTTATCATTCTCTATACAGAATGAAATAAATGATAAATTTAAAAAATCAAAAAACCTGACTGCTAAAATATTACTTCAAATAAAATATGAAAATAAAAAAAATATAAATTTAAAAAATCAAAAAACCCGACTGCTAAAATATTACTTCAAATAAAAACTGAAAAAAAAAACAAGTCCAGTAGTTTTTAATTCTGTTAAGTAAGGAACAAAGCTACTTTAACAGTCGGGACCCACTATTGAAAATTTTTATCCATTCTTGAATATCTAATGGGTACTGGTTGGTGGTCTTAGATCGCTAAATTAAATAATTATGCAATAACCAAAGCAATTTTTATAATATAGGATTAAACTAAAGGCGGGGAATAAAATTTTCATAGCGTTAGGTACAGCACCATAGCAATCCCATTTATTGTCAATTTATCACCCAATGGATAGATTTGTCGTTCTCTTTTAAAGCATTCTCCAGTTAAAGGCACACAATACACTCTGTCCTTAACACAACCCCACAAAAAATAATCTAGTGGTGTTAAATCACATGATCTGGCTGGCCACTTAACAGCTGAGTTTAGTGAAATTATGCGATCGGGAAATTTGGTTTGCAATAAATTGATCATTTCATTGGCTGTGTGACATGTGGCGCCGTCCTGTTGAAACCACATATCAGTGATATCCACGTCATCAATAATAGGCCAAAATTCGCCATTTGGTGGTTCTGGATAACCCCAATTGTTGAGAACGTCGCAGAATTGACAAATTTGGATCTGCCTCACACTGTGGCTCACGGCTGCGATGCTTTCAGTTGAACAACCCGGTCGAACACGCGATGGTGTTGGCACATTTTGTATCGAGCCTGTCGACTCAAATTTAACGACCAAATTCTTAATAGCGGTCTCAGCAGGACGATTATGTTGTCCGAAAATATCACGAATTTGACAAAATGTAACTGTAACAGAACCACTATTTTCATAGTGGATTTTCATTATTTTAATTCGATTTTCAAGCGAAATTGAATTCATTGTAACAATTGTCAATGCATCTTCTACGAATACGGCAAAAAACTAAATGTGAAAACTATCATATTGTTGGTGTAACCACAATTCAAAAACAAAGTTCTTGTGAACAACCCTATATAAATACATTTTATCCGAGTGCAATAGGCTGTATTTTATCCCGTTAAAATAAATTTCCGGGGTGGATCACTAGTGAGTTTGTTTTTTACACTTCCGCGCCCTAATAGCTAAATTGATAATGATGAATTTCCTATAGAAATAGATGGACCTTGGTTCTAAGCTACAATATCGCAATACTTATGCAATATCATTATAGGTATAGGGTTATGGATTTACCTATAAAACTTTACATTATTTACTTTGAATTTTGCAGAATTATCGTTTACAATTACAAAAGCAACATTATCGCGAACTGATTAATAAATACAGGGAGTTCATTAAATATGTACTTATTAGCGAAAAATAGGTTATTTCCCATTATGTTAAGTAACCCTTTTTTTTTAACATGAAGTAATATCGTTAAAATAAACTTTAATAACAGCATAATTATGAGTTTTTTATTAAATTACAATAATCATTAATACCTATTCTGATAATTTATTTTTCATCATTTAATAACAAGGAACAGTATAACAGTTTTATTGTAAGTAGTTCGTAAAGGATTAGATACTGTGAGTAGCCCATTTTTTTTATTCGCCAAGGTTTTATCTATGTTTATATACATCAAAATTAAATTTCTTCTCCCACTATTCCTGCAGTCTACTCCTGCATAGGACACGCGCTATCACTTTCTCATCGTTGTAACTTTTTGAAGTCGAAATGACATAGTGTAAAAGGCAAACTTTATCGTCTTTAAATATCCAAAGTGGTGGAAGTATTTGTTTTGCTAAAAATTAATTTGTAAATTTTGGAAATGGCCATCAAATAATATTTTATTTTAGATTCACTATTTTAGCGATAATGGCTTGTACATTAATAATAGATTTATGGTGTCGCGGTTTTTTTTGTAGAACTACTTAAGAGATACATTTTCATTCTACATTATATTCATGTAACTTTTATTTTTTTTTTGCAGTGCAGGCCAAAATGGCTCGCAGATGAGAGATTTTTTTTCCGTCTTACGTGACACTTATTGTTATATTTTGGCCATTTATTATTATTATTTATTAAAATGAAAAATGCTGTCGGGAGCCTAAACATGATTTTCGATTATCTAGACAATGATACCTCACTCGAAATATTTCGATAACTTTTTTTTACTTCATCACAATATGGCGCCTAATTGTCCCCACATTGAATTTTGATTACTATCATATCTTTGGTAGCACTCCCATGATTAAGACGAATCGATTGATATATGAATCATCAAAATCGTTCCACGCGTTTGGTCTCTTAGGGTGTCACAAAGGAACATACATACATATATAGACTGTTAAACACTATACCCTGTCTGCGCGTCGCGATTCTCGCTCTTGCATTGCGGTAAAAGTCGGGTAAAAAGAGAGACTGATGTTAAATTTAGTTTATAGTATACACTCACTCAAATCATGCGCCATGTGCCAGAATCGACACCAGATTATCAACACCAAATTTTATTAACAAATATTCGTAATAGAGTTTATATTAAAATAAAACGAGTCTTATTTGAATTACATGCATATTCCCTGTTCGCAGAATTTTACGAAATGGGCAGCTGAGGCTTCAGAAACAAAATAAAAAAAAATAGACATGCAATCTTACTTGAGTATCTGCGGTTCCAACGACAGATATAGCCCCACTGCCTCGGCACGGCATTCCTCGAAGGCTGAGCCAAGAGTGGTGAATTTGCTGTCATACGTCTCGCCCTCAGTGTACCAACTTTTGATGGGATTACCTAATCGTACACAACAGGGCAGTTGCTTCAGTATATGGTAACCATAAAAAAAATTAAGAAAATCGTCATTTTTGTTACACAATTCAATGTGGGTAGTAAAAATACTTTTTGTTATTATTTATAAAAGTACTTATATACGTTTCCTTGTTATGAATACAAAGCTAAATAACGAACCTAAAAACATAATTTATTTAATTTAATTTATGAATATTGGATATATATAAAAAACATGTCACAAATCAACAAATCCCTAAATATGAACTAACAGACGAAAGGTTCAATATTTTAAACGGATTTGGCACAACAAATAATCCTACTACATAGTTTATTACCTGGATTAAGACATAATATGTCTCCCTATGTCACATAGACATAGGATACCTTTTTATTCCGGAAAAATGTTACGGTTCCCGAGAGATTCCCAAAAAAAACTAAAGTTAACACGGACGAAGCCGCGGGTGACCACTAGTACAAAAAAACGAGCGAGCCTTACAGTAGTCGCGTATGATGTGTAATTAACATGTAACATTTGAAACCTCACCTTATATTAGTAAAAAAAGAAATAAAACCTACTACAAAAGGAATAAGCCACTTGAAAATATGTTCTAATATCAAATCAAATAGATACACATTTCCGTCCCATTTCACGAAACACTCCCACAAATTGCAGGAAAGCGAGAGGAAAGATGTTACACATCAATGAATACTTCAAGACATTGGCAAGGACACTTCCAAGTTATTAATATCTTTAGAATATACCTGTCAATGGATTCTTGACATTCTCTTTGTCAAAGTTGAATGTTCCGTCAGCGTTTTGACGCAACAGCTTGCCACTACCGTGCCCCAGTAGCTCGTGCAGGCCAACTTGAACCTAAAGGGCATATCTTCAGATACTAACGGAGATCAAATTTGCTTATTGGCTCTACCAGTCTAACTGAATATTAAAAATATTAATAGTGATCAAGCTTTAATATCCAAAGTGAAAGTGGAAATGATTATCGAATAAGGTTAATAATATTCTGTACTCTATAAATAGCTAGCTATTTATTGGATTTCATTGAGCTCAATGAAAAAAAAAATACTTGACAGACAAAAAGATGATTTGGTAGGATGTAGGAAGCCAAAACTCACTTTACTTAGTGTTAAAAGTCAATGTGAAACCCCATTTCTTTTTTATTTGTCTTCATTAAATACCAAGTCAGTATAGACAAGGAATAGATACCAAATTTGTAACCAATCCTAATCTTAACTAAAACATTCCATTGGAAATGTAGGAAATTATGATGAAAATTACCTCGAACGCTGCGACCCTGTATTTCTCTAATAGTTTTTTGTCGGCTTCTGATAAGAAGGGAATGACCGACTCTTTATAAGCCGCGGGTATCACGTTACCCAGCGATACGTTTTTGAATCCTTCATTTTGGCGGATCTCATCATCTGAAACAATCACACTAATATTATAAAGTCAAAAGTTTTTGTGTATGTTTGTTACTTCTTCGCGTCTAAACGGCTGGAGCGATTTTAGTAAAATTTGGTATGGAGTTAGCTGACACCCTGGATTAATACATAGGCTACGTTTTACTGAGGGAACATATCCCTAATAAACCGCGGGTAACGCCGCGGGGCACAGCTAGTATTTTATAAAGTACTCGTACTTCAATGGGATGGGACGATTTTCTCGGATGGTTTTCTAAAGAAACATTCACAAAGCGATCTTCAATCATTAATACGAACGAAGCAGAGCAATAGAACATCAATTTCCCAATATGGTCTGTGTTCAAGTCATAAAGTGTGGGTACCAAATATGGTCTATGTTAAAGAATAGGCAGTGCGGTTTTAAAGACATTTCCTGCCTGGCAGGATAGTTTTGTAATAGACTTCCTGGCTGCCACGGTTTTCTCTAGAGACTACAACATGGGATGTTTCAAAAAGGGCATTGTAAGGTCGGCAACTCGTGTGTGCTGCTTCTGGTATTAAACGCGTTCATAGGCCACCTAAGTGGTATAACAAATATTACAAAGACACCCATACTAATAAGACCATCATTTCTATGTTATCAATTGCCGTAAACAGTTTCTTATTGGCATCGATAACTATCTGCTATGGTATGGTATGGTGTATGGTGTTTGTAAAAAATATTTATTATTAAGAAAATATCCTAAAATCTGGAGGAGCTCGATGGCGCAGGTGATTAGCGCGTTCGGCTGCGATCGTTGAAGTTAAGCAACTTTCGCAGTGGTCGGTCATTGGATGGGTGACAAAAATCTTCCATCTCGAGGTCCTCAGTGCTTCGGAAGGCACGTTAAGCCGTTGGTCCCGGCTGCATCTACAGTCGTTAGCACTCACCAATCCGCACTGGGCCGGCGTGGTGGGTCATGACCAATGGATGGAATATCCATAGGGAAGGCCTGTGCCCCAGCAGTGGAGACATTAATAGGCTGATGATGATGATGATGATCCTAAAATCAAGCCGCAATCTCACAGTTAGGAATGTTGATGCCAGCCGGTATGCCGCTGCCAGAAAAAGTAAGCACATCCAGGCTAGTAAAGTCCGGTCGTAGGAAGGAATCCTTCTCCAGGTGTTTTCCCCAGGGCAAGAGTTCGATGAACCGTTCAGCTCCGTCGACCAACGCGCCGAATTTCATCGACATTTGCTTATTTACCATCGCTACGAACCCTTCGAATTCGCCGCGCTGGCCGCTCGGGTCGCGGTATGTTTCTATGAAGCCTTGATACCTGGGTGATGGAAAAATTACGATTAACTCGTATATACTCTTAACTAGTTGGGTCGTTTCGATCCCTAAGATATGGTTGAGCGAAGCGAGGGATGGTTCATGCGTCATGCTCGTAAACGGGTGCTGCCAGCGGAGATGAATCTGCCCTAACTACTTTGATATTTAAGATGTAAATGTTTAGTTACACCTAATATAAATAACACTAATCGTATTGATACTGTATTACACAGCAATTAAAAATGCAGTTGAACAATTAATGTATAATTTCACATTATGTAATGAAAGTCTTCATGAATCATCTCTGAAGTAATTTTTCAACTTGACGGCTCTGTAAATAATAAATCAGGGAGAAAAAAACAGCCCTTGCTGAGTTTCTTGCCGGTTCTTCTCAGTACAAGGTCTCCCGCCGTAGATTTACAAACCGATGACGTAGCTTCTAGACATTCATGAGATTAGTCACAATAATAGAATAGTTGTGACAGAATTGAAAATGAAAAGTACCTGTAAAAAGACACGAACCATTATCGAATCGTATAGTTGAATTCGGTCTCGATACGCGAAAATGCCAAAAAGTTCGTGCTACTAATATTTTAATACACGTTACGTCCGTTATGGCGCGATGGCGCTGTTCAAGTTTCCATACGAGAAACGAAGACGATTAGCACTCGCAAATGTAACTTTGATATCGGTTCGTGCTAAGGGTACTCCAAGTACTGATTTAGTTAATAAAACATTATACATTTAAATAAAAGAATAGGGTCCCGGTATACCCTATGGATACAAGGTGTGATTATGACTAAACATGGTGGAAAAGAATTGACACACGAAAACCAGGGGGCCATTCGCCTAACGGAAATGCTTTCGAAAACGCTATCGTTTACGATTTCATTTTTTTATTTCTAGCCGCCTGAGGTTTTCAAATGCCTCGCGCTCTTTTTTTTTTCTTTTGCATGGGTAATAACAATATTAAAAAAATGAGCGTGAGGTATTTGAAAACCTTCGGCGGTCAATAGCCCGCTGAAGGATGCATAAAATTGAAATAAAACCAGTTAAAACAAAAGCAGTCACATTACCCCCAAAATTTAATTCATTTCATTCATAACACAAGCTTATAGATATAGAGCTTACTTTGGTGCTAGACTAATTTTATTGGTGTGAGTGTAAGAAATATTTATTTAATTATATATTATTTCTAAAATTACAATAAAGTACTTAAATTATGGATGTAATATATATTTTATTTATAGTCCATAAGCTAAGGATTTGATTAGATGGATTTCAAGTTATTAATAAGTTCTTTCATAAGAAATATGGACTGCTGTTATGGATGATATATTTTTTGAGATATTTAAGGAATCACAGCATGTTTCTTTAAATATTTATGCTCACGTTTCAATTATTGGTCCCTTATCCTTGATCCAGTATCTACTGCCCTCTTTATGCTCATTCAAGTCGCCTTCTTTAAAACTAATGATGTAATGTTTTATCATGTTCTTTTCCACATCATTTGAAGCATATTGCTGAGCCTTCTCCAGGTTTTCGTTGACTAGCTGCAGCAGTGGAGAGTAATCACCCCGTGTCACTTGGAAATACGCATTCTTATACTTTTCCACGTCCATAGTTAGAGATGTTTTTGGTGCATTTTCGACACTCGCTAAATGAATTGTGTATAGTGGTACTGAAAACAACATACCGATAAGATGCAAAAAAAAATTGTGATACAAAAGAAGAAGACTTTGGGGGTTTTTCGAATAGCTAAAACAGATTCTTAACATATTATCAACAATACATACACCCATCCTCAGCAACCGTCTTGAAAGTTCGACATATGTATGCCTCAATGCGCTTCGTCTTCATCCAATCATTTACCAAATTCGAATCAGCCTCTGTACAGTTACTTGAAAAATAAGTTGTCACTCCCTACAGACAAGATGTAATAATTATTGATAAGTAAAAAAAAACTTAAAGGCTGTGTTAATTTTAATTATGCATGAAGCTCTTAAGTTACTTACTCAGGGATATAATTAATCATGATATAGGTACATATACTGTTATTCTGTACAAAAGTAAATTTACTGCTAATTATCATATTTATTATTAACCTCTATTAGAATAAGGAAAAGGAATAAGGTAGTTACCTTATCAGCTAATCCTAAGCTAGTGAGTCTCGGTGCAATGCTGTAAATAGCATTGGAATTATTTTGCCAGAGCTTAGTCATGTGGGTGGAATCATTTTCGTATGCTTTAGATGCCTTCACTATTTGTTCAAAGGCTTCCTTTGAGAGATTTGGTATCACCTTTGTGTCGCCAAACCCTTTGTAATTGCCACTATTTGCAAAGACACCGCCAGCATATACCAAAAATGCCTAGAAATAAAAAACCTACAATATAGAACACCTAATGAATTGATGGAAAGACATTAATGGATTTTCTCTGTTGGGAAACTTTGTTGATTTGTATTATCTGCTCATTTTGATTTACTGGGTTATTGATAATACAAATTGACTGTTTGTCGTCTGCGTGAACACACAATGAATAAGTAGAAACATTATGGATTTTGGCAAATGAAAAACTGAGTCGATTTCTATAACCAACTCATTTTAATTTACTGAGTTTTCAGTGTACAATGCTGATATATACTCGGCGTCAAAAAAATTGCACCTCCGCCAAAATAACTTTCAAGCGTTATTAACCCTTAACAAGCGCTAAACCCCTACCAATATTGGTGTTAATTGAAAGCCCAATAAATAAACTTAAAAAAACCCATTTCATTTCATTAAAAAAAAGTTTGACTACAAATGTGCCTTTAAAAAAATGGCAAATTTTGATCCTCAAAAGAGCCACTAGTTTTGCGCTACCTTTAGTGGGTATAAAGGGGTTAATACAGGCTCAATTGGGGGTTATTAGCTATCCAACCGTTGAAGAGGACACACGAGAAGATCTTCCACAATTAAAACACGACCTTGAAGATGGATACAACTGCTGATGAAGCTGTTCAAGTGATTGCACTACTGCAATCAGGGATGCGGCAGTGTGATGTTGCTCGGCAACTGAACTGAGCCGGTTCGAAGAGTATACCAGCGGTTCCTGAAGACCGGTGGCCATGTCCGGAGACATGGGTCTGGTAGACGTCGCTGCACTTCGGAGAGAGACGACCGATTCATCGTATCGACACCTCTAAGAAATCGGTTCTCAAATGCTGTTGATTTGCAGCAGCAGCTACAGGCAGCTCGCAGAGCAACCGTGAGCGTTTCTAAGGCTAGGTTAGGTTACGGTTTACGGTTAGAGCATCCGCGATCCGGCTTGCAGTTTGCTCAGAACCACGTCAATTGGACCCTTGACCAATGGAGAACTGTTCTCTTCTCACACGAGACGAGAGTGTGCCTTTCCTGCAACGATAGACGCAGAAGAGTGTACAGAAGACAGGGGGAACGTTTCGCCCAAACCTGCATCCAGGAGACAGTGGAATACGGGGGCGGTTCCTGTATGTTTTGGGGCGGCATGTCCACGGAAAACCCGGCCTTATAAGCGTCTCCCGGACTGGAGGTGCTCACGGGCAAGGGTCGCTGACTGCTCACCGGTTGTTTTGTAAATTTTATTGTTTGTGTGTTTAAATAAAAAATTAAAATTAATTGAATTATTTTTTTAAGTTTATTCAATGGGCTTTCAAATGACACCAATATTGGTTGGGGGTAAATGCGTGTGTATGGGTTATGGGTATGGCCGCAAAAAATTGTACAAATAACATTCATGACATCGTAACACACGTTACGTACATGACAGAACGTTACATACATGACCATCATAAAGCTTAGTTCATAATAGAACCTATTGTAGTAGTTCTACTGGTACTAAATAGTTCTAGGCCTGTGGTGGTGATATTATATTTTTTGATTAACGTTTGGCTTTAGATTTTTTCTTCATATAATATTCTTTGGTTAGCCCATCTTCTTTGTAGTTTTCGTACCAAGAATGTGTTTTCATGAGTTTCAGCACACTTCAGTGATATTATCATTTTTCGCAGTATCTTTTGACTTCAGTCTGCGACGATTTTGACTGGCTCGCCACTGTTTTCTTTTCAATCTTTTATTGTCTTCGGTACATTCCGTGGCTTTTTTCTTTTTTTTTCTGCATTTTTTGATTTTATTTCTTCGTACTTCGAAGGATTTTGGGTTCGTAACTTTTCACAATATTTTGTTTGCCTTTCGGCATTGGTCAAAGGCATCTGGAATATATATTTTTAACTAATTTTATCCTACTAATATTATATATGTGAAAGTTTGTATGTTCGTTACTCAATATAGTATACACATATAATGTGTGCCAAATTTCATCAAAATCCATTGAGCCGTTTTTGCGTGATTGAGTAACGAACATATAAACATTCAAAGGATTCTCAAAAAACCAAAGTTAACTCAGACGAAGTCGCGGTAAGGTTATATTTTAAGTAAAATAGTGTAATCTCCGCCTTAGAATCGGTCATGATTGTAACGTTACACATTTCGTTACACATTGTAACATTCATGACACAAAAAAGCGTGCGACATGACCTAAAATTCAAATATCATTGAACTGCAAACAACTATGGATTGTGACGTAGGGTTACCGTTTTCTGTGATAATACATCTTTCTAAACACGTTAACAGTATACCACAACAAGCAGCACTTACCTTGCAAGCAAACATACAAAAAACAATATTTATTGGCGACAAATCTGAAGTCAACACAAATTACGATTTTTATTCGGAAAAATATGGCCGATTTTTATTTCTGAATGTTGTATCTTGCTTAATAGTGTTGCAGTTTATGAAAATAGCAAAAATTATCAAATCACATAAAGGAAACTGGTAGAAACAAACGTTACATTCATGACGTTACACACTCATCATAAAATTGGACACTTTTTTAAAAACGATTAAATATGTAACTGAAACGCTATTTTAATAAGCACGTTTAGAAACACATTGAGAAAGTATCATAAAGCATGAGTACAATTTAATAATTAGAAATACTATTTTTTTTCGGAATTATTGGCAATTTTTAATACAAAGGTGGTAGTTGGACAAACAATTTTTGTATGGGAGTGAAAGCACTACCTTTTAAATTATATTTTTTTTACATATATTTTTTAGGGATGGTAGGTTACATTTCGTCAAAATAATCTAAACAGAAGCTCGTCATTCAGAACAATGTTCAACAAATGACATTTATCAAATAACTTCGAAATTATGAGAAAAATAAAATGGGGACAAAACGAAAATGATATTTGTACAATTTTTCGCGACCATACCCTTATAATAACGCTTGAAAGTTATTTTCGCGGAGGTGTGATTTTTGACGCCGAGTATTTTATATAGGGATGCAACGATACGGCTGTTACGATTCCAATATGTATTACGAATACATCGTAATGGCCCAATACAACATCGAATTACGATACGAAAGCATTACGATTTTTGTTTTATAGAATTTTGTTGAATATATTTGAAGCTTTGTTTGTATCACTTTGTCTGTTATTTTATTATATATAAATAAGACTTAATACAAAAAACATTTTATTTAATTTTATAATAAAGTTATCTTTTTTAAGTTTCATTTTTTTGTTCAGTTTTCTAAGTTTTAAAACTGTCAATGACAAACAAAAGTGAAGAGCAGATGTTCAGAAATTGATGGTACATAATCACGATAATCGTAGCGGTATCGTTGCATCCCTAATATTATGTCAATCAAATTTATGGGTGGCACATGGTAAAGGTTAATGTTAACATATTAAATAATAAATACATAGTATACAACTCCTGATTAAACTATATAACATTCCTACTATTAGAATTAAAAGAAAAGTCAATTCCTATAATGATACAAGGTATTTAGTATGATTAGATAAGTATTTTAAATGTCTCTATTATTATTATATAAACACAAAACTTAGAATAAAAACTTTTAATAATAGTTACAATAATACAGCTAATCAATTTCTTATTTGATTTGTAAATGCATGTACCTACAGCTGATAATGTTATCTATCACATTCATAAATTCTCACATCATAGTAAATATGAAAATGGGACAAAATTTTAAAGAGGATGTGGTTTTCCTATCAACCTCAAAGAATTTCATAAGAGTCATTCACATCATAGATAATATGATGAGGCGTTTTTAAGGTTTGCGGAATAGAGGGCAAGGTTTGAATAAAAAAACTATTTTTTTTTATTCTTTAATATATTCACCTGCAATATAAAAGATACATTTTTCATATCTTTAAATCAGCTTATAATATACCTTCATAAAAAATGTTTTGCCTTTGTCCGAAAAATAAGCTGAAACCACTTCCTTCACTTCTTCCATCAGTTGAAAATTTCCTTCCACAAAGATCTTTTCAGTTTTGGAAAGAAGTAACAATCACTTGGAGCCAGGTCCAGGCTGTAGGGTGGATGGTCTAAACCAGGGGTGTAATTAACTGTTTAACCATAATATATGCTACGGTACACCCTACCTAGGTAGGTAGGTAGGTGGGGTGTATCGTGTATGTACGACAACACTGCATCACAAATACTTGCAGCCTCTCAGAGTTGATCGTAAGTAGTCTAAAAATTTTGAGGTAGCTCACCAGCAGTTAGAGTTTGAGCACCCCTGGTCTAAACAATCGTAGACTACCTTATGCAGGGCAGCCAATGCAACACCGCTCTTGTGAACAGGCACGTTGTTGTGAAGACGGACACCTTTGGTCGATTATACCCTAATTTTTCTTTAATGCTTTCTTTCAACCTCTCGAGGATAGAAGCATAGTATTCTCCGGTTATAGAAATGCCTTTATCTTTATAATCAGTCAACAGGATCCCTTCAGAATCTCAAAACACTGTTGCCATGATTTTTCCAGCTGATTGTGAAACTAAACTTCTAGGGTGGTGGTGTGCCTTTTTTGTGCCAATGCCTTGAGTCCTGTTTTGACTTATAATGATGAACCCAAGTTTCATCTCCAGTAACATCCTTATCTTCTTTACAGGGATCAAAAAAGGGGGGAGAACACTCCACGCGGCGGTTGTTTTTGAGGCGGCGTGAGCATTCTTGGCACCCATCTTGCACTCACCTTCGTCATGCAGAGATGATCATGTAGCATTTTGAAAATTGTCGTATATGATACTCCAATCATTTCTGCAAACTGTTTCTTCTTTAGTCTGGCATCTTCCAATATTATTATTTCAACTTTTTTACTAATTTCCGGAATAGTTACCTTGTTCACCAGTCTGGGCCGAGGGTCGTCTTCAAGCGAGGTCCTGCCTTGTTTAAAGAGATTGTGCCACATGTAAACGTTGGTTTTACTCAGGCAAGAGTCCTCGTAAACTGATTCCATCTCTTTCACTATATTGTGAACTGAATTTCCTTGCTTGGTAAGGAACTTTATTACAGCATGGTACTCGTCTTCTTCTTCTGAACAGTGGGTGTTTTCCGCAACTCGACACCAGGTGCCTAATTTGCGTGAGAGGATGGCCTTAGTCATGCCATCCCAACTCCCCCAAGAAGCTCAGCAGTCTCTTGGTGTCTCCGCAGGTCTCGAGTAGCATCTGTGGGCTGCCCAGGTGTGTCATCTGTTGTCTGGTCACGCCTCTGCACTGCAGCAGGATGTGAGTGCTCGTCTCCTCTTTCTCCATGCAATACTTGATTTGTTTCAGTAATGCACACTTTCTTCTCGACTGAGTTGTTTGCTGGACGATAGTTCAAAGACTAATGACCAAATTAAGAAAAAAACCTGGTATTTATACTAATATTGAGTGGCTGTAGTCATGGCCACCCCAATAATGACCTATTTTTATAATCTTCCCTTCATACAGCGAACTTAAAAACACACCCTTGTATTTATTTTTTCCACAGGCAAGATGAGGATGATTGGTGTGGCAGTTTATATCTGCTGTACCAGCTATCTTCGTGTCTGGACTCTTTCACCACTTAACATCAGGTGGGGTAGAGACATTACTATGAAATACATAACTATGAAAAAAAACTTGGAATTGGTTTCAGCACAGTGTAAGAACCAAATCAAACAGAGCCAAATGAAATATAAGATAGCAGTATGCTGGCATTTATGAGTTGTTTCAACTGCCTGACAACATTCATGAAAATATACAGTCGAACACGGAACCTCCTCCTTTTTTGAAGTTGGTTAAAATATAATAATACACCTACCTGAAAGTCATCCTCTGTCACACCAGCCTTTAAGGCCGATTGTTTGAGGTTTTCCAAAGGTTCTCCAAGAAATATCCTGTGCAACAGAGAGAATATTCTAGGAGATTCTGGGCTTGTCTGAATGAGTACTATCAAACCTCCATTCCAAGCGGCCTGAAAAAAAAATTGTCTATGTTTTAAAAATAAATAAATAAAATTCATAAATATCATAATGATTCTATTTGTATATACCGTTAATGCTTTAATTATATAAAATACACACTTAAAGTCACTTAATTTTCGTTCCAAAAATAAAAATAATAATGTGTTTTCAAATATTTCTAGCATGACCATTTCAGCATGAGTATTAATACAGTTTTTTATAGTATCCAATTTTAGGTTTTAATAACTCACTCATTTATGCCATAATATTTATTATCTTGTGAGGTTGGCAGGAAGATAGATATATATATAAAAACCATATATTGTTTTAAACTTCCAGGTTACTAACACTATAGTAATTTATGTTATTGATGTCATTGCTACCATGTACCAGTGCAGATATATTGGTAACACATTAATACCAATGTACATTAATCCCATTAATAACATAAATTACTCTAATTATCAACCTGCATTAACTCATTTACCAAATCCAAGCTCATCAAGCTTGCTTGCTCAAGATATCCATTCAGTTTCACCATGAGCCTAATAAACTTTAAAGGAGATTGCTCAGCTTCAATACATGTTTGGCCTAAAGACCAATAATCATGAAAAATGGTTTCCTAGATTCGAAATTATATATAAATTACTGTAGAAACGAATTTTATTGATGGACACCCCTGAGAACTTCTATAAAACATATTAAAATAATAAAAAACAAATAAGTTATATAGTAAACTGGGGAAATCAAGCCAAGTACCGAAATTATGGATTAGATTCAGGTATATAGAGCATGTAGATTAACAGATAGTTGCCTGTTTTTAAAGTTAATGCATAAGAGTAACTTTTAAAATCAGGTGTCATTTCCGGTTATAATAAGGTACTCTGTGACAGAAACTGAGTGATGATTGTGCATGAGCCACAGATTAGAGAGAATTTTTAAACTCTTGTTAACCAAAGAAAGCTAAGAGATTTAGGTTCTATAACCATATATTCAGTAGCTTCATTATTTTTGTTGTTTTTAAGATAACCATATATTAGATTTTTAGTGTATCACACCTTATAATTTTATTTATTTATTAATTTATAGTCAGGGAACGTAGGCCCATAGATAGATATACCTTAAAGTCTAACATATATACAGATTATAATGTGTTTATGGACCTCCATTGCCATACATTTTTCGCCAAACAACTGTTTTGCGAAAAATGTATGGCAATAGACTTTATGATGTCGCTTACCATCTATAATAAATGTCTGAGCACATTTGCATCTAATGAAAATGATAATAGAGTTGTGGATATTAATACCACAGTGTAATAAAAAAAATGACTTATTTTATCGATTTTTACAAAATAGATTAGATGTTATGTTATATAAACAACTTCGATCAGGCTTTGGCTGAATATTACTACACCCATAGCCATTAAAAATGATTCATATGTTTTCAAAACCGGTGAAATTAAGAATCCTTTTTAAAGTAAATATATTGTACAAAGGTGTCCGTTGAAATCTAATGACTGTAAATTAAATTATAAATTATGCCAAGAATTACCGTGTATCACAATATTTTTTGTGCATTTGGGCCAATTTGAGCAATCTCCTTTGTATGTAAAAGTACATTTGATAGTTTATGAATAGTTATAGCCACATAAAAACATTTTAATTAAATATTTTTTCCTTTTCGTACAATTACAGCTGATAAATAAATATGTAGGTTAATAATACTGTATTTTTAAAGACACAATTTTTAGCCTAAAAGTATTTAATTAAAAACTTACCCGACTCAAATAGTGTGCATATAATTTCTCTTGATTTGTCAAGTTGGCAAATGCTTGTGAGCTATCTAACTCCACAAACCTCTGGTTATTGGGTAATAAGAAATTGGATTTATCAACAGCCATGGCTATAATAAAAATAGTCAATTGATTAGGTTATTAGAAAATTTTAAGCTAGTGTTATTTAGTTACTAGTAGTTAATTTTACTGACCATTAACTATTTTATTCGCCTGAGAATTTATAGACCGCACAGTCCCAGTCGCGTAATGTTTGGTAACAAATGATTCAGCGATATTGGCGCGCCGGCATTTTAAAAGGCTAATAGTCAGTGTACGCAGCATTGATTGTAATTTTATATGAATTTACAAGACTGTATATTTTGTTCACAAAGTACATAAGACTACTTTGGAGTATGTACTTACTTTAAATTTATTAAGAAAACTGAATGATCTTATTTTCTTCCCGTTTTCTGAAAAGTGAAAACTGAAACGAAAATCTGACAAGACCACAACACAGACTACAATAGTACTGCCAACTTATTAGCCAAATTTCCTTCAACCTACTCTAATCTTGCCTGAAATTACCGAATACAAAATATTTTTATTTTTCCATTAGGTCACGTCTTTATTAGGCTTATTTTTAGTTTTTTCCTTTGATTTTTTCTGGAGTATTTGTCACCAAATATGCTGTAAATGAATGAAATTATTTACGAATTGTTTAAATACATTTTTAAAGCAATGCAATGAGAATAATTTTGAGGAGAACATATTATGTAGGTGGGTTGAAATCTATGTGTTATGTGCTTAAAAAAGTCGCATTAGCATTGAATGGTTGGCTACCAAAAATATATATATGATTTGCATGAGACGTCTTTCTTTTGCTCGTGTGTAATAATTAACCTAGCACCCTCTAGTAAGTGCGCAATCAAAATGTAATGGTGGCGAGTTGAGTGAAGCTTGGTGCCTCTTGAGTCCTGAGTTTTGCCTGAGACTGCTGCGTCCTCCCATGTGCAATGCATACCCTGCACCACAGGTAAGTAAAGCCGCGTCTGTGATCTACCTTTTTACTATTAATTATTTTTAGGCCAAATTCCTACGAAATCACTACACTTTGATAAAGAAGCAACAACGTCATCGCTGTGGTGAAAAATTCTTATAGATGTTCATGTCAAAAGTTCGTTGAATTAAAGCAACATGCGTTAGAGATATAATTTGACTAGTAAGTAGGTGCCCGCGAATTCATCATCGTAGAATTAAATTATTGATATTGGAAACTTATTTCTTGTCCATTCTGCGTTTTCATCAATCTACTTACTATTTAAAAAACAAGAGCTGGTAAGTGATTTTGATTTAAAAAAATGTGTACACTTATAATTTTAAGTAAACAGGTTGATGGATGATTGGTAACTGCGAGTTAAAATTTGATTTATCATCAATTATTATCATCAACATCCTATTGATGTCCCCACTGCTACGCCACAGGTCTTTCCTATGGAAGAGGAAGGAAAATTGGAACGTGACCCACCACGCGAGTCCAGTGCGAATCGTTAGGTGCTAACGACATGCAGTCAGGTCCAACAGCTCAACGTGCCCGTCGAAGTAAAGAGAAGCTCGAGACTATACATTTTTGGGCAACCATCCGATTAGTAGCCATCACAGACCAATAAGAGAACAAGTTGTAGCCATTGCAAATGTTGCTTAACTTCTACAATGGTTGACTAAATACGCTAACCAATTGCACCTCTTCTTAGGGTATACATACTGTTAATATTAGAAATGTGAAAGTTTGTATATTTGTTACTCAATCAGAAACGACTGGACTGTACGGAGTTGGACTGATTTAGTTTATCACATTCTTGTAAACTACGTCTTTGTTTTTCCGACTTTGCTAACACGTAATGAGTTATTCAGGGAGAGCTAAATTACCTACACCTGCTACTAATATGCCTGCTAATAATAAAATATAGCAAATACAAATGCCTATACGAACCTTCTCTACACATCCTCCTCATATGGACTAGGAACAAAAAGTGTCATTTACGTATTTTGCTTTATTCGGTTTATTTATTTTAAGCGGCTCAAAATCTATTGGGAGCTACCCAAGATTTTGTTCAAGAAGTCAGTAGCTTCATAGAAAAATCGATGTGATCTGCTGCGTCCGGAACAAAAAGTTACATTTTTATTCAATCACAGTGATTATTAATATTTGAATTCAAAAAGTGACATATTCTTAAGAAATACGTTTGAAGACTTTTAGTCGGTTCAAACTGGGAACCAGATTGTGGAGAATCATACAGGATGTAAAAAATCCTTTAACGAAGTCGAAGGCCACGTATTTTCCACATCAAGACGATATTTTTTTTCTTCTGGACCATACCTGGGAAATTAATGCTTATAGAGATATTGAAGGTCAAAATCACAATTTGTTTTTCAAGTTTTTTACATTAATATTTTATAAAGTTTCTAAATAAGTTTTTTACAAAACGTTATTTAGAAACTTTTTTATCGACGCACTTACACACACGCACACACGGTACACACAGGCATATTCTTTGCGTAGCACCACAGTAACGCGCCGCGCTATAATACAAATGATGCCCACGTATTATATTTTGTAATATTAATTGTTTGGGTATACAGAATGCATAGTTTTAGTCTTTGTCATAGGTTTTTTTAAACCTTGTATGTATCTATATATATAAAAATCAATTGCTGCTCGTTAGTCTCGCTAAAACTCGAGAACGGCTGAACGCATTTATCTTATCTTGGTCTTGAAATATTCGTGGAGGTCTAGGAAAGGTTTAAAAGGTGAGAAAATATGGAAAAATTGCGAGGAAGATAGTAAAAGCGTCAATTTAGTTTTCCCATATAAACTGTTCTATCTTCTTTCCTGTCAAACATTTAACGTACGTCCGTTTTGGTACGGTAGACTCGGGTCCGTAATTTTTTTTTAAATTCTTTTAAGCCGTACGAAGTAGGCCGTACTACGTTACCGTAGGGACAACTAGTAAGAAATAAAAATATTTTAATTGAATCTATTATTATTTTCATATTGAATGTTTGATAAGATAACATTTTTTAGACAGCTGATTTCAAAAGGTGATATTTTTACAAAATATTTGAATAAAATAGTGGCATTTGCATGCTATTAGATCAAAGGGTGTAATTTAATATATATATTTATTATTTTTTCAAGTTTCAAAACCAGTAAGATAACCTTATAATACACTAAATTGTGTACAATAATTGACACATAAATGCTTAATAAAAAATAATAAAATTGCTTAGATCAACTTGAATATTTATTTTCTGAATTTACTCAAAAAGTTAAAAACTGTAAATGACACTTTTTGTTCCTAACATCCTCATATAATAGTCAGTAGTTTTATCGAAGTTTGTCGCATATAAAACTATGCTCATTGGAGTCGATTCTGGAATGATTATCTTAACTTAAAACTAAATTTAACACCAGTATCTCCTTTTTATTCAGTATAGAATATGACAAGAATACACTGTTGTCAAATTTAATAAGGTTTAGAGAATAATGCCAAAATATACACCATTGTATTGCGATTGTACATTAAGCCGTAAGGCCTGAATGATCAAAAAAATAAAGCAAACATCCCTTAAAAACTCAGTAAAAATCCCAGTTCAGCACCGTTTAGCAAATTCCTGTGCCACCGTAGCCACGCCACCTGTACTAAGCAGGGAAATGCTAATCTGAACAATTTGGGTGCACGCTCACTATACAGATAGGTACCTAACATTTTTTTTTCTATAATACACTTTGTTAAGGGGCGTAAATCCTACCTTTTATGGCTTTTGCGTTATAAAATAAGTTATTTGCGAATCCAACAGGAATCGCACATTTTTTCTGGATAAAAAGTATCCTATGTCTTTTTCCGGGACTCAAACTATCACTGTGTCAAATTTAAACAAAATCGTGTCAGTAGTTTTATCGTCAAGAGGTAACAGACAGACATAAAGACATATTTCGCATTTATAATATTAAGTATCGTATAATTATAGATTGGCTATACAAGTTGTGCTGCTTTATTTTTTAAAATCTTAGTTTTGATATTAAATTTTGCCGTACTAACGAATGGTGTACAAAATGACCGTACTAGCGAATGGTGTACGAAATTACCGGTTAAATACGGTAGTTACTATACAGTTGGCAACATTGTAGCAGAGCACAGATTATGCACAGGTTTGCGTTCCCCACCTGCACTCTGGTACAATTTTTCACTCTGATGTTTTAGTTAGAAAACTCTTTATGTAGGTACGGAACGTAACTCCGATGCTGATGACTTAAGGCACAGCGGTGCCACTCTCTGTCAAAGAGTATGGTAATATTTCTGCTAGGGTTGAACTTGGAATTTAGACTTGTGCCAATGAATATTTATGCACAGTAAGTTATTAAATGTTAACTGATTCAAGGATACTGGGGTAAATATTGAAGGATAGGTTTGATTTTATAATCAATTTTTAATCTTTTAATGTAGGTACTATAACAAATTGCTAACTTTTATATATTTTCTCCTTTTTCGATTCGTTTTATAATTCTTATTATTATCTAAATAATAATAAGATTGCGTAGCGTAGTCAGTCTGTGCGTGCAATGCAGTGCAACGCTATTATTTTACTATTTCGTTACTGCCATGCCTTCGGTCGAGGCAGTCGGCGACTGCCCTCTCCACGTCCCGCGCGCCGCGCAACGCCTCCGCGCACCTCCAGAGACCCACACATAGCCGCGGGCGATTTTACTAGCACACATGCTTAAGTGTCGCTTCTTTTCGCGTAGTGTATATATTCTGTGCTTAAGGTACGCTAAGACTATGCTATACTATAGGCTAGTTGACCCTTTTTGGAAAAATGTTTTAAATGGTTAATAAATGTTCTATTAGACCGAAAACAATGTTTTGTATTTTTTTGAGACCTAGAAAGCTACAAATCTTTAATTTTAAAATAGAATTTTCATGGACATACAAAAACGCTGTCGGCCATTTTAGTCTATAAATTGTCTATGCTATGATGTCAACAGTAGTAAACAAAAACCCGTAAGCACGTAGAAAATAACTTATCCGAGTTTTTAATAAAAAGAACATGATTTCTAATAAATATCACGAAAAATAAAGTAATCATCATTATTGTATTGTACGAGAATATAAAACCACATCCTTGAAGACTCCAGGAATGTTATGGATTAAAGTGCCGAAAGAAATTAACCTACGCAACTTTATTACACTTATTCATATGTTGTATCAGTTTTATGTTTATTACTACCATGATGTCGATTCTGACATGATTCTCTAAAGCTAAACTTAAATTTGACAACAGTGCATCCTTGTCATTCTTTATACAGAATGAAAAAGAGAGACTGATGTTAAATTTAGTTTTAAGTTTAGAGAATCACGCTAGAATCGACACCATTGTAATACTAAATGCACTGTACTTACATAGATGCCTTGTCGTTTCTCTGCTCGGGGCTGAAATCGGGGTTTAGTGCAAAAAATTCAGATTTGTGCTTTCTGCTTTCACAAAGCAGGCATCCATAATTAGTTTTGTCAAAATAAAAACAGTAAACGGAAACTTTTCTAAAGGTAAAAGTGTTTTAAGATAAATTTATTCAGACTAAAGAATCCACCCACATTAACACGCGAATGACATTTAGTTGTTTACTGAAAGAGACGTCAAAATCATGGCGGATGTGGCGAACAGCGTTTTTAGTGTTTCTGGAACCGGTAACCAGCCCAAGCATTTCTATGGACTAGCGTCGATAAGCGCCGACAAGTACCAACACGATCTGGTCAGCGCTGGCACCGCCCTTTGTTGAAATTAATGAACTACTAGGTTCAATCTGCTTTCTTTATGTAACTGTTACCAGCGCTGACAAGGACTGACAAGCACTGTTCGGCGTCAAGCTTTCTTTTTGTATATGTCCTAATGGGCTGCCATCCGTCCGGGTTTCCCCGGATTTGTCCTAGTTTACGGGGCGTCCGGGGAGCGTCCGGGCGGGGTTTCATTTGTAGTCCGGGTTTAAAAAATTCTTGTTTTGGGTCGCCCATTAATCCGTTAATTTATATGTCTTTGAAAATAAATAAATCTATTCTAACACTGGTGTCGATTCTGGCATGATTCTCTAAACCTAAACTTAAATTTGACAGCAGTATATCCTTGTCATTCTCTATACAGAATGAAAAGGAGAGACTGATGTTAAATTTAGTTTTAAGTTTAGAGAATCATGCCAGAATTGGTACCAATGTAACCATAAATGCTGACTTCCAACAAAGATCTGCTTTGTCGCCTACACTGTCCGCAATAACAGCATTCGTTGCTATGTGGATGACAGCACTGAAACTTTTTACACTGGCCGGTCAAACATACCTCGGATGGAAGAAGAAGGGTGTAAAGACAGACTTTTGTCCGAGATTGAGATGTTACTGGATCAAGTCTCAAATTGGAGCCAACAAAATTTTATTGGATTAACACATTTTTAACTGTTTTTTATTGGTCTGTCCGGGTTCTGGGCTCCAAAATCCGGGCTTATCACGCGTCTTATCCTGGTTGCCGCATTTTCGAGATGGCAGCCCTACCTAATGCGCGCATAGAAAGCATATACAATATAGTATAGCATAGTGTGATTGTGTTCTATGTAAATATATGTAGTGCTATGAGCTAGTTATAAGCTTTAAACCCTTATTAATAAACGAAGAATAAGCTTGGATTAGTAACTCCATATTTTGTCACTGTTCATTGAATGACAAATGGCATTTAAGTAATATGAATAAAACACGCCGTTACTAGTCTAAGCTTATTCCTCATTTAAGACGGTTTAAGTTATATGATAGAGTCTGAACGCAACTTAACTTTATTAACTTAATTAAGGTGGTTTTCCAATTACAGAGCAATATGCGACTCAGTGATGCACAATGCCGAATTATGCTGATGCTTAATTGGAACGTGAATTAGTTTTCAAATGCACCAGCAAAGTGCGCTAAGTTCAGTGTTGAAAAAAGAAGTCAATGTTTGTACCTTCATCCATATTTATATTTAATTTTTAACACAGTTTGAATTAACTTTGACTATTTAAAAAAAAACTATGATGAAACCAAAGTTTTAATAATTTTTCAACAATAAATAATATTACTAACGATAACATATAAATAAAACATTTCGATCAATGCCAACTTAAACACTTGTTAATTTTCTGTCTCTGAGTTGGTACGATTGCACGCATCACACGAAAGCATTACTTTTGAGAGTGCTCAATAGGCTAGTTGACTCATGTCGAATTGCATTAAATAAATGTTTATTTCTTAAAGTATTTGGTCTAAGGAACCTAAATATATCGATTTCACTTTATAAAAGCAGAAGATTACTGTAGAAATTAAATTTAAAAAATAATTTTTAGTCTATACTTTTTAAACACTAAAAACGCTGTTCGCCACTTCCGCCATGATTGTGACGTCTCTTTTAGTAAACAACTAAATGTCATTCATACATAACTTTAAAACTTGTATTATTAAAACTGATACTAAATGAAGAGACTTAAAATATTATTCAATGAGTACTTACATCAAAGTGATCTTCGCAAAAATAAATTCTACTATGAGTCGATAAAGTTGCAGGATCACTTTTAGCAAGTTTTAACCAGGTATTGCGTAGGTTAATTTCTTTTGGCACTTTAATCCACAACTTTCCTGGAGTCTTCAAGGATGTGTTTTTACATTCTCGTACAATACAATAATGATAATTACTATATTTTTCGTGGTATCTATTAGAAATCATGTTTTTTTTATTATAAACTCAGATAGGTTATTTTCTACGTGCTTACGAGTTTTTGTTTACTACCGTCACCGTCATCGCATAGATAATATATAGACTAAAATGGCCGACAGCGTTTTTGTATGTCCATGAAAAGTCTATTTTAAAATTAAAGATTTGTAGCTTTCTAGGTCTTAAAAAATACAATACATTTTTTTCGGTCTAATAGAACATTTATTAACCACTTAAAACCTTTTTCCAAAAAGGGTCAACTAGCCTATTGTGCGAAGCGTTGCTGTAGTTGGAACACTCAACGTTAAGCATTATGCCGCATAATGCGCTATAATGCTGTAATTGAAGCTACCTAAGGGTGCGGCCAAAGTGCACTCAGATTCAGATTCAGATTCAGATTCTGAAAACAAGCGCGAGAAATAAACAGTGTAGTCGAAGGGTACGGCCAGAGTGCACTCCTGATTCAGATTCAGACTCAGAAAACAAAGCGCGAGAAAAAGCTTAGACTACACTGTTTATTTCTCGCGCTTGTTTTCAGAATCTGAATCTGAATCTGAGTGCACTCTGGCCACACCCTAAGTCATTGGAAGTAAGCATTTAAACGTCCAACTAGGAAAGTCTGCTTTTTAGTAAAAGCACAACAGCATGCTTTTAAATTTGATAAACAGCATGTTTTCTGCTTATTCCCGCACGCCTACTATTTGTTCATACAAAACCTTTGAGTTAGGTGATAAAGCAGGCTTTGACTATGTGACGCTATCTATGTTTTACTTTAAAATTACTTCGAGTCCCTGTGTTCTCAGCTCAACGACAAAAAACATTCCTCGGTATTAATTTCGTTTAAAAGCGTAAGCGACTCTTAAATGCAAAAGCAAAATAAGCGGTACGCTTTTCAACGTCAAGAGTTGAGTACGCGTTCCTGTGTTGTGTGCGCTTTTGTTGCGTTTTTTCCTAAAAATGACTTGAGTTCAAATTTTTCGTTTGTTGGGTGGCTAAATAACACTAATAGTTGTGTAAATATTAACTATTTATTTGATAATCAGATTCAATTAAGTTTTGTCTAAATAAAAATTACTCTAAATACCTCTTATAAATAATCTTTTCGAGAAGTATGAAGAGAAGTTTATTGATTATTATTTAAAAAGGTACTGAATATTATTTTATTTGTTTCGTGCGTTTTAGATGATTATGTTAAAATTTTCATTCAGCTTTTTAAAATTAACAATTATAAGCTTTCAATATATTAAGTTTATCGTTAACAACATAAGCATCAGCTTCACATTTTAGCGTTATCCAAAGCACTTTTCACACGCAACACACTAAAGAAGCGTTTAAACGAAAAGCGTTTTTATAAGTATGCTTATAAAAAAAAGCACAACGATTGAACGTGGAATAAATTTAAGCCGCTTTTCGCATCGCTATCTGTCATGTCATAAATTAAATCAGTTATCTGTGGTCATGAAGTAAACATTCAACATGGATGCTTTTCTACTAATTTCAACTTTATTTTAGGTCAAAGAAATTTAATATAATGTGTGATTTAGGCTTCTAGAGTTAATATTATTTTGTGACGATGTCCTCCGAAAGGTAAATTAACTATTCACCGATTCTATAATTTTTGACAAATTGCTTCGCGTATGTCCGTGGTTGAAAGTTGCAAAATCAATAATGTGTACGGAAATCGCTAATGTCACGCCCTGAATTCGCAGTAATTTGTGGTGAGTTTTTGTTGTATCCGGTGTTCAAGTTTATGTGTGAAAATGTTTTATTCTAGGGTGGAATGGGTGGAAATAATCGAACCCAAAACAAAGGAGCATATGTATGCTAACCTAACAACAGGAGAATGCGTCTGGGATCCACCTGAGGTAAGTTTTTACGATCATGGTTATTTGAGTTATTGCCAGGTATATCGGCTTTAATCAAATAATATTCATTTCACTGCCTACATTACTCTATCATAATAACTAGTAAGAATCATTCACCCTACACAATTTAATAAAATTCAGTAAATATTTTATATTGCTACTAAAAAACCTATTAAATGGGGGTATATTTGTTTGTACTGTGAGAGATGGATGTATTTGTATACATTTTATAACCCTGCAAAAAGTAATATAGATTTTTGTCTGTGAGGGCAAGTTCTTCAAGATTTAGCTAATGTTCTGTGTATATGATCAAAAAGACCTTTCAATTTAATATAAATATGTTTGTTTGTACAGAGTGTCATACATAAAGTTTCCACAGATTGTATAATTTTCTCAATAGATTGATAATCCTTTATCAAGTAAAATAAAGCTCAGTTACAGGAATTTGACAGTTGGGTAACTTGATCTATGCTGCTGTCCTACTGAAGAATGCAGTAAGAACAACATGACTGAGAAAATGGATCTTAAAATTTTATTTTTAAAAGCCATTTTCACATAATTTGGCTATTAAAGCGAATATGGCTGTCTGTATAAAATTAATGTATGGCTGTCTGTATACAAGAATGTTAAAATAAACACTGATTGTAAAACAATATTAACTAAACACTGTGTAGTTTGATAATAATTTCAATAGGGGTTTAATTTAATATTGAATATAGGTATTTTTAAGTAAAATTTTGTAATATGAGAAATGAATCCTTAATAAATGATTTAAATATTATTTGTAAATGTTTGTTTTAGGGGGTCAAAGTGAAACGGACAGATTCATCACAATGGTGGGAATTATTTGATATAAACACTCATAGGTTCTACTATTACAATGCATCAACACAGGTGGGCAAATGACCTTTTGGTATTAGTTTCTCTTTGCCTTGAATTATAATGTAATTGAATTTATTATTGTTTTTTAGACAACTGTTTGGCATAGGCCCACTGATTGTGACATTATACCACTAGCTAAATTACAAACATTAAAGCAAAACACAGACCCTCAGAAGAGAAGAGAGACATCCACACAGACTAACCAGGCTACACCTCAGGTAATATCAATGTTTTTATAAGTTTTATAATGATGATGAAGGATGATTTTGGAATTATAGTTGAATATAAATTATTACAAATCATTTTTGATGACTGTCATATTATTTTAGAATGTTTGGATTACCTATTTTATATTTATTTTATTTTATACTAGATTGTTCAATTGTTTCAAATGTAAAAAATATTTGTTTTACTTAATAATACCACAGGTTTCATCAGCAATTGACCCAGTGAGCAGTAATGGCAATAGCACAGTTGCAAGTGCTAGCAAGCTTTCTCCAAGCAATGCTAAAGGTGCAACAGTAACTCAAACCAGTCCAGTACGCACACGAAAGTACTTTCATCACAGGTAATATTTGGTTTTAAATATTATTTAAGTTATGACAAGCTAGGGCATGCAGACAATCCATAGAGAAAAATTGTATGAAATTGGGTATCAATCCTTAGGAGACACAATTTTGTTTAATATGTATTTGAATAACAGTATCAAATAGCTAAAGCAGAAGAAACAGATAAGACTTAAGTTGACATATTTTGCAGGGATAGAAATAGTGGCGAGGGAAGGCGTGGTCGTCTTAGTGAGGATGGCACCGCTGCGCTATGTCGCCACACGGACTCTGGTAGATCATCCGATAGCAGTATCAGCAGCGCTCAGCAAAGGAGAAAACATGTACATACTACACATATTTATCCCACCCTTTTAATAAAATAATAAACTCTCACTAGTTATGCAGTGTTTTGTCTCTGTTCATCTAATAAGAAATATTGTATGAGTGATGTGAACAAAATGTTGTGTAACTTATCCAAGTTTTATTAGTTAGACATGAAATAAACCATAGTATGCTAAAGTCAACACAGTAAAATATAAATAAAGAAATATTTCCAACACACACACCAATTAGCCTAGCCCCAAAGTAAGCACTATAAGGCTTTTGTTATGGGATACTAGGGTAACGGATAGAATACATATACTGTACCTATATAAGTATATTTATATAAATACAAATTAAACATCCATGACTAGAGTACAAATGGTCGTATTCATCACACAAACATCTGCCCCCACCGGGATTCGAACCCGGGACCTCTCGAGTCGGCGACACCATGAAACCCGGCATACAAACCACTCGGCCATGGAGGTCGTCAAGTACTGATGTAAATAAATAATAATATGAAATAAATTATTTATGTATTTATAACATCAACGAAATTAAGCTTAAGCTACTATTTGTTAGTTGATACCTGCATTAGTCTCAAAGGCTGAGTCACAGGTATCAGAAAATTTTCATAAAATATAAAAGTATAGCACTCATGGTCAAAATATTAGTCAAGTCAATCCCCCTTTCCCTATGTTTCAGTAAATGTGTGGGGCTTTACTGGAACCTCCCTGTGGACTTGTTGAGGGAACGTCGAAGACACTTTCCGCTATTTTGTTTCACTTGCAAACACTTGTGCATGTTTCCGAACACTTAGTGGTTAACAATCCACCGTTATTAGACACTTATATCCGCCACAACACAATTTTCAACAAGTAAAACAAAATTGCTAAAGTGACGCTTCCCGATCCCGCCAAAAAGTCCAAGTATTATACTTTGCCATTCAGTATAGTATAAAGAGACTTGACTATGAACGTTTTTATTGTAGGAATTAAATGCTGCCCCTTGCAATCCACCAGTATGTACCCCGCAAGTGAGGAAAAGGAGCAGTGCGGCGCAAGCGCACGAAGGCGAAAAATGGTCGCCACATTCAGGTAGTTACATTATTTAATCTGTTCTTTATTAATGTTATTTACATTTACCAATATACATCTGTATGATAATTAATGTTATTTTATATATAGGTTTGAAAACATGACTACATCCCACCTGATGTTAAGTTATGGCGGGGTCCACCCAGATGTAAAGAATGATTGTTTCCCCATACAAACTTTCATCTGCCCTTTTTCACATTTTTCTAAAGTTTTATTTTAGTGACAAAATGAAGCCGTATTGGCTAGACCATTACCATAGCGAAATCCATCAAAATCAGTTTAGAGATTTAGATGTGAAAGCCTTACAAACGGTGTTAATAAATAAGTATTCGTTTTAGGCTTGAACCGCAGCGGAAGTTTTATTTCGCCGCGGAAGGATGCCTCCGACGACTCTATGCACGAAAAGTACTTCAAATCGGTCGAGAGCACTCCCCTCACGAGGCGCAAGGTAATGTTTGTAGTTAATACATCAAAGCAGGTCCACACAACAACCTACTTATGTTTGTGCAACATGTTTGCATATTATGCGAAATTTGTGCGAAAGGAAACGTGTTTAAAGACGTGTAGGTTTGCAATGAGGGTTATCTGGAATGACGGGCGCCAAGTGGCAGCACTGCGACGAAATGTCAACTCATCCGTAAAATCTCCTGTTCCGTCATTGTCTATGGTTCAATCAATTTAAATGTTCGTTCGATTAGAGTGCGACCCAGATCTTGTTGCTCTTTTATGACATTGACAGGGGGGCGCTGCTGGTGAATAAGGTTTGAAATGAAGATTATAAAATCTCCTCAATAAAGGGAATGTTTTAATCTTTACATATAATAAAATGTAGGAATGTCAAAACTGTACATTGAATATTTTTTAAAAGAATACTTGGGGTGTGATCTGCAATTGATACCAAAGCCAAAAATATAGTTTTTAGAATTTTTGTCCGTTTGTATGTATGTCCGGGATAAACTCAAAAAGTACTGCATGGATTGCAAAAATGTGCAGCGGAGTTGTATCCCGTGCTCACGCGGTTGTACCCAATGCTCGTATTCTTTGGGGCTTGTGCCGGAGACTCGAAGAGATGCTAACGTGCAATCGGTGCCTAAAAAAGGGGATCGCTCAGACCCGGCAAACTACCGGCCAATAGCAGTCACCTCAGTATTATGTAAAGTTCTAGAAAAGGTCCTTAACAACCATCTGACCCGCTACCTAGAGGATCACTCCCTGATTAATGATCGTCAATATGGTTTTAGACCGAAACGATCGGCGGGTGATCTTCTAGCGTACTTCACTCATATGGTGAGGCTATCGACAAGCGTGGCGAGTCGTTGGCTGTCAGCCTTGACATTGCCAAGGCGTTCGACAGGGTCTGGCACAAAGGCCTTCTCTCCAAACTTCCGGCATACGGTCTGCCGGCCCAGTTCTGTTCTTGGGTATCTGACTTCTTGCATGAGCGTAGAATTCGTGTCCTTACGGATGGTAGCAGTTCGCGGTTTATGTCAGTGAATGCCGTCGTTTTCCAGGGCTCCGTCCTATCCCCCACTCTCTTTCTGCTGCATATCAATGACTTAATTCCTCTTGCTCGATCATTAAATGGGTGACCAAAAATCTTCTATCTCAAGTTCCTCCGTGCTTCGGAAGGCACGTTAAGCCGTTGGTCCTGGCTGCATCTGCAGTCGTTAGCATCCAAGTCATGACCCAATCCCCCTATTCCATCCATAGGGAAGGCCTGTGCCCCAGCAGTCGGGACATTAATAGGCTGATGATGATGATGCAGACGATAGTACAGTGCATGCGCGGTATCTCTGACAAGCAGTGGCTGGGCAGGCGGTAACTAAGGAGAACGGGGAGAATTTTGTCATTGAACTCAATTAGGCTTTCCGCATTAGACCACATTTCCGAATGGGGTACCAGGAACTTGGTTGAGTTCAATGCTAAGAAAACTCAGGCTTGCACTTTCACGGTAAACACCTCGCCCTTCCCCTTCCCTCTCTTCAGGGCACTTCAGTACCCTTAGCACGCACCTATATCGAATAGGCTAGTTGACCCTTTTTGGAAAAAGGTTTTAAATGATGAATAAATGTTCTATTAGACCGAAAAAAATTGTATTGTATTTTTTTGAGACCTAGAAAGCTACAAATATTTAATTTTAAAATAGAATTTTCATGGACATACAAAAACGCTGTCGGCCATTTTAGTCTATAGATTGTCTATGCTATGATGTCAATTATAGTAAACAAAAACTCGTAAGCACGTAGAAAATAACTTATCTGAGTTTATAATAAAAAGAACACGATTTCTAATAAATACCACGAAAAATAAAGTAATTATTATTATTGTATTGTACGAGAATATAAAAACACATCCTTGAAGACTCCAGGAATGTTATGGATTAAAGTGCCGAAAGAAATTAACATACGCAACTTTATTACACTTATTCATATGTTGTATCAGTTTTATGTTTATTACTACATTGTAATACTAAATGCACTGTACTTACGTGCCTTGTAGTTTCTCTGCTCCGCAGAGCAGAAATCGGGGTTTAGTGCAAAAAAATCACCACCATCAATGCGTGAATTCTTGGCAGATTTGTGCTTTCTGCTTTCACAAAGCCGGCATCCATAATTAGTTATGTCAAAAAAAAACAGTAAACGGAAACTTTTCTAAAGTTAAAAGTGTTATAAGATAAATTTATTCAGACTAAAGAATCCACTCACAATAACACGCGAATGACATTTAGTTGTTTACTGAAAGAGACGTCACAATCATGGCGGATGTGGCGAATAGCGTTTTTAGTGTTTAAAAAATATAGACTAAAAAATATTTTTTAAAATTAAATTTCTAAAGCAATCTTCTGCTTTTATGAAGTGAAATCGATATATTTAGGTTCCTTAGACCAAATACTGTAAGAAATAAACATTTATTTAATACAATTCGACATGAGTCAACTAGCCTATTAGAATAGTTGAATTCGATATTGTTACGCGTCAAATCACAATAAGTTTTTATGGAAATTTGAACAGTGCCACAACGGACGTAACGAGAATAAAAAATCTTCATACAAAACTACTTGACATTTGGCTTGTACCGAGATCGAATTCACCTATTGGAATTCGATATTGGTCCGTGCTCAGGTACTCCGTGATCATGGCGCTTGCAACAGTGCTGAAATATCGGAAACTCGCTAACGACAAAGAACATGGTAGCAATCTCGTAAATAACATACACCATTACGTATACAAATAAATACGTAATCTTTATATATAAAAATCAATTGATAAATCGTTAGTCTCGCTAAAACTCGAGAACGGCTGAACGGAATTATCTTATCTTGGTCTTGAAATGTTCGTGGAGGTCGAGGGAAGGTTTAAAAGGTGACATACAAGCCTGAGAACAAAATCTATAGTCTACCTACACTACAGCTCTACACCGAAGCGAGGGAAGGTGGGTCACTAGTTTATAATATTAATATGGTTATTAGTAGGATAAGACGTGGGACTAACTGTTAGTTGTTGCAGCAATCTGCGGGTGGTTCTTCATGCGAGTCCGCGTCTCCGCAGAGTCCAAGCAGTCCATTGCAGAAGCCGCAGCCTACACCGTTCCTTCAGGTTAGTGTTATAATTAACAAAAACTAGATCTCAATACTTGTATCTATTGTTTTTGTATGCTTTGAATATGGAAAGGTCTGGAATAGATGTTAAAGAAATTTTACTGTATTCAAATTGAACTGTTGAAAGCTATTTTGAATCGTCCAATAATTTTTCCTAATTATTTCATGTGTCGCTAATTTTGCTTGGGGTACAGCATATTTGAAAAAACATAAAATGATCGCTGTCCTACAAAAGATAGACAATCATGCCCCAAGTTATATTTTAGGTGGTAAAAAACTTTTTTTTATATCAGTTGCATTGTTTTTTCCTTATTAAGCACACTTAATTAATTTTCTTATTTTTTTTTGTTTTAAACATTAATTCGCTTGATATATAAATGTAAAGAAAATTTTACTGTAATGAAAAAAAATCGTTAGGTTCAGATCAAAGACAGACGATAATAGTGTTATTAGTGCGGTAAGTGGTAATTACAAACAAGTGGCTTACCATAGTCACAGGTATAGATTAAAAGCGCCTCCAAGAAGGTTCGACCGAAATAAAAAAAATCGTAGAGGATACGCACGGCGCCATGTATAGGAGCGTGCGGTAAAATGCTTTACCGAACTTTCGAACAATGTATACAACTTCCGTAAATACATTTTTGGAGCAAATGTGTTGAAAAATATTGATGTGTTATCTTTTTATCTACAGACAAGTGCAGCCCGTCCGTCGTTAGTGTCGTCCATTTCGTTGGCTACGGACGCGGCCGGCGGCGGGTCCAGGGTGATGCACAGCTTAGAGAGGCCTCACCAGCTCACCAGGCACTCGAGGGAACGGTTCTCTGATCGGTGAGCAACACTATTGATGCCTTAGTGTTTATGATCCCGTCGGCCGCCGACGGCTCCAGGTAATGCACAGCTAAGAGAGGCCTCACCAGCTCACCAGGCATTCGAGGGAACGGTCTCGCAAGGGAACGGTTCTCTGGCCGGTGAGCAACACTATTAATATGTTAGTGTCTATGATCTCGTCGGCCTCCGACAGCTCCAGGTGATGCACAGCTTAGAAAGGTCTCACCAGATCACCAGGCACTCGAGGGAACGGTTCTCTTGACCGTTGAGGAAAACTAGCTGCGTTTGATCAATATTTTATTCTAAACCGTTCGTTTATTATATCTAGAGGTAGGGGAGGTAAATCTGATCTGTCAAGGATTCCGCTCAGATCCGTCCGATGTAATCTGTTTGCTCGGAGTATTTGTTTGACGAGAAAGATTAATCTGTTTATCTGTCATATTGTGATGTTAGTTTCTGTTTGAGCTTAGAAGTTTGTTTATATCTTGTATTAGAGTTGGATTAACGCCACTTTTAATACAAGATATAAACAAGCTAAGCTACAACCGCGTGAGCTCCTAGGAAAGTCTCTCGCTGTCGGTAGCCGACAGGCGACCGATTCGAGCGCATGCTCGTCCCGCGGACCATCGGGAGTCGGGAGGGTCGACTTTACGGCGGTCAAGCTATAGTCTTTTTTATTTTGAGTGTGTATGCTGTTGGTCGCTGATGACCTTTACAGCGTCACCGGGTTTGGGGACGGCTAGATCTCAAGGGGTCAAACCAAGAATTGGCGAGTGCCTCTAGAGGCAGTCCAGGCGGATGGTATCTCCCAACGGGGGAGTCTCCTCTCCGTCTAGACCACTCGAACTTGAGGGGGCCGACCCCCTAGACCCCAACTAGAGGGCGTCTCTGAGACTCGGACCTCGGCTCTAGTTAGCCGTTGTCGTGGGGACTGGGGAAACTAAAGTGTTGTCGACCTTATTGGCTGCCGACGGCTCCAGAGTGATGCACAGAATGTTGCTATGTTGATTTTTGTTTACTTCTATCAATAGTTTTAAGCCACAGTTTGCTAAGAAAGGTTTAATTATTCAATTGATTTGTTTAACAGGCATTTAGACAAGGATCGACTAGCGGAATTGGAACGCATGGATCGGTACCCGGAGAAACAAGCAGTGTACAGCGTAGACAAACCCTTTAGGCAAACAAGTCTGGACTTGAGGCACAACGCCGCATCCAATTGGCATCCGCCGCGGGAATTCACTAGGTTATTTTATAGTACTTTTATATCGTCCAAGATCCTCCCGCTCGATTCTGCAGTAATCCGTTTTTAGGGTTCCGTAGCCAAATGACAAAAAACGGAACCCTTATAGATTCGTCGTGTCCGTCCGTCTGTCCGTCCGTATATCACAGCCACTTTTTTAATGAAGCTTAATTGAAGAGAATAATTAGTGAGGATACAATGCATTGCTAGTCAGTGGCGTGACGGGTTGCCTAAAAAAATGCCGCAAATACCTTACATTAAGTGTAGTGACATCCATTTATTTATATTAATTGCATCCATATGTTCTTAATCAATTTTACTTCATCTGAAAGAAAATGATGTAAACAATCCAAAAAACAACATTTGCCAGATCTCGTTCACTTCACTGCTCGTTCCCCGTAGGTGATAGCATGATAATATGTAGCCTATATGTTGACCCGACTTCTTAATAATATTCGTACCAAATTTGAAGTAAATCATTGCAGTACTTTTTGAGTTTATCCTGGACATATATACAGACAAACAGAGAAAAATTCTAAAAACTATATTTTTGGCTTCGTAATCGACTGTAGATCACACCCCAAGTATTCTTTTAAAAAAATATTCAATAAGCAGTTTTGACTCTCCTACCATTTTATTATATGTATAGATTTGAGAGCTGGCAACCGTTTTTTTTATTCAATTCTTCACATCATTTCCTTTCATACATAAAACCGATTGTAACTTTCTTTATAAAACTGTCATAATAAAATGTCATAATTAAAATAAATTTCTTTCTTTCTTTATATGAAGGCGTCAGCAAGCGGAACCTGAACGGTATACGTCGAGCAAGACTTCTCTTTCTTCGGGCAGTAGTAAACACCGTACTCCACCTCACGAACCTCACCATAACTTCATGAGACTTTCCTCTGCCAATGAGCAGGACAGCATCGCTGCAGGTATAGTGTAAAATAGTGTCGCTTGAAAAGTACGGTTTGCAAAAAAATCTTGGAATACTTTGTTTAGCATTGAGCTAATCTTGGAATAAATACCAAACATTTGTAAACAAAAGAAGGACATAAATCATATTTAACGTATAGAAATGAGTATTGGAAGAGGGAACAAAAATACCGCTTTTATTTTAAATAAATCTGTCGTTTTACAACCTACAATAATCGATATTTTATATTATAACCAAAAGCAGCAGCAATGATGATGACGATGATGATGACCACTTCGACGGTAGTGCAGAGATGAGCGAAATTAAAGAGCTAGATTTTGATTAATGTTTTTTCTCAGACACTAAGTCTTAATAAATAAATATTAAGAATGAGTGAGAAATAACATTAAGTAATATATTTTTATTATTAAAAATCTGATATATTTTCTTTCTATTAAAATTATAATAAAAATAATCTTAATAAAATTATAATCTTAGTAAATAAGTTTTATTAAAGAAAAACTTTTTTGCTCACTCTACTTAACTGGTTTGAATTGACAGCTATAACGTCACAATATGGGCCGTCCTAATCTTAGTTGAATCACATTATATGTATATCTCTTTCTATTTGCCATCTAGTTACAGTTAGTAGGGTAAAAGTCGCTAATAATATTTTGTAACTACGGAATAGAAGGATAAAGTCTTAGTAGGCAATGGCACGAATAGTTTTTTTTTGTTTTGCAAGCGTTCATGGGTACTTTGCCGCTTACCATCAGGCGGGCCATAAACTTTACCACCCTTTAAACATACAGGTTAAGACACGTAACTCTAGCACTGAACAAAACGCGGAGGGAATAGCTGCGCATGGGTACGCCAGGGATGTTAGGGAGCTCCGTAAAAGTAACGCTCCGTAAAAGTAAAGTTAAGACCAGTAACAAATAAACGTTTAGAAAATTTTCAAAACAATATTGATGATAAAATGTTTCAAATGCCATGGACACATGAGGATCCTAATATTCTTTACGGCAATATGTTCACTTTGGTTAAGAAAGAATTCGATAAGGCTTTTCCGCTTAAAACTTTGAAATTAACTCAAAAGTTGAACTTCTGTGACTGGGCTACGTCTGGTATTTATAAGAGCAGAAATAAACTTTATGATTTGTACTACTTCAGGAAGTACAATCACTCTCAGGGTTTCATTGATTATGTTAAAAGGTACTCAAAAACATTCAAAAGTGTATGTGCAACAGCCAAATCCAATTACATAAAAAATAAAATCATAAATGATGGTGTGTGCGGCGGTATGAAAGAAAACTTGATATACTGACTAGTTGCGTATTCTATTATGTCATGGGAACAATTACTAATGAATTTAGTGAATTCGTTAGCAACACCAACAAAATTCCTGCCATTGTCAGATACTATTTGCGCAGGTTTGCCTCGTCGAGCAATAAACCGTTTTAATGAGAGAAGGTAAGCGTCTGAAGAATGATCACTGACAAGCTCCAAATGTATAGCGCGAGTAACGTAGCATATGAATAAACATATGTAGCTTTTTACTAATCTCGAGCCCCTACCCTTGCGGTTCAATGTGAACACTGGCCCAGCGTAGTCTACCCCAGAATACAAAAAGGGAAAGCTTGGAGTTACTCTTTCCTCCGGTAAGTTACCCATGATAGGAGTTAAGGTCTTGCCTTTCAATCGTGTACACGTAACGCAACTATGTACGGTGCGTCTAGCGAGGTTCCTACCCCCTACTGGCCAAAATGTTTCCCGCACGTTATACAGCAACGCTTGGGGTGTAGCGTGGTGCAACCGCTTATGCTCGTGGCGAAATAATAAAACCGAAAACCAATGTTTAGACGATAATAAGCTTGGGTGCTTCTTATCGTAGTTAAAACAAGAATATTTAATTCTCCCACCCACTCGTAAAACCTTATCTTTATCGAAAAATATATTAAATTTACTTAAATTATGCTTAGAATTTAAGCTAATATTATTGGATAATAATTTGTACTCCTCCGAAAAAGATTCCTGTTGACACAACCTAACTAGAGTAATAGTTGCGCTTCTTATCTCGTCAACAGTGAGGATTCCGAGGCGTCTATTGCGCTTATTTCGGGTATTATAAATAAAACGTAGTACATATGCACAAGCTCGTGTCATACGACTAAATTGGGAAAACCTTTGAAAAGGAAACAAAAACGTTTGATTTTCTGTAAAAAATGTACAGACTACCGTCGGCTTTGTTTCTGGTAAATCTGTCACCGAGGCATTGTTATTCAATGAACATGGATTAAAATTATAGTTATGTAAAAATGATGGACCTTGCCACCATAAACTAGAAGACTTGAGATCATCTAATTTTACTCCCCTGGATACCAAGTCAGCAGGGTTATCCTTCCCATTAACATGACACCATGGTAATTCCTGAGTTAGTTCTTGTATCTCAGCAACCCTATTCTGAACAAAAGTCTTTAATAATTTAGGAGTCATGCGCAGCCAACCTAGTACAATGGTGGAGTCACTCCAAAAAGTTATATTATCAAACGTATAGTTAAGTGAATCGCATAATTTTTTATATAGCCTAGCGCCTAATAATGCCGCGCATAATTCCAGTCGCGGAATACTAACAGGTTTTAATGGTGCAACCTTTCCTTTTGAACAGTACAATCTAACAACTACAGACTTGTCACTGTTGATTGTACGTAAATATATTGCTGCTCCATATGCGGATTCTGAGGCATCAGAAAATATGTGAAGTTCACGGCACACAGGATCACTCCCCACAACATGTCTCGGCACATGTATGTGATTAAGATTGTACAAAGAACTTGAAAATATGTTCCAAGTCTGCGCGACGTCACCAGAAACCTCATCGTCCCAACCTAGCCTTAATAACCACAACTGTTGCAGAATAATTTTAGCTATCATAATGAATGGGCTTAATAAACCTAACGGGTCAAAAATTTGCGAGACCGTTGACATTATGTATCGTTTAGTTATAATGTTATTTTCAATTTTATATTGTGTACTGTAATGAAATTCGTCTCTAAAATTACACCAACCTAAACCTAAAGTCTTTGAGCTAGCGTTTTCTCTTAGTGATAAATCCTTAGATAAATTATTGATATCATGTTCATCCCTATTTAATGAAAAGTTAAACATCCATTTGCGCAGTGGAAAACATGCGGAACTTAAAACCTTTTCTAAAGAAGAACATAACGCCAGTAATTGATCTTTTTTATCGCAACTAAAAATAAAATCATCAACGTAAAAATTTTCGTTGATAACCCTGGCTACGTCAGGCGCGCAGTCTATGGCTAATTGTTTAAGACACCGACAGCTTAAGAAAGCGGCTGAGGCGGTCCCGTAAGTGACGGTGTTTAATCGGTAAATATGTAATGGTTCTGACGGATCGTTGCGCCACAAAATTGATTGAAGATCCCTCTGGTCTTCATGAACTAAACACTGCCGATACATTTTTTCAATATCGGCGCACGCAGTGTATTTGTGATACCTAAACCGCAGAAGTATAGCAACGAGGTCGCCCTGTATCGCCGGACCTACCATCTGCAGATCGTTAAACGAAACGTTAGTACTTGAAACAGCACTAGCGTCAAATACCACGCACAGTTTTGTTGTGGTGCTGTGTTCACGAAAAACACCGTGATGCTTGGGCTCCCGTAATGCTCTATACGAGTCATGTGACCAAGACCTATGTATTCTTGAATGAAGTCTGTGTATAATTTTTTGTAACTGGGATTACGTTGCAATCGTTTTTCTAAAGCGAGAAAACGGTTTTTCACTTGCGCATAACTTTCGCCTAATGCCTCAGGGCCCCTTTTAAGAGGTATGCGTACACAGAACCTTCCGTCATTATTGCGCGTAGTGTTTTCGGCGAAATGTTCCTCACAATAACGTTCCTCATCGGTGCGCGTATCCCGAGACAAAGACACCTCCTCAAGCTCCCAAAACTGACGTAATTGCGCCTCGATAGCTTGCGTGAAATTGCAATTTACGACCTTGGGGCAGTGCGAATAAGAGCTAATAGGCCCAGACACTATCCACCCAAGCTTAGTATCTGATAAGAAAGGGCCATTAGATAATTTTATTTTATTATTATTATTGAGCAAATCCCAAAATTTGTCTGCGCCTATCAATAAATCTATATTTTGCGATTCATAAAAAAGTGGATCGGCCAAATTAATATTTTTCGGAATAATAAATTCCGTATCCTGCATGTTAACAGCTGGTAACGATGACGTAATAGTCGGCAGCACAAAACATTGTAGTTTCGTACTGTAATGGCCGTTGCGCGATTTAATTTTTACGTCACACATAAGTGATGATTTTGTGACGGATTCACCAACTCCTCGTACTTCTTGTGTGGACTGTATTACTGGCGGCTTTAATAAATCACACAATGCTTGTGTAATGAAACATCTCTGGCTACCATTGTCTAAAAGCGCGCGCGCAATATGATAATTATTTTCGTTGTCTGATATCTCAACCAAAGCCGTTGACAACAAAACAGGTTTCATGCAAGCCCCGCGTAACAAATTATTTACGTGCGCTTTGTTTGCTTGTATTACGGTATCTTTTTGCACCGATGAGAAGGATGGCAGGAACGGGGTGAAGGCCGCGGGGGACACGGCCCGCTCCTCGGCGCTGAGGAGCGGCACTGACTGCGAGTTCTCAGTGGCGTGCGACAGATGAAGTGCAACAGATCTATTAGCGTTATCAGATTTAGCATGACTATCGAAATGTATGAGCGAGTTATGCTTTTTGTTGCGCAATCTACAGGGCCCGAACCTACAAGTTTCGACAGTGTGACCGGAACGTAAACAATTGTTACAAAGTTTTTTATCGCTTATGAACTTAAGCTTTGAATTTAAATCGTAATCGAGAAACCTTTGGCAAGAATACAGTGGATGATTTGCGTTACACATTAAACATAGCTTTCTCGTTTGCTCACGCACACGTTCCGGTGTCTTATTTGTGGAAACAGCGCAATGGATTTTGCTTGAACTTTGTGTAAACTGTTTTTTATTTTCGAAGTTATTTTTATTATGTGATAGTTGTAGTAGAACTGTCAGCGACCTGATTAGGATTTAATAAATATTCAGCTTGCGACATGATGGCATAGTAACTGTCTTCGAACGTCACGATGACGTCAACTGTCAGCGACCTGATTAGGATTTAATAAATATTCAGCTTGCGACATGATGGCATAGTAACTGTCTTCGAACAGTTCCCTTTGCGTTAACTGCTCATCTACATCAGAGGCTAACTCTTCAAGCTTATTTTGAATGTCACTAAATTCACCAAATAAATTAGCTGCTCCCTGAACACGCAACTTTAGGTCTATACGGTTTTGTGCCGATATAGAATCTAGATTGAGCAAACTGATATAATTTGAAAATTTAGTCAATCTACCCTTCACAATACCTCGCTTCTTTACTAAGTCTCTGAACAAGGTATCATTACTTGACTTGTAGGGAGACTTATCGCGAACATGACCAGATTCTAAGCTCATTTTGGTGAAGTATGGAATGGATTAGGTACTCACGTTTGCAAAGCAATTGCCTCAGTGGAATAATTAGGTAGCAAGCACAATACACTAGCAGAAATTCTCACTGAAATCACATGAAAAGCACAGCATTACACAGTGGAAATGGAGTTGAAGATGGATAGGCAGGATGGCTGGTCGTACCTTTTATGCGCGTTATCAAGTACGAGACCGGTAATCCTCCAATTTGCGGCTATTCTTCAGCTCCTCCTTGGCAAGTTCAAGCTGATCACAAGTGCGTATGACGGTTGGCGTGAAATATTCCAAATCCTGGTCCAAATATCTGCCTGGATGCGTTTTAGCAGGTCTTTATGCGGCTCCGAAGGTCCAAATGTTTCGTCGTTAATGCGTAGTTATTTAATAAAGCGCAGTTGTTTTGTACAATGCGTATATTATGTAGAAATTACAAAAATAAAATATATCAGACGAAAAATTGCTTGTTAACGTTGAGCGTACAAAATTTGAATTTTTGCGTAGAGAGAAGTATAGGGGGGGGGGGGGGGTTTCATCACGTGGGTCACAGCTGCTCTTACTGGCAGAAAGATGATGCGACGTTCCGGTGCAGGCAGAATTTCTTATCGTCTTGCCTGAACAATGTTGATTTTATGGATATTATAAAATGCTTTAACTCACTTAAAAAGAAAAATACGTGTGATTTGTTTGGAATGTCTATTAAAATTACTAAAAGTATAATAACAGTTATCGCTCCATATCTTGCAGATATATTCAATAAGTGTATTGATCAAGGTGATTTTCCAGACCTTATGAAATATAGTAAAGTTATCCCAATCTTCAAAAACGGCATAAGAGATGATCCCGGTAATTACAGACCTATATCAATATTACCGGTATTAAGTAAAATTTTCGAAAAAAATATTTTAGATCAATTATTATCGCATGTCAGTTTGAACAAACTGTTACATAATAATCAATTTGGCTTTACTAGGGGTAGATCAACAACGGATGCGGGTGTTGCACTTATTAGACATATAATGGAAGCTTGGGAGAAGTCGCAGAATGTTCTTGGGGTATTCTGTGACTTATCCAAGGCGTTTGACTGCGTTGAGCACCAGACGCTAGTGTTAAAATTAAATCACTATGGAATCAAAGGCGCAGCCCAAAACTTGCTACTGTCGTATCTCAGTTCCAGAGTTCAAACTGTAGAGGTAAATGGTGTTAAGTCATCTGGATCTTATGTGAAAATGGGCGTTCCCCAGGGATCGATTTTAGGTCCGTTTCTATTTTTATTGTACATAAACGATTTGCCATTTTTTGTGGAAAAATTGTGTGAGATCGTATTGTTTGCTGATGATACTTCATTATTATTTAAGGTTGACCGATACAAGAATAACTTTGACGATGTAAATAATGCTCTCTCACAAGTATTGCACTGGTTTAATGTAAATAACTTAAAATTAAATGCAAATAAAACCAAATGCATTAAATTCACTTTACCTAATGTTAGTAGCGAAACCATTAGAATTAAATTAAACAATGAAAACCTAGATTTAGTTGAATCAACGATATTCTTAGGTATAACCATAGACTCGAAATTGCAATGGTATCCTCATATTTCTCTGCTAGCTGGTAAACTTAGTTCAGCAGCCTATGCCATACGTAAAATAAGACAACTTACTGATGTAGCTACTGCTAGAACTGTATACTTTAGTTACTTTCATAGTATTGTATCCTATGGTATTATTCTCTGGGGATCAGCAGCCGATATTGAAACTATATTTATCTTGCAAAAAAGAGCTATATGGGCTATTTATCAACTTAGTTCTAGAACATCTCTTAGAGAGAAATTTAAAGAAATCGGGATTTTGACTGTTGCTTCTCAATTCATTTATAATTGCATACTTTTTGTTCGAAGCAATATTAACTATTATCTAAAACACAGTGACATACATTCTTTTAATACAAGGAATAAAAATAAACTCAAGATACCAAATTACAGGTTACAGAAGGTTCATAAATCATTTATGGGTCAAGGTTTACATTTCTATAATAAGATTCCTATCGATATCCTTCATTTGCCTCCTCATAAATTTAAAATACACATTAAGAATTGTTTACTTAAGAAAGGATATTATACTGTCAATCAATATTTGAATGATAAAACGGCCTGGATGTAATTTTATCTGTAGATAATTTTTCAAAAGTTATATTAAAACTAAGGCTCCCAGCCTTAGAAAGAATTTTAAAGAGAACCTTGCACTTACTCCCTTTCATATACTTGTCCATTTTGTTTTGAAAATTGTTTCTTGCTATTTTGGGACTTATATTTGCACTTATTGTTAGTAAATTCGTTGATTGTCTATTGTTACATATTTGACATTATGTGATGGAAGTTGACCTCAACACATGTTTGCAAGTTTGATGTCGACTTTCAATTGGACGACACTGTATGAAATAAAACAGGGAGAAAAAAGCAGCCCTTGCTGAGTTTCTTGCCGGTTCTTCTCAGTACAAGGTCTCCCGCCGTAGATTTGCGAACCGATGGCGTAGCTTTTCGACATTCACAAGTGCTTGTAACAGCCTAGACTGAATAAACGATATTGAATTGAATTGAATTAACTGAAACTGTCGGATATCCGATATAAAAAATATCCGTAACCGTAACGAATCCGAAATAAAAGTTTCGGATAATATCGGATAGGGGCGGAGCCTAATTGAGATATGTACGTTATAACAAGTTGTTTTGATCGGCCGCGTGGCGGCCGAAACACAAGCCGCGCGCGTCCATTTTAAAAGCTATTTGTATTTTACTTCTGAAATTCTTTAAAAATCTAATATCCGTAACCGAAATTATCTGAAACTAACGCATAATCCGAAATAATTTCATATCCGTATCCGGTATAATAAGCATTCCTATATCCGTATCCGAAATTTCATATCCATAACATATCTGGGTACGACTGGAGAGCCAATCCGCGCACTTCGTTTGTGCCCCCCAAGACATCTTAATTTTTACTTCTGCGCAATAACGGTCAGCGCTAGAGTTTTGTGCCGCGATTTATAAATAGGAACCATTGAATTGTTGAGCTTGATCTGTTATTGTAGCGACAGAATTATGCAATAATATGATTTGCATTGGATATAAATAATTTTAAATAAATAAATATTTCCGACACTCACACCAATTAGCCTAGCCCCAATAGTAAGCACTATAAGGCTTGTGTTATGGGATGCTAGGGTAACGGATAGAATACATATACTGTACATATATAAGTATATTTATATAAATACATATTAAACATCCATGACTGGAGTACAAATGCTCGTATTCATCACACAAACATCTGCCCCCACCGGGATTCGAACCCGGGACCTCTCGAGTCGGCGACAGCCATGAAACCCGGCGTACAAACCACTCGGCCACGGAGGTCGTCAAATATTAATAGTCGTATATTTGTAATGAGTATCAATCTATAATCACATGTAAATTTTCTGATCCTAGGAACTGTTATATTGAAAATTTTTAACAATATTCAAAATTGTATTTGACATCAATAATGAAACTGGCATGTCTTTAATATTATAAATGAGCTTTAATATCGGCAGTTCACAAGCTAGAGATATAGTATCAATAATGTATCTGACTTGCAGCTTAATTTTTATTATGTGTTTTTATTTGTTATTAGTGAACTACAAGATGAAATGTGTGAACCTGGAGCCACCATTAACTGAACCTAATGTACAAAAACATAATCAACGACTAGAGAGAACTTCCACCCCTAGGGACCGGACTAAATCAAGACGTGAGTTATTTCATTATTTTGTCTTTCAATATACAATATACTTTTTAAGCATTTAACTTGGACAAGATGTTTAAATCTTTAGTAAGTTTTAGTACATAAAATTCACGTGGTCCAGGCAGTAGACTGTATGAAAGTGCTTCAACTTGTATGAAAACCGAGCGTGTCATATTTTGAGAACACATTAGGTGACGGAAATAACGATATTAAATACCCTAGATACACCAACACGAACAAAATCGTGCCCGAAACCTCTCCAAAAGGTACATTGAACGATCCACGGAGCTCCGTAAGATGATCGCGTAGTCAAAATCAATTTATGCCATTATTTAAATTTTGAAATTAACCTTCAATACATACTGTATAAGGTCTAAAATAAAACGCATGCGTCAAGGACTTCTAACAGTTCGAAATGCAAGCTCATAAAATTTTACGACTTATTGCTATATGTGGAATAATTAAGACCTTAGTTCTTTGACTCTACGCGCAATTCTGAACTTGTTGTTAGCAATATAGCAGGCACGGACCGCGAGGAAAAGAGATGGCTATATGGCCACGTATAACCGATCATGCATTTGAATATAACAAATATTTTATATTAAAATAGTTTATAGTAAGTATTACATCAAAATTTACTTCAAATGCGTTAAATTAACAAACATTGACTAGATGCCTGTCGAAAAAACGATACTTTTTGTACTCTAAGTATTATTTATATTTCGCGGAGCTCTGTGGCATCTTGACTTCGTAACGGTGCGCGTGTGACTGTGAACCAAGAAGTGCTTGAGTGGAGTTCAAGCACTTCTTGATTGGGACACATTTTGAGCGTTCGTGGTGTATCTAGGGTATTTAATATCGTTGGACGGAAAGCATACAACCCATCCCTTTCAATTTTATCGTTTTTACAACAAAATTTGGCACAAATTTGTGATTGACGTCAAATCAATTCAATTCCTTTATTGCATATCCTTAATGTACAAAAAGGTGTTAAATATAAGTTATGACACAATACGATCATTACACTGTCATATAAAAATAAACAAAATACGATTATGTCACATACAAAATACGATCATTATGCCACGTCTTGTGCCGAGAACAGTAACGCGAAGAAACAAAATATCTTTAAAGGAGGAACTTTGGTCACCCTTTTGACATATTTTCGGCACGCGCGAAGTATTTACGCTCGCGGTTTCTTTTTCGACCTCATGTATGTTGTGGCCTAACATCAGGCTGCCCGATGTCTGATTGCCACCCTTTTAACATAAAAAAAACTCGTTTTTCCACTTAGGGCACAAAAGGCCAGTAGAAGACGACCCGCCCATGGACGGGGAAGAGGACGAAGAAGAGGGGGGCGGATCACCCCTCTACTGCAATTGGGATTTACGCGGCATGCAGCACTTACTGCCTCTGCAGGACTACATCATACAACAGGCGAAGCTGTCCAGTGAGTATAACTTTCATTCCAACAGAGGAATTTCTCTATTCTGACACTTTACTGATACTTACTTAATTTTACGTAGATAACGAACACGTTCAGAATAAAAAAAATGGCCAAGTGTGTTGGACCATGCGCAATGTAGGGTTCCATAGCTGCTCGTCATAAATAGTAAATATCAAACTTACAGGTTACATTTCAGGGTCTGTTTGAACAGTAATTAGGCGCTCGCGCTTTAATAAGCTAATAAAACTAATGTACAGGTCTAGTGAAGTACTCCATTGCGTTATTCGAGTTTTGAATAATATTATTCATTTACAAATTATTATTATTGAGAATGTTTTGATTTAATTTTTGTACAATTTTGTATTTAAATAAATCTGTCTTATCTAAAGAAAATGTTCCTAGAAAAAAACCGCTGGGACTAGCTAGCAGACGGGCACTAGTTCACATGGAATTTTTTCAAGTAACATTAAACATCTAGCAGTTACATGCTTAAAAATAAAGAAATATAATTATATCTGTTTTAGGACTTCACTTGGATATTCATATTTGCTATTTGTAAACTTGACAACAGTCTGTCCTTATTATGCTTTACAAGGAGTGAGAAGGACAGACGATGTCAAGATTACAAAGAGCAAACACGAATTTCCAATTGAAGTGCTGGCATTATATAATTAACAATGTTAAGGTAATTTTTAATGAAAATAACCTTATGGTAATTTTTAATGAAATGTGTATATTTTTATTTCTTTCGTGTCGTATAACGTAATCGTATGCGTCAGGTCGGGGTCGATACACCGGCGACTCTGGCTCGGACGGTGAATCCGGCTCGTCCCGTTCGCGATCCGGCTCGGAATCCCGCTCCTTGTCCGGTCACGAGCCGGACAACGAGTCGTCGGACGGCGGCGCGCGAACGCCGGACGACGACGACGGATCCGGAGTTTACTTGCCTCATACTTACGCGCATCGACCGCCCGACGTCGAGTATATGAACCATGGCGTTTCATATTATAATACGTTCGTCGGCTTCGATAGGGACCGACAACCTTCGCCCGGAATACATAGAGTGAGTTGTTGATATAATTTATCTAGGTTTAGTTAAATAAGACGAAATTTTCGTGCATTTACTTGTACATTCCAAAAGATCACACAATAAAATTTAATAAATATTACGATCTAACCAATGAACTAACTAAAAATAGCTATCTAGTTAATTTATTTGCGGTAGAAGTAGGAGCGAGAGGTATACCAGCAAAATCTCTCTATATAACCTTCTAAAAGATAGGTCTTTCACCCGTACCACCGTACGGGTGCCGAGTCTATCGTATCCATGGATTGCTAAGAAGTTCGTCTCTCTATACTTACGCGTATCGACCGCCCGACGTCGAGTATATGAACCATGGCGTTTCATGTTATTAATCTTTCGTCGGCTTCGATAGGGAGGGCCCGACGGCTATCACCTGGGATACGTCTAGGACTAAAACTGATATAGGTATAGTTAAATATGACGAAACTGGCGTATATCGCTATATCGTCGTCGTTTGACGTCTACTTGCCCCATACATGCTCATCGACCGCCCGACTTCGAGTATATGAACCACGGCGTCTCTTGCTACACATCACGTTCGTAAGCTTCGATAAATAATTCGGCCCCTGCCCGGAATACATACGGTAAATCTATGTATATAGTCGCATACGCATAGGTAAGGAATACAGCCCGAATATTTAATACTCTATATTTCAGGGGTATACAATCAAAATAAATTCCCCAAATATTTTAAAAGTGAGATTTAAATTACAACACATTCATTTCCGTATGTATATTTATCCTGTAGAATAATTTTATACAAATTCTGGAAATCTCGACTGTTATTTCAAATTGAAAATTAACTTTACAAACAAACGTAGCAAAGTCCAAGTGACTTGAGTTTCAATTTGCGTAAAGTCCTTTTCGACCAATACGAAGGCTCCATTGAATGAATATTCTTTATTGCACTATTTAACAAAATATATACAACATAAAACTCAAGGAACACAAACACAAAAGGCGGCCTTATTGCTACGGTAGCAATCTCTACCAGGCAACCTTTGGCTAAATGAAATCATACCATGAAAAAAGAAGAAACTGCGGGCTAGTGCATTTTAAAAATAATTGCCTTGCATTGCCTCCATTTCACTGACGGCTGCCATGGCCGCCTTTGATGTTGTAATGCACTTTTGTTGTGTTACAGTTACAAACTTAGTAAAGTCCAAAACTTGGTAACAAAACTGGATAAGTCCATTTTATACTTAAGGTGTTACACAAAAGTATTGAACTGAACGTGATGAACACTTGTATTTCCATAATGTATTACATTCTGCATATAAATAATGTTTAACATTCGAATAGTTACCTGTAATTATTAAAATTATCGTTTTTATCGTTTACTGAACAATTTGACTTTACCAACTTTGATTGTATATCCCTCATTTGTACTATGATACAAATTGGCCACAGTAGGAATAGGGGTGTGGGAGAGATAGTTCTATGACCGAAAGTATTTTTTCTCCAATTACCTTTTTCTTTTTGGTCGTGTTCGGGAGAGATAGTCTCACGACTGAAAGATTTTTTATCGCGTAGACGTCATCATTGGGTGGTAGCGGGGGCGCGAGTGGTAGCGGGTCAGCGCCAGGGGCGGGCACTAGGGCATCAGCAGGGGACATGGGGACGAGCGCGGGGCCAGCGGGAGGGGACAGCGGCGCACTGTACAGTCCTGTACGATCACACGCGCACGCGCACTTCACGCGCCCCCAACCGCCCGAGCAAGACATCGAGATATTCGCTAAGGACAACTTGAACTTCAATAAAGGCATATTCAGGAGGAAGGTGAGTGTTTTTTTTTTATTTATCTACACCTATGCTTTCAAACCACTATTAAAGAAATTTATCGACTACTAATACTTTAGATAGAGAACTTGTTTCTTATGAACATGATAGCGAAGCAGAAGATCATTAAGATTAAAATTAATATCCCTAGTAAAAGTAACACTGACCTTAAAGTTCTTTGACCCCAGCTGGCACTATCTAGGACATTTAATAATTAATACATAGACATTCGGAAAATACATGAAATCGCAGGGCATATCCATATTAACATTAATTTTTAAGTTCACTGACCCCAAATGGCACAACCTACGCCGATCACTAATAATTATAGAGTAAATTGTGTTTTTAAAGAAATTGGTACCTACTACAGCTACAGGTTAAGTTACCCATAACTGTCGTATTTCTCCAACTGACTGAGCTTTACTGATCAATATCAGATTCACAATCCATTTAGAAAATTTGTCAGTTTTTGGTAGCCTATAGAGTGTCTTGAAACAGCAAATCCAAATAATATTTGTAACGTTTTAGGCGTCCGTTCGCGATATGCTGTCGTGGACGTCGTCATCTATTAGCGCACCAATGGTAGGGGCTGATTGGGACAAGGCGCACAAGAAAGCTGCTATAGACCTGTTCAGACTAGTACAAATCTACATGGGCGATAGGAAAGCGCGACCCGGAATGACGCTCAATTCCGTAGCACAAGATATACTGCATGCCACCTTTGCTAATGAAAAGTAAGTCTTATTATTAAAGTATTACGATACAGAAAAGTAGCTATAAACTTGTTCATACTAGTCAAAATCTACACGGGCGATAGGAAAGCGCGCCTAGGAAAGACACTTAACTCCGTAGCACAAGATATACTGCACGCCACCTTTGCCTAGTCAAAGTAAGTCTTATTATCAGGGTGTTATAATACAAGGAAGCTGCTATAGACCTGTTTAGACTAGTACAAATCTACACGGGCGCGATAGGAAAGCGCGCTCCGGTATGACACCCTACTCCGTAGCACAAGATATGTTGCATGCCACCTTTGCCAATGAAAAATAATTCTTATTATTAAAGTCTTACGATACAAGAAAGCAGCTATAGACGTGTCCATACTAGTCCAAATCTACATGGGCGATAGGAAAGTGCGTCCCAGAATGACATTCAATTCCATAGCACAAGATATACTGCACGCCACCTTTGCTAATGAAAAGTAAGCCTTATCAGTGAGGTGTTACGATCCACTTACACACGTACATTCATCGAAGTATATACGTTAACAAAAGCTGTACTAGACCTCCATGTATCATTTGCAAGAAATTAGGTGCAAAGTATCTATGTTTATTGTAGTGATTTCAGATTCCTACTTGTACTCGTAGCTAAACATATAAATAACATGATGCAACAGTTAATACAAGGGTGACTGCTAGCGAGGCAGTCTTGCTTCTAAAATTTTATTGCTATTACTAAAGTGGCTTGCAGCTGCCATATTTTCGTGTTTGCTCTTAAAACTTGTAGCAAGGTCGCAAGCTGCTACACTTGCAGAAATTAGCTTGTCACGCTTATTTACACAGCTTTATTGTTAGTCCAAACCAAACATGAGGTTTTGTGAGTCCTTCGAGTGCTTAAAACATAATAGTTATTTATGACATAACTGTGGTAACTTGGTTATTACAAACAATCACGAGTTTGTAAATACCAACTCTGCACGAATGTCATACAAGGTTTTAAACACATTTGCGAGAAAACAGTATTGCAGCAGTTTATTTAAGAAAGTAATGAACTTATAAACTTATAAAGTAGTGAAGAAAAAGAAGTAAAGAAGGAAATGGCGCGCATTTCCAAACGGCGCCACGAGCGGATGATGAAAAATAGAACTATAATTTTCGTTTTTTTTTTCTTTTCAAAGTGAAACAAAGGTATAGATTCATTGCGCTTCCAAGGTTTGATCAAAGGATACACACGGCACCATGTATTGGAGTGTGCGGTAAAATATTTTAACGCACGCTCCGCTGTATGGTCCGTAATTTTGAACTTTCAAACAATATATACAACCTCCGCAAATGATTTTTTTGAGCAAATGTGTTGAAAACTAAATTACCAATTTTGTTCGACGCAGGCTCCGCGACGAACTATACGTGCAGCTATGCAGGCAGACGACTGAGAATCCTCACCGCGACTCATTGCTCCGCGGCTGGGAGTTGCTGGCCGTTTGCCTCGCGTTCGTGCCTCCCTCGTCCGCTTTCCAACCTGCCCTCACTAACTACGTGAACAGACATCGCGACCCGGCTTTTGCTGACGCTTTCCCGGAAGTGAGTATCATCGTCAGCCTATTATGCCATGTATTCATTGAAATCCAATTGTTTATAAACATTGTTACATAAACAAAATCAACGTGTTTCTGAAACAATTTAATATGTTTCTGACACATGCGAAACTAATGCGGTAAGCAATACGTGTCTCTCGCGATCTTTCTGTGCTCCTCGATGGGAGTGGGAGTGGAGAGTATCGAAACAAATTAGTTTCACAAAATTGTTTACAGGTGCGTACGTGTGTTTCAGTTGTTTAAATAAATAGCGGCAATGTGGGACCACAATATCGTTAAAAAAATATTTCGACTAGTCATTGCCAAATAAACATATGCGGCACCCAACAATACTGCCTCCTCAAGCGAAATTCTGATACAACTGATAGGGCGATTAAAATTGGTCGTTAGTCAGAATACGAGTGTAATTCGGGTAAATGACGAAGTGTAAATGACCGGTGTCGAATACGCGCCCGTATTTGGTTAGTTTTGGTTTTGCTTATCCGACATATTGCTTCGGGTGCCCAAATTCAAGTAGTCTTTCGTGCACCCGAATACGGGCTAACGACCCAGTGTAATCGAGCCTTGAGACGTTGACGGCCAAGTTCCACGTAAACATCTACGTGTTTCAGCAACATTGTTTATAATGAATATATGGCTTTAGAGTCCCCACTGCTGGGGCACAGGCCTTCCCTATGAATGGAATAGGGAGATCGGGCTATGACCTACCACGCGGACCCAGTGCGGAGTGCTGGGTGCTAACGACTGCAGACGCAGCCGGCACTTAACGTGCCTTTTGAAGCAAGGGAGAGCTTGAGATAATGAGTTTTTAATTGAATGGGTATCCAATGATCTACTTTGCGAGTTGCTTAACTTCCACGATGCAGCAGGTCAATGCGTTAGCTACCTGCGCCATCGAGCTTCTCGAGACTGTTACGATTTCTTATTAAAACAATTTAGCTGGCCGTTTGCCTCGCGCTTGTGCTTTCCAACTGGCCCTCACCAACTACGTGAATAGGTATCGTGATCCAGCGTTTGTTGACGCTTTCCCAGACGTCGAGTCCAGAGTGTTCCAATTTCACACAAATGAATTGTGTGGTGTAAGTTTTCTAACTTTAACTGTCTATACATATCCGGTTAAAAGTATGTGGTTAGTTTGGTTTTCTAGGTTAAGATTTGTCCGTAAATATTAAGAATATGCTATAAGTTGCCATTTTCTTTCCAACTGGGCAAATATATTATCGCTTTGAAAACCGGGGGCTTTAAATGCGATGTGATACAAATCGTTCTATGCAAAATGTTGTGTGGATTTGGCTAACTTATCTTTGCTTACTCACGAGTCTGTGCCCACTTGCGAACATTGAAGAAAAGTCAATATAATAGGTTAGATGCAACGCCACGAAAAAAAAACACCTACGAATGTTTTAGTTACGTACTGAAATGTTGTATCAGCTATCTTCGCGTCTGGACTTCACCATCACTGAACAGGTGGGGTGGAGTTATTTGTCGGACCTATAAATAAAAAAATTAAAGTGTTTTCAATACAGTGCATAACACAAATTTGTACGTTATCTAATGTTAATAGAGACGAATATTTACTTAAAGTTAAAAATATAACGGATGGTTCGCAATAGATACATAGATTTCCAATCTTTAGTACAAACAGTTTGTTTGTCGGTGAAGGTTGGTAAATGGCCGATCCACGTGCAAGTGTCTCACTACGCGGGCGTCGCGTGCAAGCGGCTCGAGAGGATCGGCTTCGGGGGCAAGAGACAACCGCGGAAACCTTCCACAGAAGACATCGACCAGGCTAGGGTGAGTTACGGTTTTTAACCGACTTCAAAAAAGGATTAGGTTCTGGTGTTCGACTGTATATATATATTATGTATGTTCACCGATTTCTCCGTCAATTGTGGACCGATTTCCAAAATTCTTTTTTTATTCGAAAGAGTGCACTTCCGAGGTGGTCCCATTGGAACCAAGTCAGGATATGATGGTGGAATCTGGGCAAATTGAGAGAAACATTCCAATTTAAAAGGCACGCACGATGTTTTATATGCATGTTCACTAATTTCTCCGTCGATTGTGTTATTGATTACATGGACGATGTAATTTTCACTAAAATGTATGAAATAAAGAATTTTTAAATAAATAATAAAACCGACTTCAAAATCGAAAATGGAACTAAAAAGTAAAAAATAATACCTGGTTCATGATTTGGAAGTCGCGCGGGGTCAAGATTGACACATTAAATTTTCGTTTCTGATCGTTAATAATACGTCTTTCAATCTTGACCCGCCCGACATCCAAATCATGAACTAGACATTATTACTAAGCCTAATTGTACGGCATTTTGTTTTCCGCAACTTGATTTGTAGGGGCTACGACTAGGACCCTCATGACTGTAGTCAGTGCCCTTAGCATGAACCAATATCGAATTCGAATAGTTTGCGAGTCCGAAATGTCATTGTCATATTTTGATCTATAAAATAGATCGAATTCAACTATTCGAATTCGATATTTGTTCGTGCTAAGGGTATATAACAGAATGTCAATGACGGCACGGGACGATTGTCGGAAGATAATTTCTAACAAACGTCAATATGAGGTGAATGTCTATATTGTTTTAAGTTGATGTGAAATACTGTTCGTATAACAAATTAGTGGGTCAACTGTGGAAGCAGTTGCATCGACTCGGAATGCAAAACTTAATAAAATTTGCCATTTTGCGTGAGGAATGGCGTCTGTCCTGCCATCGCAGCTCACTAAGACTAATGCGGTAAATATCTTGATGACCAGTTGGTGAAATCATATGCTCGCACTTCACTTCGCTCTATTAGTGTTTGTTATTTGTAAACTTGACATCAATAAGTCCATTTCATTCCATTAAGAGCATGATAAGGACAGATATCAATATGAAATTTTCATATATGTAAATCATGACTGATTTGACGACCTCCGTGGCCGAGTGGTTTGTACGCCGGTTTTCATGGTGTCGCCGACTCGAGAGGTCACGCGTTCAAATCCCGGTGGAGGCGCAGATGTTTGTGTGATGAATACGAGAATTTGTACTCCCGTCATGGATGTTTAATATGTATTTCTATATAAATATACTTATATATTTACAGTATATGTATTCTATCCGTTACCCTAGTATCCCATAACACAAGCCTTACAGTGCTTACTTTGGGGCTAGGCTAATTGGTGTGAGTGTCGAAAATATTTATTATTATTATTATTTATGATAAAGACAGACTGTGTAACTGAAAACTATACGAATAGCTAAGTGAAGACACTATCTTCTGCGCCAAAGGTCTTGAGTGCGAATCCCGCTAGCGACGTTTATACATTAGTCTCTCCTTTTCATTCTGTATAGAAAATGACAAGGATACACTGTTGCCAAATTTAAGTTTAGGTTTAGAGAATCATGCCAGAATCGACACCATTGTAAGAAGATTATAAGCTCTGCTTAGTTTGAGACTAAACGATTGTTGTGATTATTTTTGTTATCCTGTTTGATACGAATACTGTGCGAAGCGGTATATTTGCTACTGATCTTTATTAACATTTAAGATAACGTGGAGTCGAGTCATTTGTTTGCCAGATATGTTATTAAAAATATTGATACTCCCACAGATTCAAATCTTCAGACAATCCATGTTCGGGAACACGCTAGCGGAGGTCATGGCTTTGCAAAAGGACCGTTTCCCCAACAGACAATTGCCCTGGGTACAAGTCGCACTATCGCAACAGATACTAACTTTAAACGGCAAGGAGACCGAAGGCATCTTCAGGGTGTCAGCTGATGTCGACGAGGTCAATGCCCTCAAAGCCAAAATTGACAGCTGGGAGCTGCCCGATGCTTCCACTTTAACGGGTGAGCTTGTTGATATTTGACATGATTATTTCAAACTTTTGATTAACTTGTACATTTTCAAATAGATAAGTTAGTAGATAAGTTACTACCTGGTAGAGGAAATAAACAAAACTAAATGTTTCTAAAACTTTTTTATCAAGAGTAAAGATGGCCAGTGTAACCAGAACGAAAACAAAAAGATACATTTCAAAGTAAATTATTTGCTTTTCCGTACCCATTAATTTAGTAGTATTATAATGATAAAACTAGTTTTTACGGGTTAATGCACGAAACTTTATTTATTTATTGACGTTTCGTAGCCTTAACAGGCTACGTCGTCAGAATTGAACTTTTATTTAATTTGTCGAGCTACCTTCGAAGGTAGCTTCAATAAATAAATAAAGTTTCGTGCATTAACCCTTAAAAACTAGTTTTATTTAATGAGTGATGTGCGTGAAAACCTAAGAAACAAATAGTATTATAATGAGTTCAAAGCTTGGGAATAGCTACAGATTAAGGTCTTTTTAGTGTCACTTTTTTTCAAATTATGTTTTTTTTATGCGTGTAAAATTCGACCTATTGAAAATTCCTTCTTATGGTTTGTTGACCTTTTGTCTCGGAGGAAGTTGAATAGAGTACTTATAGTGAAGTTATTCATCCAGACGCGCACGCTCCAGCCAGTTTGCTGAAGCTGTGGTACCGCGAGCTGTACGAGCCCCTGATCCCCGACTCGCTGTACGCGTCGTGCGTGGCGGCCGGTGGCGACGTGCAGGCGTGCACGCGTGCTTTGCAACGCCTGCCGCCGCTCAACAGGCTGGTGAGCGTGCATCACTGACTCACTATATAGCACCGCGCGCTAGTACTAACGCTGTGTACCGCGCGCTGTACGAGCCCCTGATCCCCGACTCGCTGTACGCGTCGTGGGTGGCGGCCGGTGGCGACGTGCAGGCGTGCACGCGTGCTTTGCAACGCCTGCCGCCGCTCAACAGGCTGGTGAGCGTGCATCACTGACTCACTATATAGCACCGCGCGCCAGTACTAACGCTGTGTACCGCGCGCTGTACGAGCCCCTGATCCCCGACTCGCTGTACGCGTCGTGGGTGGCGGCCGGTGGCGACGTGCAGGCGTGCACGCGTGCTTTGCAACGCCTGCCGCCGCTCAACAGGCTGGTGAGCGTGCATCACTGACTCACTATATAGCACCGCGCGCTGTACGAGCCCCTGATCCCCGACTCGCTGTACGCGTCGTGGGTGGCGGCCGGTGGCGACGTGCAGGCGTGTACGCGTGCTTTGCAACGCCTGCCGCCGCTCAACAGGCTTGTGAGCGTGCATCACTGACTCACTATATAGCACCGCGCGCCAGTACTAATGCTGTGTACCGCGCGCCAGTACTAATGCTGTGTACCGCGCGGTGTACGAGCCCCTGATCCCCGCGCGCCTTGCAACGCCTGCCGCCGCTCAACAGGCTGGTGAGCGTGCTTCGCTGACTCACTATATAGCACCGCGCGCCAGTACTGACGCTGTGTACCGCGTGCTTTACGAGCCCCTGATCACCGCGCGCCTTGCAACGCCTGCCGCCGCTCAACAGGCTGGTGAGCGTGCTTCACTGACTCACTATATAGCACCGCGCGCCAGTACTGACGCTGTGTACCGCGCGCTGTACGAGCCCCTGATCCCCGACTCGCTGTACGCGTCGTTCGTGGCGGTAGTTCTTACTAGATTTTGCGGAGGTGTCGAATTAACTACTTTTTCTCTAAAACAGGGAATAAGGAGGTAAATAACCTTTCACTATTGTTAGAATAAAGGAAACGGCTTTGACAAACCATTTGAAACGTGCCAGGTTAACGGAGCTTCAAAGAGCTCGAGATGTTTTTTTTGTGCAAATGCTCTAGCCACTGCGCTATCGAGCTAAAGTTTGAATACGTTATTGATGTTAAAGCCGTTGCTGTGGCACTTGTTGATATTTATTCGATATTAAAGAGATAAAATTTGCCCCATAGGTACTCACTTATTTGATAAGCTTCCTGCAGCAATTCACCGCACCGGAAGTGGTGAGTCAGACCAAAATGGACTCTGCCAACTTAGCAATGGTGTTCGCGCCCAACTGTCTCCGGTGCACCTCCCAGGACCCTCGCGTCATACTCGAGAACGCTCGTAAAGAGATGACTTTCCTCAAAACCTTAATCTCAAACCTGGACACCTCGAACGTTCATAATCTGCTGTGACCGAATCTCAGCTTCTGCAACAATAATAACTCGGGAACGCTGACTGATTTCTAGGTAAGAAAATTAAAATAAAAAACAATGCTTTTTAACTACCTACGACTTAAGTGTTCCCTAATAGAGAGAATTTTCTCCCTTTTACCTACACAAAAGGAGATTTCGTCGTATCGTCTCACACTTTCTCGGTTCTAGTCTAATATCCACTGTTTTCAATGGAGGGTAGATACATATTCACGATACGACGAACGCTCCGCTCTCGACACAAATTCGACATTCTTGTATATTTTTTGTATTTTTGTACGCTATATTATTATCATAATTTTTAATTTGGTTGTATCCAAAGATATTTAAAGAGATGTGATTTTTTTTAAGTAAATAAATATTATATTAGACTTGAGCTTTACAAAAGTGTATGTAAGTGCAATGTGTTTCGGCGATATTTGTTGGACGATTGTGTGTTTGTTATTATTAGAGATCGGATAATCGGATGCATATTTACCTAAAGTTGAGATGTTGGCAATTATGGAAAGCACATTTTTATCGAGAAAATCCCGCGATTCCGGGAAATTCAAATTTAAGTGTATACTCTGTGAGATCTTATAAACTCAGATTGACATAAATGACAGTTGCCCTGTGTGTATAACATGAAAATATTGTGTAAGATGTCTTTAATGAATAAAAAAATTTATACTCGTTTATTGTTTCTTACTAACCACACCGCCATTTCACTTACACACACACACACACACCCATACATATACACACGAATGGGCAATTAAAATTTAACTTTAAGTAAATTATACATCCGATTAGTTATGCGACCCGCTTCCATAATTTGTTAACCAAAAAATATGTATTCGATTACCGATCTCTAGTTATTCTGATTAGTTGCTGCTGTGCTTTAGTGCGGACAAGAGTAGGTTTGCTTATGAAGATATTATTTTTATTAGTACTATATAAGATGAATTGAATGCGTTAATATTATGTCTCCATTCCTTTTTATACTAAAATGTTTGGAATAGTTAGTCTATTATTTTTTGTAATTGGTTATGTTAGCAAACGGTAATAGATTGCATTTGTTTCCGTGAGCTACTTTTAACATAATATCTGTTCCTCTTGCACAGAAGCGTTTATCGCTAGATTAAATAAGATAGTATTTTCCAAAATAGCCATCTCTAATTAACAAGGGTCCTGTAATAAAAGTGAGTTTGACAGTAAAAATGGTTATTTATGATATTATTGCGGTATGTTGGTTATTATAAACGAGTATACGTCTCGGGCTTACCATAGTAATGAGTTTGTAATACCAATCCGCACGAATGTCATACAACGTTTTTCAACACATTTGCGAGACAACATTATACCTAATTTAATTTTCCCATTCACGACTAAGCGACCCTAATGGACCGCGCTCGGAAAAAAGATTGCACCGTCAAACACCAAGCGGGCCGCGCTACCCACGGGACTTTAAATCGTTTTTTGAGATAGTTAGAGTTGACTTTTGTATGAAGAAGTTTAACCATAGACTAAATCGGATAAATTTCCTATCTCCACAGCCGAAAATTTTTCGTCTACTCTGTGTAGCTTTTTTTTCGCGTCATTGAAACGATAAAACTATAAAACTGAAGGCACACATCCCTACATAGGTTTTTGTTCATTGTGTCGGGTTTCAATAGCGAACATAGTTGTCAACTTCAGTTTAGGGTATATCAAGTCTAGGGGTGTATTCCGAAATATAAACCAGTACGCTGGCCAGCGGTAATGACATCATGATTTCGACGCCATATTTCACTGGTGTAGTAGTAGTGTTGTCAATATGACGTCGAAATCATGACGTTATTACCGCTGGCCAGCGTACTGGTGTATATTTCGAAATACACCCTATAAAACTTAACGCCACTAATGTCACGTGACTGTCAGTCACGTGTCAATTAGTGTCAACAACAGTTCTGAAATACAATAACAGCACAGCACTCAACAAAATCTTTCTAAGTACTCTTTTACATAATAAATAAATAAAAAATATTATCCCATAATATTTTTTGAGCTAGTTTGTTCAGACTTTGAGTACCTATGCTTTAGTTTATTTACGCATTTTTGGTACACATTTCTGAACTCACTATTATAGTCCTGGCACAAAATTAAACATCTCCTTTCATCCTAGGTTTTGTAGAGGTTAAGTAACATAATAAAGCAATTTTTTCCGAATAAGTAAATGGCGCGCATTTCCAAATACGCCACGTGCGGGTGGTAAAAATAAGAACTACATCTTTTGTCTCTTTTTCTTTTTTTTTATTAAAGTGAGACATAGATATAGACTGAAAGTGCTTCCGAGGAGGTTCGATTTAAAAAAAAAATGTAAAAAATACGCACGGTGCCAAGTATGGGAGCGTGCGTAATGAATTTTACCGCACGCTAATATAGCTCGTAATTTTAAATTTTCGAACAATGTATACAACCTTCGTAAATTTATTTTGAGCAAATGTGTTGAAAAATATAATTGGACGTAGTTACGCGAAAACGTTCCAACCCACAAGTCACTCGAAAATGAGTTACCATAACCAGGGTACTATTTTTGCCATATTACATCATGTGCACACAAAGATGCTAGTATTTTTAAGTTAGTTTCATCAATAAAGTTTAACCCAAATGTTCCAACCCACCATTATGCCAAGGACGTGTACTCAAAATAAAGTAAAAACATTACATGCATACTGAAACATATTGTTAAAAACTCTTAATAGAATAACATATCGTTATAATGTTCCACTTGTCTTGGAACATTATACTAAATTCATAAAACGCACATTTAATGGTTTCTTAAATGATCCATGTGGGTTGGAACGTTTTTGCAAAATCTTTATACATTTTTTATTTCTGCAAAAATGTTCCATGTAATTTGAAACCCTTTAGATTAATCCATACTGTTTTTTTAAGCTGCGAACACTGTTCTAAATAAATTGAAACCTTTTATTATAATATATTATTTTCATATTTTTTGCTATAAACAATCCACATATACTTGATCCATTTTTGCTATTAAATATGTTCTAGAGAAAAAGATATTTTTTACCAAAATAAATAACTATGGTATATTTGGACGTAGTAACGCGAAAATGTTCCAACCCACAGCAACCCCAATTTGCAATTTACACACTTTTTCCCTGTAATTATTTCAGGCAAATACTATTGGTTTAACTATGGAATGCCAAACTGATTATTGAATGATATGCATATTTTTTGTAAATACATAATACAAGGGGCATATAAATAGGTAAAACGAGTTTGAAATGTTTTTGCTAAATTAATTTTGTATGAACCTTGTTAAATAGCAATTATGCATAAACTTTCCAAAACGAATTTAAGTGTATTATTTTATAAAAATAAACCAAAAAGAAATATGTAAAATAATAAATAACAATGAGGAACATATAAAAACAACAAAAAAATATATTTGAAAATGTATTACAAAAAAATAGAACGTGATCTTTTGAGCTTAGAACCTATGCCAAAAATTTGTTGATATGGTTCCAAAAGTTATCAAAAACTTATATTATAAACATTCAATTTTCATCATCGTATTCTATGATCTCGAAGTCCGGAACTCCACCAAACCCATCAACATCATCAGTGCTTCTTCAGAACTTTGAAGCGTTCTATAAAATTGAAGGCAATCCTCGGGTATGTAGTGGTACATGGATTGTAAGTCCACTAATTTCGCTGGAGCAATCGGTTTGTCGTTAGGCCACAATAAGCAAAAATCAGATTCTTTTATGTATTGCAGTTCTCGTTTTATTCTTTTATCAATTTTCAACTCATTGAAATCGTCTTCCATCGTAGACCGCATAAAAATAGAAAACATTTTATCTTTATCCAACTTAATTTCTTTTGTATGTAGCCAACTAACTTTAGATGAGTCTGTAAACTTCTTCCTATTGATAATCTTCTTTTCCAGTTTAGTTGTACTAAAAAAATCAGTCTTTGTCATTTTGTAAACTTGAAGAGGTTTAACTTTTTTACTTAGTTCTACAATAGTGGTATCCATAGTGCATTTAATGATACTGGGCATTGTTATGTATTGGTAGAAGGAGAGGTAGAAGAGGTGCACAGGAAGTGGATTGCCTTCAATTTTATAGAACGCTTCAAAGTTCTGAAGAAGCACTGATGATGTTGATGGGTTTGGTGGAGTTCCGGACTTCGAGATCATAGAATACGATGATGAAAATTGAATGTTTATAATATAAGTTTTTGATAACTTTTGGAACCATATCAGCAAATTGGCATAGGTTCTAAGCTCAAAAGATCACGTTCTATTTTTTTTGTAATACATTTTCAATTTTTTTTTGTTGTTTTTGTATGTTCTTCATTGTTATTTATTATTTTACATATTTATTTTAGATATATTTATAAAATAATACACTTAAATTCGTTCTGGAACGTTTATGCACAATTGCTATTTAACAAGGTTCATACAAAATTAAATTTAGCGAAAACGTTTCAAACTCGTTTTACCTATTTATATGCCCCTTGTATTATGTATTTACAAAAAATATGCATATCATTCAATAACCAGTTTGGCATTCCACAGTAACACCAATAGTATTTGCCTGAAATAATTACAGGGAAAAAGTGTACCGCTAAAACACAAAATTGCGTTTATCTCAAAATGGGGTCGCTGTGGGTTGGAACGTTTTCGCGTAACTACGTCCAATTGTCAAACTGAAATATTGAGCTGAACCACAAAAGATATTATATTACATAACATGTGCACCTCACAACGTTTCCTCGTACAATGTATACATCTCTGATTAATTTTGGCAAGGTTAAATATTTTGAATGTATTTTAATTATAGGCTGTATATGATTGGAAATATAATAATTATATATTTCATTACCAGATTGAACTTTTAACATATAATGGATTTTCAGAAATTTAAATAAAAGTCACCACGGGAAAAATAATACATTTTGTTAACAAACGTTAAAAATGATATTTCTTTAAGTCTTTGTTTTTCTCTATTTCATATTGTAGGACAGGGTTAGGTTTCAAATGTCATAAGATGATCATTAATGAAATATTTAAGTAGATTTTAAAAGAACCCAAAATCAACAGATATTTATTTGTTGAAACCAATCTATAGGTATAAAAAATCAAATTTTAGACTTCCATTTTTCTTTTATGAAGCGATGTTATCGTAAAGAGCACAAATTGTGAGCCAAAGGATTTATTATTTTGAAGTCAGATTAGGTCAAATGATCATTTTATACCTTATTATATTCGAGAAATTACGCCTGAGCAATGGTATAATAATAATTATCGAATTGATGCTGATAAATAGTCTAATTTTAATATAATATATTGGATCATTCATTTGGTATAATTTATTGTTCAATACACTACGAACAAGATGTACCAAACTTTTTATAATCGAATTTAATGCATTTTATTAGTAAATCAATATTGCGTATAAGCGAACTAATGAAGTCCAACTCATTCCACCCTTAATCGAGTCTTATCACACCTTCATTTTAGGTAATTCAGATGTTATCGACTTAAGTGCTATTTCCATCACAAATGTTTTATTTAAGGTATTTTTTTATGCGTCCACTTATTTAATATTAACATATTAATGAAATTTTTATTGTACTGATCCACCGATTCATGCTATGATTGACCCTGTTTTGTAACTAAAATAATGAAATATTAATATTATGATTTATAAATTTGTGTTGGGATCGAGTGTTTGGATGAAATGTTA